AGGGTAACGATGACGAAGGTAATGCAGATGAAGTCAGGCATGCACGAGGAAGAAGATGACGAAGAATTTAATGGCAGGGGTACCCTGTAGCAGACGAGCCAAAGATTCACCTATCCAAGAAGACGATCCGTCCACAGACAAGCCGTGGAGGCCATCTACTCGAAATAAACACCGAGCACCGTCCACAAACGAGCCTCAAGGCTATTCTGCCCAAGAGCAGGAGAGGATTCCCTCAGAAGAGCATCGCGGCAGCCCCCACCGCAGCATATCAGACGTCGTAATTACACAGTCTACGATTGTCATGGAATTTCTCGTGGAATTGACCAGAAGATGCTCCACTTGATTTACGCTCTATTAGTTACACAAATTCATCCCAGCTCAGTTGGCTATCCACAGTAGCCGACATACAAAATCCTTGATGATGTCGTTCAACACCACAAAAGCCGATTCTGCCCTGCGGCACGGCCTTCGGAAGAGGTCGCGCTTCAATTTGTCTTGAAAAACGAGCTCGATTCTATTCTCCCCTCCCGGACGTCCTTCAGGAACGATCTCATCCGAACTCCGACCGAACGCGTGCCCAACAAGACCTCGCAGCTCACCTTCCATTTCGCCCACGTCGTACGGCCACCCCCCATCCTCACACATCCTTCCCCGTGCTCTTTCAGAAATTTCAAATTCGCGTGCGGGAAATGTTGTGCTCTTATGTTTACCCTGCTTTACGTTCTCCAAATAAGCTGATGGGAAATATGCCCTGGGCCCATGGAACATGGGAACAAGGGCTTTCACACGCGAAATTCGTGATTCCTTCCGTCACGTGAAGTACCATCTATTCCACGTGGTGAAATAAATAATGCTGACCACACCATTTCATCAACGTTGTGGTGAAGACCAAGTCGGCAAGGACGTCAACGCGGGGCAGGATGTGGCCAGCCGCGGTCTATCAGTTATCGTGGTCCAAACCCCACCCACTTGTACCAGAACGCTTGACCTCCACCGCCTACATCCCTCTGTCATCTCCTCTCCTGGACGGTGGACGTGGACGGAGAAATCAAATGGATGATGTGGACGACGACGTGGACGTGAACCAAGTGGACCAAGCGGACGAGAACCACGTGGACGACGTGGATGTGGATCATTATCGTGGTCCGAACCCCACCCACTTGACCTTCCTTCCACCACCTACATCCCTCTGTCATCTCCTGGATGGTGAACGTGGACGGAGAAATCAAATGGATGACGTGGACGACAACGTGGACGTGAATCAAGTGGACCAAGCGGACGAGAACCAAGTGGACGACGTGGATGTGGACCAAAGAATGTTGCCATGCTCACATATATTATCCGGGCCACATGTCCAATCTGCGTGTGGACGTCCTGGAAACAGCATCCCTGGGGCCCAAGATGCGGGTACCATAGCTATGCAACAACATGCACACATATCTTTGTTTGTGGACGTGGGAAATATGTGGTTGTTCCGGTGGAAATTCGTTGTTTCAGTTCACAACCGTGAGGAACACTTTATAGTGTTCTGCGAGCGCTTGAAGCGTTTCGGGCCCGATGCCGTGTGGGCCATTGTCAGTCCAAGGTTTTCGTCCGGTGACGACATCGAGATAACATGTAATCCAACAGATGCTGGGCTCCTCCTCCCCGCTCACGACGCGAGTGTAACAATTGAAACTTCTTTATGGGCGAGACGTTTGGGAAAGAGAACAGCGCCCAGCAAGACGCCGCCAGAAGGTCGGCGCCCCCGATTCGGCGACGGTCAGGTGCAGAAGAGGCGGAAACCCAATCGCTGCATCCCGGGAGATGAACTGATCCGCGAAAATGAGATACTCGGTTGTGGCGGCCTTCAAAGTGACGTCCGTGTCCCTTCTGATGACCACCGAAATGGGAAGGCCGGAACTCCTTCCCTTTGACGTTCGATATGCCCATATGCGCGTCGAATTTTTTGGCGCGATCTTGAACCCGCCTGCGTTTGTTGTTTCCTCGTTGTTCCCTGTGAGGCACATGTCCAAAACTTTGTATCCGTCGAAAAGTGCGGCAATGAAGACTCCGTTGTGACGAAGATGCGTTGTCACCGTCTCCAGGAAAGTGGAAAATGTCTCCGGGGTCTGGGAGAAGTAATGGAGTGCGAATTGGCAAGAAACAATATCAAATTTCGCCTCCTGGGATCAAGGGAGCGTTTCTTTTGCCAAATCACATGCGCTGAAACCCGCCTGGAACGGATGGACGCCTCTCGTCGTGTTGAACATTGAGGCCCGTCTTTTGGCCTCTGACAGCAGCTTGTCCGAAACGTCCACGCCCAGGTATGAACCGCTTTGAACGTTCGTCTTTTGACCCCGCCGCGAGGCATTTGCTCATGACGTTTTGCTATTTCCCGAGGTCACCGCCTCGCCCGCATATCAAGTCGAGGACTTTCAGCACGGTGTGTGACCTCTCCCGTTGCGGGACAAGACACATTTGGGTTACCAGCCGGATAAGGGTGTCTTTTGCCGGTTGTGATACTGTCTCATCGCATCGAAGGGCCCTATCTCTAAGTCGCTGATCTGCACCGGGTCGTGCATGCTCTTCCACACATCCATCGCTACCGAATGAAAATTGGGCTTCGTTTTGTCCTCTCACTCTCCAAAGTTGGACAGAACCACCTTGAAACGTGCATTTTACGATCGTCCTGGCCCACAGTATGGTACACATCGGGTGATCCTTTTGAACCACCAATTGCGGGCAAGGAGGGAAAGGGATGAAGCGGTTTCCATACAGATCTTTGGCGTGACCTCGAGCATTTTCACACACATTTCCTCACGAACTGACAGGGACTTCAGTGTAAGGTATTTGGGAGTGTAGAGCACAGTGGTGGTGGCTGGAGAGCTGGCTTTCTCGTTTCCTTCCGTAGCCTATTCTTGGGTGCCTGCCCGGGACGCCCGGCGACGAGAGAAGGGGTCCGGAGTAATAGTTTTACTCTGTCTTGCAACTAAACTATTCACATAATATACGATTGATCCAAACGCATACGCAGGGTTGGCGTAAGTACAGCCGGCGCCGCCATGTTCCAACTCATTTCGCTTTCAAGGCCTTTTTTGGCGGATTACAGCACAGCGTTTCGGCTTCTGCTTCCGGGATGCCAGCAACGGTAGCAGCCATGACCAACGCCGAGTCTCGGACTCTCTTGAAGGGATTTACGTTCTTCTGCACGACCGTGTCCAGCAGGGTCATATCGAGCGCATGCGTCGCGGCGCAAATGAAATGCAAATGCGCGTGGTGGAGGGGGACGGTCCCCGATCTGGAAAGTGCGTCTAGGAGGTCGAACGCCGCTTCCCGTTCCATGCGTTGCGTATTTGGGTCGAGCTGAGATTTCGTTACGCGTTGCAGAATGGAGGCCGCGCGGTGGCGTGTCCATGCCTCGCCGAGGGAGAGGATGGTGGGGCGGATGGCGTCTTTGGAAGCCAACGCCCGGAGACGTGTGTCCAGGGTCGTCGGGAAGCGCATGAAGTGGAACCGGGGGTCTGATTCCGGTGTGGAGTTCTCAATGTCGTCGTCGGCCCCACCGTCGTCTTCGGTGGACGGGCGCGGGGGCGTGGGTTGACGCTGCTCTTGCGAAGACGCGATGGGTTGGGTTTCTGGCATGCCGGACGCAAACATGGCCTCCGGCGCACCTTGTGCCGCCATGCCAACCGCGCCAGTGGCCACCTTAGATTTCAATTTTATAGGCTCGGGGACCATAGGACCTGTGGCAGCAGGAGGCGGAGCGGCTCGTAAAACACCGCTGCTGCTGCCGAAAAGGCCTGCAGGGGCAGCAGACCTCGTGGCGCTTCCAAGCCCTTCTGTAGGAGAGTAGCATGCACTGTTAGGAGAGTAGTTTGCGCTGGTAATAGAGTAGGCTGGGCTGCCAGGAGAGAAACTGCCATACACAGTTTGCTGTGCTTTCGCTTTGGCGCTTTCGATCTCCTCCTGCCCCGCAATCTTTATCATGGCGAAGATGTTGGCGGTGTACGCCTTCACGGCCGCCAACCGAGCCGTCAGGGTGGTGGTTTCCGCCGGGGGGTTCTCCTCCTCAAACCGCAGCAGATCACTCGGGATCTGGTGCTCTATGAAGAGCTGCATCAAATCCTGCGTAAGCTTGATCTCCTTCGTGGGTGCGTCAGAGGGCAGATTGAAGAGTGATTCCAGCTGCGGTTTGATGTCGATGTGGCAGATGGCGAACAACGTGGCCTGGAGCTGGAGGGCGCGTACCGCTTTCGCAAAGGTCTGCTGCTCAAGCGAGAGCGATTCGATCGCGTCGTTGAATTCCTGCGCGGTCGGGATCAGCTCGAGGTTGAGCGGAATGTCCAGATCGTCCTTGTTTTTTACGATAAGGGCACCCTGCGGCTCGAATTCGGTGGGGGATACGATGCGGCCTGCCATGAGAATGAAGGAGCTGAACTGGCGGGCCCGAAACGTCCCGAATCGGAAAAGTGATGGAACAGGCAGGCGTGCAGGGTGCGTTTGCCAGAGAACGGAATCTTGGTGGCGGCGTTGATGGGAACGTACATGACGGGGCTCTTGTGGTCTTCAAAGGTTCCGGACTGCAAGTTGATAATTTTAGCCGCGTCATTGAGCGAGGATGTTGAAGATGACGAATGGTGTATTGTGTTGTAAGTGCTGTTATATTCGATACTGATGGACCCTTCGGGAGAATGGCCCTCTCTCTGGACTGCAAAACTGAATGGAGAGGGGACGTAATCCTTTTTGAAAACTTGTTGGTTTTGGTGTCGGACGAGTTGCGTGAAATGGTGCGGAGTCACTTTGCGTCCAATCGCGGCGATGAGTTGCGTTTGCAGCATGTGCTCAATCCCTTCTATGGACCCACTATGGACCGCACGAAAATGCTCGAGAGTGTCGTGGCGTGGTTGACCATGACAATCAGCTTTCCTTCCACTGCCGTGATGATTTTCCCATCCGGAATGGCACTGTCGACCATGGCGAAACGTTCATTTAGGGTTTGTTTCTGCTCTGCTAAGAAGCGACCGAGGTCGAAGGGCGACAGCAGGACGCTGGGGCTGTCAGTCCGCTTTTCGAAAAGGGGGACGACGGGGACAAAGGTGTCATGATCCGTCAGTGCTGCCAAATTCACTTGGGTCCAATCGACTAGTTCCGCCAGGCCATACAGAAAGTAATTGCGTACTTGAGTGGCCCAAGACAAGAAGGAATAAAAGTAGGCAATGGCCTTGTTGATGGCCGGGTTACGCCGCGGGGTAACACACTCTGGGTCCGTCCTATCGATCCGGAACTGGAAAGGCTCGGTGTCGTCTCCGGACAACTGTGACAACATAAACGTGTCGTCCACATCTGCGGGATCCCTCACGCGTGAAAGCGGAATTCGGGGCACATTCTTGACGGTCGAAACCATCTCTCTGCTGCGTTCCACATCTCCCAATATCACCACTCGCTGTTGTGCATCTGCCGTCGCGTTTTTGAGCCCAAACAAGAGGGACAGGCGGTACCGCACATGGATGAGATAGACGTACTCTTTGATCCTTGTCACGACTTTGTGCTGGCTATGCAGGAGAAATGTGTCGACCGCTCTATTGCTACTATTTCCGTCGTTATTGCTGTGGTTGTTTTTGTTATCGTTGCCGAGCACCGCCGCCGCCCCAGTCACAGATGTAAAGTCGCTCACAGGGCCCTCGACCACACGTTCGCGCTCTCTCGAAAAGTCACAATGCTCCTCCGACTCGAACCTCATCACTACTCCCATACGCTCCGCCTCCGACGTAGCGCACCATTCCCTCGCTACGCGCCAGGCCTCCGAGTCATCTTTCCAGCCGAGCAGGTCGAGGCAGGTGACATGAGCGCTCAGGGCGGCAGTGGTCAGAACTCGGCCAGGTGGTACTTGTCGGTGTAGGTGTGCGGGACGTCCGCGGCGTAAAGTGGTTTCCGGTTCGTTTCGAGGATGCGTTTGATGTCCTCCAGCGCCGTGTGGACCGACTGCTCGTATATGTGGGGATAATTCATGTCTGGTGTTCCGACGGTGTATAAATAACAAGTCGTAGCCGTAGCTCCCTTTCCCTTATCTCTTTTTCACTCGACGTGCACAGATCATAGAACAAAAACGGGCTAAGCGCATTCTGTTCATAACATTGCACTCTCATTCTGCATCAACATTGACCTAATTCATCGTTCTGGACACAGGTACATTACAATCTGGTCTCCATGGTGATTTCCGTCTATGAGAACGGAAAGGGTATTACTGGAAGCCGCTCTCGCGAGAGGCAACCGGTGTGGGTTTTCACGAGACCTTGAACTCACGTTCGCTCTCCTCCCTGGGGTAGTACACAGACCCACACTTGTGTTTACCCCAGCGGTATCATCACCATGGACGAAAACGACAATGACTCTCAGCACGACAACGAAACGCCGTCCCAGGCCGAAGTCCGAGACGAGGAGACGTCTGAAAACCACCACGAGGAGGACGACGCTCAATCCCCTGAGCGCACCATCCTTCGCCGCATCCCGAGCCTTCCCGCAAACCCCACAGCCGATGAAATTGCGGAATGGGAAGAGAATCTCTCTCACGCCGAGCAGGTCGTCGCCTCTATTGAGCGAGACAACCAGGCTGCCCTCATCGCCGCCCTCGAAAGAAAACGGGAAAGGCTTGCAGAACGCCACCACGCCGCAATCGCCCTGGCTAGGGAGCGCCGCAAGCGTACGCACGACGACATGTTCACGTCGAATGCGCCCATCCCCATCCCCAAACACCGCCTCGATGCAATTCATGCCAAAAAGGCGCCCGTTGTCCTCGCGCTGAAGCCCGGCAAACTCCCTCCTCGCCCCCGGCTTCAAAAGACCATGTGGGACCTAAACTGGACACGCAACGACCGGTGTTCATTGCCATGAGCCAACCGCTCCTCTCCCTCCGCGACATTCAAGCGGCCGAGAAACCCAAAACCAAACGTCGTCGCCTCCCGCTCGCACCGGAGGATGATGATGAGGACAACGTACTCGAAAACGGTTCGCACCATTCCCACTCCAAGTCCGACGCCGCCGACACCCACGTGCGTCTCCCAACCAGCCGGTCGGTGATTCTGCTCAGCATGCACCTTGCGGACATCCTCCGCGACGAATGCGTCGTATCCGTATCGACGCAGGAGGAGAATGAGAAGGAACTCCAGCGTCGCATCCCCAAAGTTGAAGTGTTGGACGCTTACTCCATCAACATGAACTCCGGCACGCCCAATGACGATGTCCTCCTCGCGCATTGCTCGGCTGCCGAGAAGGAGGCTTTCATGAAGGCGAAGGCAAAATACGCTCCCCTCGTTCACCGGCACCTACGGGCTTTCAAGGAGCATGCCACCATCCTCTCCCTCCTCGGTCAAGCAGCCGCGCCGGCGATGACGCAGGAACAACTCGTCTCCATCGTCCAACAGACCATGTCGGTCTGCGACCAGTGAGGGGCGCGCGAAGACACCTCTCTCCTTTTATGCACATTTTCTTGCCCCTGCGACTACAACTTTCCTTCAACAAATTTCACGCGCCGGCACTTGGTTTCGAGCAAATTCCCCCGACCGCAAGCGACCGGCCAGTTCCTTTTGTTTTGGTTCTTGCATCTCTCATCGTCCCTTTTGCACGCCGCCCCTTTTTTTCTATCGCCGGTTTCAAGTCATTTCATCATGAAGCAGCCACGACCACCTGCCGACGTTTCAGATTGGGACAAGGCTTCCGCCGCCACCCCGCAGCCCGCCGTTGCGCTGGCCTCTGTTGCTACTACCGACGGCAAAGACACGACCGAGACGCCCGAAGCGTCGTCAGAGTTTTCCTCCTCCTCGTCGTCCACCGTTTCTTCCATGTCCGTTGTTGAGGGATCACCAGAAAGCTCAACGCCTTGGGGACAGGTTTCGTATATGAGTCGGAAGTGCCCGAGGTCATTTACCACTCCAATTACGAAGGTCTCGACCTTGACGGCGATCCCTTTGTCTTGACTAGGCAAGCGCTGCAAGACAAAATCATCCATCACCAGGAAAAGCGATTGCTTGCCACGGCGCCGCCTGCGAGCGGAAAAAGCAGCATGATAGCTTTTCTAATCCGTCGCCTTGAGGAAGCGCAAAAGCAAGTGTTCCTCCTGAAAATGGCGGCTCCGAAGGATGAGAAGGCGCAGCGATCTGCTTTGCGGGGAGAATTTCGATGCGCGCTTTACACCGCTGGAGTCTCGGCGGAGGATTTCCGCCACATGTCCTACTCCACTCTGCTGGAGGGTGTGCTCAAGTCCCACGATTACGTTTTTATCGATGACGCCCAACGATGGTAAACAACAACTTTGATGGAAGACCTTATAAAGGGCAACGAAAGTCGCGCTCGGGTGGTCTTTTTCGCTTCGCTATCTCCTGAAGCGTCCGATTTGCCAACTCCCGCAGTATCTGGTCGGCTGTCTTGGAGTGACTTCAAACTGGAGCAAGCCGAGCAGGACGATTTTCATAGCCGCGTGATCGAATGGGCAACCACCGCACGGTTGGGGAACGAGCGCTTCAACTGGCTCGTTGACATGCTGCCAATTATCAAAGCGCACACTGGTGGCCATGTGATTTGCTTCGTCTGTATGTTTAAGAAATGTGCGAGGCATGGCGGAAAGACGCCGTGATCGAAGGGTGTTCGACTGTTAAAACGGCATTGACTCGATATTACTTCGGCCCCATCTGCCACGCGCTTGTCAGCAAGCGCGCTGGTTTTGGCCTGCGCACTTGTCGTTACCGGAAGTTCAGACGCTCATGAGAAAGCTGTTTGAAAGTGAGGCGCCTGTCGAAGCCCCACCCATCGGCGCCGACAACGGAACAATGTCCGCCGAGAACGTGGCGAAACTGATCCTTCTCCGGGCCGTCGTAGTCGTTAGCGTCAGCGATCCCCTCAACTCGCACCGCCAGCTTCTCGAGTTTGCGACTTCAGTTCATTGTCGATATTGGTTCCGAGTGGCGTATCCTTCCGCCATCACCGCAGAGGATACTTCTCGTGTGCATAATGATATCGACGTGTGGCTGCGCTTCGTATTGCGAGCGTTCCAAAGCACTGCGCTCTCGAACCCAAGCTCCCACGGCAACAGCGCACTTTTACTTCCTTTGGAATGGACGTTCCAGCATGAGTTTTGGCGCGGCGCGTCAATGATGCTGCCTCCCTCCATGCGCGTCGCTGCCGAAGTGTCAAAAGTCATGACCCGATCGACGGTGGGCCGTACGCGGCTGGACTTTTGGGTAAACTCCTCGCTAAACTGGGCTGTCGAGCTAATGCGCAGCCCACAGTCGGACCCTGACAGCATCAAGGATCATGTGGATCGAGTTCGTGAGAACGGGCGCTACTACGGCCTGGAGCCGGCTCAATGGCGCGTGGTAAATTTCGACCGCCAGGGTGTGATCTTGAGCAAGCTGCTGCAGATGCAACCGATGGCCTACTCGTGCCAAGGTCTCGTATCATACTCGCCCGCAGTCGCGCCGAGGGCGCTCCGGCGGCACTCTCTGGAGAGTGTGCCGGACAGTCCAACGCACACGACAGTCCAACGCACTTTTCTTTGGGTGTTTGTGGAACCCAAAAGTCAATGACAATTTCCGTACTTCTTCAGGTGTGCGGGCAGGCCGGCGACTTTTGCTGGTGGCTATGCTCGGATGATGAGTACTTGGGGCGTCATACCCAGACTTTGGGCCACTAAAGACATCGGATCATCCGCAGCAAAAATCAGCTAACCCTTCTCAAGAAAAGCTAGAAAAGTGCGTTGGACTGTCCTGTGCGTTGGACTGTCCGGCACTCTCTCCAGAGAGTGCCCGGCTTCACGCAGCGCGGGAAGTACCGGGTCGACTGTCACTGTCAATCTCCGATACGCAGCGGCCTTTTCCTTTCATTTCTCTCTGTTTCCATGCTCTTCGCGTTTCCCATTCCCTGTTCCCAGAGAATTTGAATAGCGTGACTCCCCTTATCTCCCCCCCCCCCCCCCCCCCCCTGCTCGCCAGAAGATCAACAGCAGTTATCACGCTGTTCTAGTTCTTGCTCCTGTTCTAGTTCCGGCTCCTGCTCCAGTTCCGGGGCTCCTGTTCCAGTTCTTGTTCCTGTTCCAGTAGTTCTTGTTCGCGCCCCAGTAATACAGTCTCTGTCTCCCAGTCCACTTCGGTGACTCCGTCGACGCAAGCTTGGCCCGCGCAAACCCCTGGAGCACTCCGTTGAGATATTTCATCCATGCTTCAACAAGACATGATGATAAATTTGGATGATTATTGACCACAGATCTTATATTGAAGAGAGATAATGCCCGTCTAGTTAGGATTTAGTAGGGGATGGACCCATCAGCAAACCATTCGGCAGGTAGCCGCGAGCGCTAGTCCGACTTTGGGGATTCTGGCCGAGGGGGAAAATCCACATCTCCGTGCTTGAGATCGTCGTCCGGGTCCGTTCCCGGGTCGCTCCAAAATTCTGAGTCGTCACTGCTGTCAGTGGTGTGGCTGCCGAGGTCAGAGTTATCAGAGTCGCTGACCGGGTGGTCCTCTTCGAATACTGAGTATGTGTCGTATTCGTCACAACGGAAAACAAAGGTCGTAGCCAGGGCGGCGAGAAGCAGGAAAAGTTGCTGAGGGCTGGAGAAGCAGGGCAACGAGAGCTCCCTCCATGCTTCCAGTAAGTGTGGACTTGAAAGACACTCAGGGAGCGTCTTCAGATTCAGAAGATTCGTTTCAAGAGTCGGGATACCATCGCAAAGCACCTCAAAGTCCAGCAGAATCTTTTCAATACCGTTGCCCTTTGACATAAAAACAACAGAGCAATCAGCAACATTCGTCCGCTCGGCGTCGTAATCACTTAATGTGCTGAATCTCGCAACGAACTGCGTGTCTGGCGATTTGCGAAAATGAAATACAACATCGCCCTGATTGCCTCCGCAACAATATTCTATGTCCTCCAAACCCCGTTGAGGAGCGGCCGCGACGGGGACAACGTTAAACTGCGCCCATTCAGCTATATCGCCCAGCGTCGGCTCAAAGACGAGAGGGATCCCGCCTAACAAGGGCTCCAGTTCGAGATGGGGTTTCAAATCGCAGGACAACTTGCAGTACACACGCTCCAGTAGCGGGAAATCAAAGAATGATGCAGCCCAGAGCTGTTGTACCAAACCGGAAAGCGTAGACCAAATTGTCTTTGTCATGCGATTCCTGGGCGAAGCGCAGAGTAGTGATATAAGGTGTTCCCTTGTAGCCGTAGGAAGGTCTATGAAAGTGCTGCGAACCAACTCGTACATCTCCTTCTCCATGTATGCGTCGCGATCGGAAAGCGTTTTATCGAAGGGAGCTTGCGGATGAAAATATTGACATCTTCGGATTGCGTTTGCACTGTTGCAGCGGAAGCATGGATATGTTCTCGCACTTCCGGAAAAGCGGTACGGAACCAGTCCCAGATCTCCTTTTCAGGCACGCTAATATTCAATGCTATGTTCTCGACACAGCTAGTCAAGCAGATTTCGTCATCCCCACCGACCCCGTCTTCATCCTCGACAGGCTGCCATAGGCTGTATGCAACAACCGGCGGCCGCCCACGATATGCACGGACGAAACCGCGCTGCTCTTCGGGCAGTCTTTCCAGCGGAACGAGAGGAGATGAGGCATCAGTTATAAAGAACCCTATCGTCAACGAAATGGCCCCGGTTCCATAACGGCCTCGCATGTGATCGTTGAGGCGACAGCCAAGAATAACAGTCTGGTGGCCGTTCGCGGTGAACAGGGGTATCGCCACCGCGCTCTGGTGAACTCTTTGGCGGCTTCTGTCATATTGTATACTAGCATCGTTCAGGTAAAGAGGAATCCACCCTTCGGGCAACGGACACGGGGGCGTGCAAGCGATCAAACCAGCACGAATAGTGGCGGTTGCTGCGTGACAGGCGGTGTCATACTGGGCGCGGGTGTCCAATGCGGCTAGCTCGAACCACAGAGCAGCGGCGGCTTTGCAGAGAAGAGGAAGGAGTGGGCAGGAGGCAAAAAGCTTTGATCGAAGAGCAGAGGAAGTGGCTGCGAGACGGCAGAGCGAGCGACCGTCTAGAAGCGCCGTCACACGCGCGAGTACCGGGTGGGCAAGGAGGATCGCCTCCATTCCTTGGCAGTTCCGTCCTGCTTGCGCGTCCGCCAAGTGGCTCTTGAGACTCTGATGAGATGACCCGATCGAGGCCTGCGTAACGCATCTAGCAGTTCAGCAGTTCTCCCCTGAAAGTCAAGTCGCGGCATGCTGTGGGGGGTGTAGTCACACAAATGACAGGTTATGGGCTGTCAGATTCTTTCTGCGATTATTTCGTCATCACCGGAGTTCATGTCGTATATATGTACAAGGTCATCTAACGAGCCAGATTCAACACTTGAAACTTCCTCAATCACGACAGTCTTACAATACATTGAGAGAACCATGATGACAATGGGAAAATGCACATGCACAGCACATACCAAATGTGTGCGGAAGAGGGAGCAAGCCACTAAACTGCGGTCTCCTTGTAGCGGCACCTAGGGTCGTTGTGGACCTTGTATGACGGCGTGTCAGGATGTTGGGGGATCGGGCGAAGAGTCGGCGGCGTATTAACTCCCAAACGGAGCACTTGCGCAAACATCGCAGTCGGGACGATGTAGACGGTTTGGTCCGGGGAGACAAGAAGATAGCGTTGGCCGGTTATCCTCTCATAGTGAATGCGTGGCCGTCTCATATTGAATGCGTGGCCTGAATGCTGTGCCATGCCTCAGCCGATACACGGTCGTCGTAACGCGAGAGCACAACGGGGGATTTGTCGAGAAATGTCCGACGTTGGGGAGATTGATATCTATAGAGGTGAATCCAATCAGGTGTCAACATGGCCGTGTGCTATCTGGCACTTCGACGCTGCTGACCCTTACCTCGATGCAACCCCGTTAAGTACAGCAATTGACCCACTTCTCATAGAGAGTCTGAAGCGTTTTCGAAGTTTGTTTCTTCGTGATCGGTGTGTCGCTGGCCGAGTCTACGAACTGTGTTGAGTGCCCGAGTCTGGGTAGGCATCAGCTCTTTGCTAACATACAGAAAGGGTGGGGAGGACAACACTTCCCTGCTCAGACTGTCGCTTACCCCTTCATCGTAACCTCCGCTCAGAGGTGGTGTTTGAGCTTGATTTAGGAAGTCAATTTCTCTAATGCCTACAAGACAGAGCAATCGCACTGCACTGGTTCTCTGCTAATGACAGGTCGATCGTAGCCGATCCCGCCAGGGCCGCCACGATTCTAAGGTGTTCCGCACGGAGCGCACGCGTAGTTTCGGGCTAGACAGTTTGGTTAGCCCGCGTCTAATTCCTCCCATGGGCTTCTCGGTTCTCGGTAGGTCAGATGGACCGGAGCTGTCAGGCTGGCCTTTCTCGATCGCCGCTGTCCCGAGTCCCGACGGAAGCTCTACTGTATAGTCTGTCCTGCTGCAGATTGCCCGGGACATCGCGAGTCGCGACTCGGGCGGACGGAATACTAGTGCATCTTTCAGTGAATGTGAGCAAACAGTGTTTCCTGACGAGGTTGCCTCTGCGTCCCTCCCTACACCCAGAGCGAGGAGAATATTCCTCATCCCTGACTTACAGTACTGGACATGGAGCAAGCTCAGCAAGCACGTTCTGGATTCTGAAGTTTGGTCCATCGGATGTCCACCACTGTTGGAACATTGTGGCCACCCCTCGCCAACAGGTTAAATGCGATTCATACTCATATTATCAAAGACACTCAATTGCACCACAAGGTGAAGGAAGTTGGTTACATGGAGGTCAGGCACACCGAGGTGGTTCTGGAGTGAAGCCGACGAGCTCAAGTTACACTGCGGTCAGAGATTTTGCTCTTTCGGTCCTTGTAGTTCAGATGTGCCCACCGATCGTCTAGAGCCCACTGACCGAACTCGTAGATGTATGTAGTTCCTGAAACGGCTGTACTGTATTGAGTATGTCTCACGGCACCTACAGCTGTGGTCGAAACCGCAAGGCTTGCTGTCGCATCGAACTCCAGCATGCAAACCCAATTTCACGCGGGGTTTGCGGTGTATCCTTCAGCCAGGTTACGCCAAGAAGCGGCATCTCTGGTGTCTGGCTGGAATGCCTACGGTAGCCTCAATGCGTGACGCGTCTCCCCGGGGCACACATGGGCGATTTGGACACATTCCAACCACCACTTGTTATGAGCTCTATATATATATATATATAGCTCGTTAACTCTGACGCGCTACAGCTTGCGGGTCGAGCGAGGGTTGCCTTATGTGGATGCGGAAACTCAGTCCCGACTTTTTCGCTGAAAAGACATTACTTTTTGCGGACGGGTCGCCCAGCGCTGTGTTGTGCATAATGGCACATACGGAGACGTACCCCACGAGGCGGTCACTTCAGTGCCGAGGAGCATCAATATGCATCTCAAGAGAAACCTCTAGGTATATTATTTCTGTACGGAGAGGAGCAGTCAACCGGCTCGTCCTGCCTCATCCTATCATCCTACCTCATCCTGCCCCATCCTGCCGCACCCTCCCTCATCCTGCCTCGCTCCATCCTCATTCTGCCTATTGCTGCCCCAGTTGCCCTTATCCTAACCCATCCCGCCCCGTTCTGCCTCACTTAGCCCCGCCTACCGGCATCCTGCCTCATCGTTTCATCCTTTCAACGCCCAACAGTCGGCCACCCAGTCAATCCATTTATGGCAAGCATCCCGAGGAAGGTTGGTTATTTCCTTGTACACCCCAAATGGCGGTCAAGTCAGTAGAGGCGGTATCGGGAAGTTCTGAAGCTATGTTGCCATGATCTTCCGCGGGTTTCAACACGGAAGAACGGGTTTCGGCAGCGGAAAAGGAAGCGATGGCAGCGGAGGCTCAGGATCTCAGTGGGGGACAGGAACAAGCGGCAGACCTTGAAGGGTAGGTGCAGAGGGTTCAACAAACGTCTACGAGGGTAGATATGTAATGGATATATATCCCGGCGTAATGTCATCGTTCTTCGGCTAGGAAAACGGTGGCCCTCCATCGCATCCAGTCACTCTTTGCTGCTCGTACGCCCGACCGATGAGGTGTCCCAGGTGGCAGGCTTCCTATCGGGGACTGCATGGCTGAACATCCAGGCAACGCGTTGAGCACATTCGATATTCAAGAGCACTCGCGCACAGTGGCTTGTGAGACAGCGCGATTTCAACGATGCCAGAGAACGACATGGACCGGATTCCCGTATATCACCCGGCAAAAACAGATTGTAGAGGTTCTGTCTCGACGGCGGTAGCGCCGCATGCGCGCCCGACATGCTTCGCAATTTCCGCCAGTCGATCCATGCGTATCAGAATCTGGCCATGATGTTGGTTCGTGTGGTAGATAAGCTCCATCGGGACTTTCCCTTTCCCTCCTTCCGCCGCCGCACTAGCCTCTAGATACGCCTTGACTCTCTCAGACGGTACGATACTATCTAAATCGGACAACATCACAACGTTGGTCAACCCGTTTTCGCACTTGGGCAGATCGTCGTAAAACATGATGTTCCTGCTCCAATGGAAATGCCTGCTGAGTGCATTTGCGATGTACATCTCCCGGCTGACAAAATAATTCATAGCGAGTTCGAGGGAGTTGGCAGGTGTCCGGTAGAGGAAGTTGAACGCGACCTTGGGGTCACACAGGAGAAGGTTGACGGGATCGAGAAGCACCGCTGACGCCACCAACGAAGAATGTTGTGAGGAATGGATGATCCACGAAACGGCGACGGTCCCCAGGCTGTGAGCGACAAAACACGCTCTTGCGACGCTGTCGAGGGTCAGCACGCACGATATCAACTCCAATGTGTGCTCAATGGTGGGAACTTCTTCACTCAACTGCATGGAAACGTGCGCCCATTCAAGTAGGTACACTGGCACGTTTCGCGGAAGCTGTGCAAGGATCGCGAGATACTGACAGAATCCAATTCCGATTCCGTGAATAAATACGACCGGCACGGCACTTGGATGTGCAGGCCTGGTCGCAGGCCGATACCAGAAGGTGGCCACGTCCCCCGCGGTGCCCGTAAGTCTGATAGAGCGCTGGTAATAGCCGAGAGCACGAACACAAATGTGAGCAATAGCCCCGATGCCTTTGCAGACTGCGTAGTAGATCCAAGGCCGATGAGTGGTTTGCATTGCATCAATGTTGAGACGTATGCATCTGATGTTATCGTTCCTGCCCGGTGGAAATGAATGATGAGAATAGCGCTCTATCGTGCTCACAAGCTTTTCGACCTCATCAACTTTTTCTTCGTCAAGGGTTTCCAGATCCTGGTCCATGAACGCCCACGCAACCCAAGTTTTGATGTTCTCCTTTTTGATCGAATAGTAGTTGGCGCCTAGAAACCATCCTTCCATCACCACCCTAAAATAGTCCATTGTGACCGCCGTAACATCATGCCCATGGCCAACTGAGCCTTTGGCTGCTAGCGCGAGGGCGTGCATGCATTTTTCGACTAGCAGTTCCCGTTCAGCGGGGTCGGAGGCAGCATGACAAGGGGGTCGAGGAGCTTGTAGGCGTTTGATGGTGAAGAGATAGTATGGAAACCATATCGACTCTGCCAACATCCACCCCGTCAAGACGCCAAGCAGGCCCGTAGAGAGGATGGATGACGAGAGTAGACGTTCGACGCGGCGCGGCATTGTGAGGAGGCACTACACATGAACGAAGTAGGCCATGAGTGAGAAGGTACCCAGACACACGGCTCGTAATGGGAGACTACACTACTCACCCATCCGAGGACGATGAGGTAGATATAAGCGAGTGGTGTAATGGACCGTATGAACAATATCAGAAGTTGCCACAAGCGAAAAGCTATCGACCTGCCGGGCACAGTGCTTTCTGTCTGCCGTTGCGATGCCATCGACGATGCTTTCTCGGGCCCACGAGGGATCGAATAGTGCCCTCGGTGACGCAAGTTTGAGTCCGTTTTGACTCCCATGTCGCTGCAGGTCTGCTTGGAGTGCGGATGACACCGTGTCGGAGTTTGAACTATGTGCGAATGCCTTCAAGGGTTTTCCGCGGCGAGGATCCGAGGCCAGCTTTATATGGGATTGCAGTAGCAACGAGTTGCTGGCCCCGTGCAATCGTCAGTTCCTAATGGTCTCTCACGTGTTGGTGGAGAGACCTCGCGTGCACGTGTCAGGAACGTGTCTGACGGTGCTGCCGTTCTTCCGAACAGTCATCGAGGCCAAGGGGTTACGATTGCAAGTTTCTTCCATGCACCCCCTCCGTTTTGGCTCACAGTCTGCCATTGTTTAGCGCAACATATTTCGGGTAAGTACAGCTCTTTTCGCGAACACGGTTGCCATCTTGATCATGTCCAACACTTCGCAGGATCGGCGCTGTTATCGCCCAAATCTGCGAGTCGATTATTCTTGACCTGCGCCACGTTCGGCCCGTCTCTCACTTCATCCCAGAGCTCGAAGTCTGTTTGAGCTTGCCGGCCGTGCTCGGGCGCCAAGGCATCCGTCAGACACTGAAGCCGCCTTTGACGGACGGGGAGGAGGCGCTGCATGCGAAATTCTGCTGCGGGGATGAAGGAAGGTTTCGCCGCCGCCCACTCCTAATAGAAACGCTTCCTGCACCCGCGCTCCCCTCTGAAAGTCGGTCCTCCGCCTGTCTCGTTAGTAGCATGTGCGCATAATCATGCGGCTAGTAAATAGTAGTGCGGTCTGAGCGCGGTTGGAAAGCTGCCAGCTTTTCGGCCGTTCTAAAACATCAATGTCTGATGAGCGTTTGGGGCGTTCTGAAGCAGACCAACGTAAATGAGGTTCGCGCATAAGCGGGGAAGGGTACTGCGGAAGGGAGTGGGGATGCGAAGGGGAATAGGGGCGCCGTGGGGGGATATGAATTGTAGAGAGGCGCAATGCTTATTTCGCTATAACGGTCCTTCTCAAAACATTGCAGAATGTATGGTATGCTCATCTCCGGCCTTCGACAGGGACTTACCGCTGGTCATCCCGCCAAGCGCTCCCATGCGAGGGGCCCTCGAAACAACGGCATGAAATGATGGAAGGTAAAGAAGGTGACGTCGCAGTGAGGGTGAAGCAATGAAGACCGCAAGAGCAGGGCATAAGGACACGGACAAACTTGCCCCCGGTCCGATCGCGCCTCCGGCAGGCCGGAAGTAGGGGATAACAGGTTTCTAAACGGCTATGGTCTGGTGAGAAAAATTTGACTCCAGCGGCACATTAGAGTCCGCCGCCTTTCCTGACGAGGATTTCATGGCCTCCACTCCGTGGTTTTCGTCCTTAACGCGCGGGACGAACGTCGCGCTCCGGTGGGCAGGGATTCCGGAATCGAACATGTCGTCGACGTCCTCGAGAGCGAGGCCGGGAACGCAAAGGGAAGGTGTCAACGGATTGTTATCCTTCATGCACACAAAAAGGATTGCGCCCGCGGGCTTACCCTTGGTTTCGGGAACACAAAAGTAGACAAAGGCCATCCCTGCGAGGATAAACGCCGCCCAGAGGAAGTCGATTTTTGGGCCCAGGTTGGCCTGATCGGGCTTGAGGAGGTACGGAGTAACAAAACCGAGAAGGAAATTCCAGAACTAGGAAGATGAGAGACCAAAACGATGAGATATCTGACATGCACCAGCCATACCCGAAGACGTTCGCTGTGGCCTTACCCAGTTGGAAGCGGTGGCGAGGGCGACTCCCTTGGATCTGATGCGGAGCGGGAAAATTTCCGTGCTGACCACCCACGCCCCGGGCCCCCACGACGACGCGAATCCGAAGATGAACATGCACGTGAACACGATCATCACGATTCCAGCTGTGGAGTTGGAATCCAGAATTTCACCTGTTGAACTCCAAATGCGCAGGGTATGCGGTTCCCACGGACGCGACCAAGACCTGAGCTACCAGCATGATGGCGGAGCCCATAAGCAGAAGCTTTCGTCGGCCCATCTTCTCCATGAGGTAAAGGGCGGGAAGGGTGGAGAGGACGTTCACGACTCCAGTAACGGTGGAGCCGCTGAAAGCCTCTTTGATCCCAGCCTGTTTGAAAAACCCGGTTCCAAAGTAGAACACAGCGTTGACACCGGTCAGCTGCTGGAACATCTGCAACCAAATGCCGACCTGCGTCCGTCGGTTGCTTGTGCCGTTGAAGCAGTCTGACCACGTTGCTTGACCGAGCTGGGCGTCGGTGTGGAGCGCCTCCTGCATCTCGTGTGCATCTCGGCCTGGATGGAAGGGTCGCCTTCGGGACGCGAGCGGAGGCGGCAGAGCGCGGACATGGCATCATGGTCGCGCTTCTGGCGGAGGAGGTTGCGGGGCGAGTCGGGCAGAAAGATCATTCCGCCGGCTAGGAAGGCACCGAAACCCTAACCCTGGATGGCGATCGGGATGCGGTAGGCCTCGCGACCCGCCAGATTCTTAACGCCCTGGTTGACGCATTGGGCGCAGAGAATGCCGATGGTGATGGCGAGCTGGTAACAAAAGACGAGGGCGCCGCGCAGGTGCTTCGGCGCTGCCTCGGCCTGGTAGAGCGGAACCATGTCGGAGAGGAGACCGATGCCGAATCCAGCGACGACACGGCCGGGTACCATTAGGGCGAGGCTGTGGCTGGCGGTCTGAAGGCCGACGCCTACGAGGAATACTCCGGATGAAATGATGATGCCGAACCGTCTACCAAACTTGTCGGCGACGTAGTGCGCCAAAAAACGTTCCGACGGACAGGATAGACACGAGAAGCGAGCTGAGTCGGGCGGTGATGTCCCCATTTTCAGCTGGCCCAAAGTCCCGCTTGAAGGCTGTGTGGGGAAAAAATTGAAGGCTGTGTGGGGATTAGATTCGTAACACATCGCACTCCTGCAGTGATCCCATCTAAATGTTGTCCTCTCTAAGCCAAAACACTTTTCCTCTGTCGCCGGGAATGTCGCGTGTAATAAGGACATCGATCAACCTCCCGCCGGCGAAGCGACGCGCCATTTGCGCAGTCAGAAACTCCAGACTCACGCGTTTGAGTGTGTGTGTTTTTGGTCTGTGTTGGGCAAGTATCTGTGAAGGACGGTGGTGCTTTCTCTCCGCATCGCTAGGCTTTGTATCTATAGTTCATCCGTCAACCAGGCCATTCATCCATCCGGGTCATCTGCCGCGTGCATAGTGAGCTAACCGGCCCAAGCACAAACGAGGGAAAAGGAGAAGAGAAAAACGCCTCCTTTCAACGCCTACTTTAAAGTCTGTATTCTGCGGATGCGTTCACTTCCCAGAGCTGGTGGAGTTCCGAGTTGCAGCAAGCCACTTTAGGTGTTACACTGGGAGACCATCCTTGAGTTTCCTCTAGTCAAAGGTCAGCAGAGCTTTGCCTGTGGCGGCTGATATCGCGTAGGAGCTAAATGGTACCGGTTCGAACAGGAGTTGCAAAACATCAAATCAAAGAGAAGGAAATGGACTTCCCTTCCATCTTTGGCATCCGGTTGATGAGCTGGCATTTTGAGTTGGAGCCTCGCAATGGGAGAAAGGTGTGTGGCAGCAAGGTAGATAGCGAGGTATGCGGTTTCCGACCTTCCTGACCCTCGCCTGCCCTGGACACCAATCATTTGGACACATTGGTACGTGTGAGCAAAACACGTGCCATGAGAAGGTGAAGTTCCTTCTCAGAACCGACTGACCTCACGAACGATTGCGTTGCTATGTGAAAAGGTGGCTTAGGAAAAACAGAGTCTCAGAACAAAGAGGAATCCCGCGCACAATCAGGAGGCAATTTATGAGTTACGCAAAACCTAACACCCCACAGCCTCTGTGCATGGATGAGTCTGGCACGAGGCTCAAGGCTCATCCGGTCATGAAAGCCCTCCGCGCATTCGACGCACAACGTGAATTGCGACGCGACCACGTCATGAGTCCGCTTGATCCCCAGTCCTTCCTTTTCCCACTCCCAGCACCTATTACCTCCACTTCCGGAACTATATAAGGCTTCTCGCCCACTCTGCAGTTCCACCCCTCGTACCTTTCTACTTTCAATTCCTGTCCGCCCTGGCTGACACTCGCACTCCTCCCAGATTCATCGCTTTGAAACGGCCCGGGACTGAACAAAATCATAGGACGCTTGTCAATTGCTTTTTCGCTCACTGAAGCCGCAGACCCATCCAACATACCATGACCGTCATGGGTGCGCCTGCAGAGACCGACATTGCGGTCAAGAGCATCTCTCCTTATGGGGTTGCGCGCGCAACGGTGCAGGGCACACCTCTTACGCCTGAGGAGCTCCGCAATACCGTCGACTACATGAGTGCATCATTGTACCTCTGCCTCGGCATGCTCTACCTCAAGCAGAATCCACTTCTCAAAGAGCCACTCAAGGTCGCTCACCTCAAGTCAAGATTACTAGGTCATTGGGGTTCGGACCCCGGACAGATCTTTGCGTGGGTTCACATGAATCGGCTCATCAAGAAATACGACCTCGATGCCCTCTTCATCTCGGGTCCCGGCCATGGCGCTCCTGCCGTTCTCTCCCAATCTTACCTCGAGGGTGTCTACAGCGAGGTATACCCCGATAAGTCGGAAAACGAGGAGGGGATGCGAAAGTTCTTTAAACAGTTCTCCTTCCCTGGGGGCATCGGAAGTCACGCGACTCCAGAAACGCCCGGCAGCATTCACGAAGGGGGAGAGCTCGGCTACTCCATCTCGCATTCGTTCGGTGTCGTCTTCGATAACCCCGACCTCATTACCATTACCATGGTGGGAGACGGGGAGGCGGAGACAGGCCCGTTGGCGACCAGTTGGCACAGCACGAAGTTCTTGAATCCAATCACAGATGGCGCTGTGCTCCCCATCCTCCACCTGAACGGTTACAAGATTAACAACCCGACCATTCTGGCTCGTATCAGCCATCATGAGCTCGAGGCTCTATTCATCGGCTACGGCTGGCAACCGTTCTTCGTCGAGGGTAGCGACCCGGAAAGCATGCACCAGGCAATGGCCGCCACCATGGAACAATGCATCACCAAGATCAAGGCATACCAAAGGCAGGCGCGTGACTCTGGAAAGGCATTTCGTCCGTTCTGGCCCATGATCATCCTTCGCAGTCCCAAGGGCTGGTCCGCTCCCCGCGACGTCGACGGCCACTACCTGGAAGGCTTCTGGCGCGCCCATCAGATTCCCATGCCCGACATCGCCAAGAACAAGGAGCACTTCGCCATCTTCGAGAAATGGATGCGCAGCTACGAGCCCGAGCGCCTCTTTACGTCCGACGGTCAGTTGATTCCAGAGTTGAAGAAGCTGCCGCCCACTGGCAACCGCAGGATGAGCGCGAATCCGGTCGGTAATGGTGGGCTTCTTCGCAAGCCTTTACTCCTTCCGGACTATCGTCATTATGCCCTCGAGGTGAAAAAGCAAGGCACCACGAGCGGACCTTCAATGTCCAATATGGCCAGGTTTCTGCGTGACGTCGTTCACAAGAACCCGACCAACTTCCGCGTCTTCGGGCCGGATGAGACAGAGTCAAACAAACTCGGGGCCATTTACGAGGCTGGGAAGAAGGTCTGGATGGCCGAGCACTTTGAGGAGGACCTGGACGGCGGAAATCTAGCTTTTGCCGGTCGTGTCATGGAGATGTTGTCTGAGCATACGGTCGAAGGCTGGCTGGAGGGTTATATTCTCAGTGGCCGTCACGGTTTGCTGAACTCGTACGAGCCCTTCATTCACATCATCGATAGCATGGTCAACCAGCACTGCAAGTGGATTGAGAAAGCACTGGAGATTGAGTGGCGCGTCAAGATCGCCTCCCTCAATATCCTGCTGACCGCGACCGTCTGGCGCCAGGACCACAACGGCTTCACCCATCAAGATCCGGGTTTCCTCGACGTCGTGGCGAATAAGAGCCCCGAAGTCGTCCGCATCTACCTCCCCCCCGACGGCAACTGCCTCCTTAGTGTCATGGACCACTGCCTCAAGAGCGAAAACTACGTCAACGTTATTGTGGCCGATAAGCAAGACCACATCCAGTACCTCAACATGGATGACGCTATCACGCACTGCACCAAGGGGATCGGCATCTGGGACTGGGCGTCCAACGACCAGGGTGCTGACCCAGACGTCGTCATGGCCTGCTGCGGCGACGTTCCAACCCACGAGGCCCTCGCCGCTACGGCCATCCTTCGCCACCACATGCCGGCGCTCAAGATCCGCTTCGTCAACGTCGTCGATCTATTCAGGCTCATCTCGGCCGAGGACCACCCGCACGGCCTTACGGATCGCGAGTACGTCGCGCTCTTCACGGCCGATCGGCCCGTCATCTTCAATTTTCACAGCTATCCCTTTATGATCCATCGGCTAACATACAAGCGCCCCGGGGCCAACGTCAATTTGCATGTGCGCGGGTACAAGGAGAAGGGCAATATCGACACGCCGCTTGAGCTGGCGATCAGGAACCAGACGGATCGGTACAGTCTCGCGATGGACGCGCTGGACCGGATCCATGGCTTGCATAATTCCGGCAGTGGGGTGAGGGAAAAGTTGCTCGATGAGCAGATCCGCATGCGCAATTGGGCGTATGAGCATGGAACGGATCCGAAGGACATTACCGAGTGGAGTTGGCCACTTTAAAGTCGAGGCAGGGGGAGAATCATAGTGTGCAAAGACCGAGGCCGGCAGAGTTGTGAGATGGCGGCCGGAGTTTCGCGCGGTAAGGAAGGATTGTGAATCGACGCCACGAGTTAGGAAGACTTATAAGTAAATAGGATGTTTTCACAGTAGATTCTCCACATTGGCCTGTGTTTCAGAATTCAGCCTCCAAACCTCCTAAAGTCAGGTACGCAGCACCGACGTCATAGCACCGTCGCAATTACCGTTGAAGTGACGATGCCCGTGAAGTTTGCTAATGCCATCGACAACAACAAATTGAAGAAAATGCCACACCCGGGACCTACTCCATCAAACATGACGGCAAACACCCATCTGTAGGCCTAACTGGCATATCACAGTCCTATTTCTCGATGTGATCTCATATTGTGGCAGTAACCGGGTCTGGGAGAAGTAGAGCTGGTGCTTACAATGAAGATATCATACTCTTTTTCGGGTAACCGGTCAAGAGCGTCTTGACCTTCATCCGCCACGTCAGCCACGATCCGAAGTTTATTCAGTGTCTTTCTTGCAATTTGTTGGTTGATGATGTTATCCTCTAAGACCAATATATAAAGGCTCGATAGATCGGCCTTGATCTCCCGATAGTTGGATTGTGAATCCTTGTCTTTCCAGAATGTCTAAGCTCCTCACCAAACCTCTCGCCTTTCGGTATTCGAGCGACCCAGTATCAAGCGCGGATGGAGGCGGTTCCATCCACACCGACGGCGGGGTGTCCATCACCAAGTCGCTTCATGTACATACAGTACATTCAGATGTACATCATCCACAATGCAAAAGCCGTGTCCCGCACTACGCTCGAAAACTGCGAGTGCACTCCCCGCAATCAAACATCATCCCTCTTCTTCCTTACATCCAACACACTCCCCGCCCTCCCGGTCTTCGCCCCCTTTTGATCCCATTGGGTATCCACAAAACTGGGGGTCGCCACTTCCTTGGAGTCCCCGAGTTTCTTACTTCCCGCGGCTAGCGCTTCGAAACCGTTTTCCCCCAGCGTCCAGAGAGCACAAATCATCATTTGAGTCGGTACAACAAAGTGGTGATCGGCAACTGCAGGGAACGCAGCAGGTTTGGTTTGTTTCGGGTCTGTGATGTTCTCTCCAGTCGATGGGACGTTAAAGTGAACCTACCATCATAATACATGACCACCTGCTCGCACGGGCGTGAAACAAGGACGCAATCATCAACAAGGCGCATCAGATCAGGACTAGGGAAGGGCGAACACTCACCACTATAGCCGCTATCAAAGCAGACATGGACATTGCCATCAACGCATTATTCGCCATCTCCAAATGCGCCAGCTGCGACGGGGCTGCGGACGAACTCACACTCTGCTGCGCCACGCGCAACTTGTATGTGAATGTAGCCAGGCCCGCTACGATGTAGATGAGCGGGTTGACGATCGCCACCCACCAGAACCCTTTGCTGACGTGGATTTGAGTTGCAATGTCGTGAATGCCATATGCCAGAGCGGCGATGGTGGAAACTACGGCGATGACAGATTGGAAGATTAAGACGGCTCGTTGATGTCTGGGGTTTGAGTAGACGGCTGCGTATCTTGTTTTTTGTATGTTTTTGATGCAGGGGTGGGGAAGGAGAGTTGAGTAGCTGATGGAAGGTCAAAGCCATTCGCTCTGTGCCCACCTATAGGCGGCCGCCACCACAAGCAGCACGTCCCTAATCTCCGGGACGATGACCAGGAATCTGACGTACTCCACCTGGTGCTCCAGGACATAACTTGGTGGGTGCACCCTATGGGAAGAACCCGCCGGGGAAGTCTTCAGTGGCATGAATAATGTCCTGTTGGCCCATGCAAAAAGGCAACCACGTACTTTCCCCAAATTCCCACCCCGCAATCCATTACTGGAAAAGAGGAGAAGCGATTAGGGCGCGCTATATGGAAAATGCAACGAGAATCGTTCGCTCGCTCAAAAAATCTATTGCCGAAACGGTAGGAAACTTTTGCAGAATAGGGACACTCACCTGTCAGAAGTGCCGCGGCGAAAAGCAAATAAGGTCGGGTTAAGTTTCTATTGGAGAGGAGCCTCCATACAGATATGCCGAGCGCTGACGAGGAAAGGGAGATTGGGACTGTTCAGCTACTCATGAAGTGAATGGCGGGGATTGGCAAGACATACATGCGAAGGAGAATGAACAAAAGCTCACCGGTGACGGCGAACATGAGACTTATGCCAAACATGATCCCTGGTCCACCATACTGCACTGTGCAGGTGCATGTTTTTCAGACGGAAGCAAGACAAGACCAGTTTACAACCCGAGGGACCCATGTCGCAACCTGCCTCCGAAAAAGAGACATCCGGCCCGCTACGTACAAGCAGCATAATCCGCATAATAACTCACTCTCGCCGCTATCCCCGCCTTCACGGTCGGGCTACCCAAAACAGCTGCCTGCACCGAGACATCCCTCGCAACAGCGGCTCGAACGACTGGATTGGCCATCAACCCAGCGAGCACCGCGGGATCCGACCATACCGCCGCAACTGCCGTCGCGTTGCCGAGCAGTCTATCGAAGATGGTTTGTTGGACTGTTGGATTTGCAATGCATTGGGTGATGGCGCCGATATCCATGATTGCGAGTTGACGTTGGGGGAGGAAGAAGGATGATGGTTGGAGGAAGAACGATGATGGTTACCTTGGGAGTTAAGACGCAATTACGTAGGCCGCTTTTCGAATATAAGCGCAACCCAATTTGCCATCGATACATGGGGGGCGTAGGAATGGAGCAATACAGCGACGTAAGTGGTTGGAGGTGTTTCTTGTGAAAGGGAAGGGAGAAGAGATACGGCAGCAAGTATGAGCAACAGTCCATGGCTTGCGATGACAACGCCATGCGCCGTCTGATGCGCCGTATTGCTCCGTATGCGTGTTGATCCTACATACGGTAGCCCTTGGCTGGTCTTGGCTTGCCGAGGGGAAACAGGGCGAACCTCGTCGTGAGTTCCACCCATGACCCTGCCAGGTCCTTCCACAGGGACGCGTGTAAGGAAAGCCACACCCTGACCCTCTCATAAGACCAACGGCTTCGGAGCATTCGGAGGCAAGCCAGGGGCAAAAGCCCTTTTTTTTCGACACTTTCTCGACCGTCCTTGAGAAGGAACGTGTTGCGTACAAATCGCTATTTGTACGCACGGATCGCTCTTGGCGGTCAGGTGGCCAGCGGCATGTGTAGGCAGAGGCATTTTTCTATTGTGCTGCATATTTCACAAAAACATGGCGTCCATCTCAGGGTTCCCTGCTGGTCAGAATTTCTTGGAATCAATTCCGAATCAATTCCTCTGATAGGTTCTCACATTCCCTTCTCAAAACGCTTTCAGACAAAGCACGGACACGGAGGATGCAGGCAGGCTGGCGAGTATAAATCCGTCGTCCTGAAAGCGCGGCCCCAGTTCTCCTCTTCTCCTCCGCATACCGCTTGCACCATTCGCCGTCGTCAAGTATCCACTATGCAGATTACGGCATTTTTGACTTCCGTTTTCGTTGGTGCCGCTGCCGCAAGCCCACTCTCCTGCGAGAGCACCTGGGAAATCCATCAAGACAGTACCCTGAAAGTAATTTCGTTGTTCTCTTATTGCGTTTTGCCTTACTATTACTTACCGACCGTCTATTCTGGCGCGTGTCATAGGATCTTGCCGATCTGAAGACCCACCCGGTTTGGGGCAAGACTTTCAACTCATACTGCTCCTGTGCCAATGCGGTTGCGGCGGTATCGACACCCAAAGCCCCTTGGTTCGTTTGGAACACCTCCACCAAGAAGTGCTTTCCTAAAGGTCTGACTCCTTTCAACCAAGAAGGAGTGCAGCGTCTTGTGATCCCCCCCATGACTTATGACGAAGCACGTAACATTACCGATCTCAGCGGTAGGTTTGAACCATCCACGGTAAGTCATAGCCGCCTACCCTTCCCTACCTTTCAAAAGCGCAACCTCGAACGCTTGAGAAAGTACAGTAGAACGCCTGAACTGATCTTCCTTACCTCTCATCTTATTTAGACGAACGTGTGCAACACCTTCCGGGTTCCTTATCAGTGGCCCAACACGGATTCGGCTTGCAGCGAGATTTGCACCGACAATTACTATATTGGACAATGCGATTTTTCGCTTGCAACCTTTGCTCACGCCGGCTTTACTTATTGCAGCCTTTGCAAATACCAGACGGCCACAGGATCAGTTCTGGGGACCCGGAAAACCTGGTAAATACAGTACGTAGCTAACTGGGGAGGATCGTACTCTTGATCCCGTAAACTTTAGATAGGTCCAAATATGCACAATCCCCCTGTGAACGGCGGTGTTAGTTAGTATGTTAGTCTGCACTATGTAGTCAAACCCTCAGTGTAAATGAATTCACTCGAAATGACAGGATTAAAAAGGTTAAAAAACATCTGAAACTCAAAAGCGTGTGGGCGCTGTGGGGAAGAGGGAAACCTCAGAAACAGCAGCATTGCTTCCCAAAGGCTCCTTCGCAAACCCACCCACCCCAACCCAACTATGTCAACTGCCTCCTCTCCTTTGGCCTCAGGCGCAACTACTCCTGCCAAGCGTCCTGCAACGCCCCTCACCACACGCCGGGTAGCCTTTTCCCAAGGTACTGTACAACTTCACTTAGAGTGGAGGGCGAAACTGTACTAATGGTGAAACCTCGATTCCCTTCAAACAGCTTACGCTGACCTCGCAGAGACTTTCAGCCTACGGGTGCGGCCGCCTATGTTGGCAGCTTTCATTCCGAGGTGATTGACTCACAGGCTGTCCAATTCCCCTCTGAGACCCTTGCATAAGCCCGTTGTTTGACAGCACTGTTACCTTGGCTACACTCCACTTCTACGGCTTTGTCTTCTGTGCTACAGGGATCGCAGCGGCAACGACATGCCCGGACGCTAGCAAGAACCCAAAACTCCCACAATACCTCCAGGAACATTTGTCTCCCATCCAGAGGCGCCAAGTGGACCCACTGATTAAGTATGAGGACGACGCCAGCAGCTCAATGACTAAACAGACGGTCTACGCGACAGCGATTATGTTATCCACTGGACAGGACCTTGAAAAGTTGGACTCTCATTCCTACGGGGAACTTTCGGTCGAAAGACGCCTGTCGTCGATGTTGGTTCGGTTTTTTCCCCTTGACTACGACGAATACTCTGAATACTCGAACGTCGATCTTCCGCTACCTCGTACCACCGCCATCGAATGCACGCTGCCTCAACCGGACTACATCGCCGCTGTGGTGCCCAATATGTCCTTCCCGCCAACCAAGGCCCTTGCCCTTCCGATGTTTCCTCTGGAGGCATCAGTTCAAGGTCTTCCGCAACTGGCTTGTGTGGCAAAGCCTGCTTTGGATCTATATCGTATAATGGGTTTACCGGAACACCGCTGGCATATGTTCGGAGCCATCGTCGGGTACCCTACGGGTGCAGTTGCACGTCTTTGAGTTATACCGCGAAACTCCGGGCGACACGTTCAACACCAATGCCTCCGCTACTTCCATGTTACTGATCTCACGGAACGTATATCGCTTGCTACCGCGATGGCATTCATCGTGAAAGATGCGGTGCAAAGAAGGCAGGAGCTGTTGAAGCAACAAATCCCGGATGTCCCCCTTGCCGCGGCCGAGAACGACGCCTATCTAGAATTCGAGGAAGACAACGAGGACGATGATGACAACACCGGCTTTCTCGTCTAAGCCTTGAGCAATGCCGGTGTTGTCATTGTCGTCCCGTCAATCGAGTTCTGATGCTATGTTGGATGTTGGATGAATTCTGGTTATTGGGATCAAAAACGAATTCTGGTTATTGGGATCAAAACCACATAGTACGATATTGGGGCGAAGCGAGCGTCTACGAGCGATGTAGACGATGGTGACGGAAACGGTATCGACGTCCGGGGGAGCTAGCTAGCCTGCGAGCAATGGCTCGCCGTCGCATGCTAACGTAACTGAGAGGCTGGAGACAGGAACAGCGAGGTCTGGATGCATCAAACGCACCCAGTCCTTGAAGATACTCTGGTCTGCTTGGTGATGCAGTTGACCGGAACTGGCCAGCCGGCGCGTAGAGAGAGGGTGCGCACGGCTGGCTGACTGACCGTGTAGCGAAGACTGGAAGCGAGAAAAGGATGAGGGGGGAAGTCGCTTCCGTTTCTCGTCGGAATGTGACCTCCTGCGTTGACAGTTTATTTTTTCGTTTCGTCCAATGGACATCTGGATAGCTTTTAACTCTCCCGTCTTCACAGACTCAGCTCCGTCTGACCATGTAATGCTCTACGCCGCTGATGGGTAAACGTTCTCCTCCTAAACTAGCTACATACGTAAAACGTCTCCCACTTGACCGATAACGATGAAGGAAACCACATTAACGCCAGTCTACATAGCTAGATGTCAGTAGCGCTGTTCCCTTCCTGAAAGAAAGATGAGGCAAAAGCTGTTGGAGAACCCGGCTCAAGCGAAAGACGAGCTCTTCGCAGAGGGTGTCCGTCGAGCAGTCCGAGCCAAAGCAGAAACCGGTACCATCCCTTCATCGCCCGTACGTAAATTGGTGGCTTTTGCCCAGCCATCTGTGAACTCCTCCCTGTAAATGACGGGGGTGGGTTCGCATGATTAGTTGTAGACACCGCCACTCATTCACCCCGTATAGAAGAAGAAGATCTCTTCACGGATCCAGTGTACCACTTCCCGTTCCCAAAAAAGATGTCTGACTTACTTACCATGTCCCCGACCATCAACACCAGCTCGTCCATCAGTTGCGGTTTGCACTCTTTTATAGCTCTGAACGCGTTCGGCAACGAAGTACTCGTCTGGGCCGAAGAACCGGCAGCGCTATCCGAGATGCCGATAACGTACGGAGGAGGAAGCTCTTCGGTCGTCGCAGACGGCGCCTGCTCGCCGAATATCCCGTGCGCCGCGATTTTGTTGGCGGCGGAAACGTGGGGAAGAGGCGCATAATGGTCGCTCAACCGAGAAGAAGCCGGTGCGATGGAAACAACTTCGGATGGAGAAGGGATTCGACTCGGGGAAGGGGGCCGGCCGACGGAGTGATGCGAGCCTGGCCTAACATAGGGGATCGGGCCTTTCAAACGGCTGTGGTTCCTGCGGCGGTGCCATATCACGAATACTGCAGCGACTGCTAGGGCTGCAAGAGCCCCGACAACACCTCCGATAATGCCAGCCATTGACGTCGTTGATGAGGAGTTGCCATAGTTGGGATCCACCGACGGCTTGCCAGTCGGAGAAGTGGTGGGCCCTGCTGGTGCGATGCTTGGAGTTGTCGAAGTAGCTGTAGACGTTGCGCTGGAAGTTGAGGTCGCGCCTGGTGGGAAGAACTGCGTCAGCGTTTTGAAGTACAGGATCCACAGCTGCAAGTATATATACGTACTATATACGAACGCAAACTGATCGGAACCGCCCGTTCTGGGTGTAAGTTTCACGGGCGGCTGAAAAACAAAACAAGGGCCATTGGTAGCGGTCGCGTTCGCTCCCCATTCCAGTCCACTCCAGCACGCAAAACCTCCGCAACCGGCTTTGAAAGCAGCACACGCCCGCGCGGCATCGTACATATTTGCCTGGCACATCGGCACGTCGGGAGTATCCCAGGCAGCTTGAGTCGCATTGTATCTGCAATAGGGGTTTCCCAGTTCGGGCGCTGCAAGGCCCTGAACCCCGGCCGAGCTGAATGGGCCGTCGAAGCCCGCTAAGGAGGGCGGCTTGGCGGGGACCGCCATAACTGGTGGTGAGGCCATTCTGAAGTAGACGCGAGCGACTTTGAAGGAAGATGCAGCTTGCAGATGGGGAAAAAAGAGCGGAAGGCGCACCTTACTGTATGGACAGCACCGGATATGTCCAGTACTATCGACGCAGCTCTCTTCTCGGTCACTTGCCGCTTCTTATTACATCCCTTATACAGTATGTCTTGCTGCTCCTTCCATGTAACCGCCCTCAGGACCCACGAGGCGGGCGCGACCGCAAGAAAATGAAGCCTCAACGCGCTTATGTGACCAGCGGAGTTTTCCTTTTTTGCCTGCGCCCAGGACGGACACCACCGTCTGCTTCACCCGAGCGTAGGAAAGTCTCATGTCGTGGTAGTGTATTATGCACATTGCCTTCGTAGGCGGAATGTGAGCAACGCAGCTAGTCCCAGCGCTAGCAGGCCAGCGCGGTGTTTGCTGTTGCTGAAGGACATGGAACGGCATCCACCGTTGGACAATAAGATACGATTTGTTTGCGGACATTGTCCAACGACTTCCGCCCGGGCCTCCAGATGAGAATGTCAGGGCAAACTGTGAGGGGGCAGAGAAAACCCACCGCTACACGACAATTCCGTGACACATACTGTATAACATCTTTGTTAGCAACATTTTACCGCCGACTGCGCCGGTTTTTGCAAAGATGAGGATGGATCTTAAAACCTCCAGGTGAGTCAGTCAATGAATATTTCCACCCGCACTACCGCACTAATGAGTGAATCGTGTTGCAACTAGTACTCGGCAATCTACAAGGATTGCACCCTGAGAGTGCTTCAAGAAGACATGCGGGCGTTGAGTTTTGCCTGCGAGTGGTTGCCGTATGGCGTCCGTTTTTGGCACATCACGGTGGGCGTATTTGATGGTCCCTTAGTATTTTTATGTAAGTATGTGAACACCTTGTCGCTAGAAGCTCCACACACTAACCAGGGTACGTTTTCAGAAATTTTCAATTCAAATGAGATTTTTTCGTCATTCTTCACTGCGGGACCTAGCTTCCTCTTCGGCCTTCGTGATAATGGCCCGAGTCTCATCGATGGCGAAATCAACCGCGAACATGAACATGCAAGCGCCCCCAATCAGCTAAGCAAGGCCCCACCCAATTGCATCCCTTCACACGAACCCATGTACTCTACACACTGCTGGAGGGGGACCAATTCACCGCTCCACGTTACTGGAACTGGCACGGCGTCGGATGAGTGGTATGCTTACGCTAAACCTGCTGCTCGCTCCTACGGTCTATGGAGCAATTCGCCGCCCTATATTCCCTTGCTCGGCGTCGGATGGGTTGTATGCTCATGCTGAACCTGGTCCTGAGACGGCGGTATCCCCTCACGGGGCGGAAGGCGCTCTTGCGGATTTGTGTGCGACGTCCAATCCGGAACAGCCTTTTGTGCCGCGCTGGCTTCCGACACTGGTGGTCCACCCCACCAAGCGGCGAGAGTTTGTCCGCTCTGGCTGTGTTGTAGACGACAGGCTTTTCGTACCTGTCAGATGTTGAGCCCACATCAGGGCTCCCTCGGCTAACGCCGGATCCCAGCCAAGAACGGTCGCATGGGTGACTCGATTGAAGCTCATCTGTAAGCCCTTTTGAGGGGATGTTTTTGGACCGTCATCTCGTCCGTTCATATATGAAAATTGGAACCTCCGACGGAGCAGATGAGAGCAGCCGATGGCTCACGGTCCTCTCTTTCCAGATGATGGGACACCGTAATCAAGGTTACGAGGAAGCGAGAAAGGAAAAACGATTGCAAATGTGATCACGGCCGACGTTCTATCCATCCGTTTCCAATTTCCAAAATTTAGATCGGTAAACAACTAAACGCCGTATGTACAAATGACTTTATCTACATAGAACGGGTGCAGGGGGTATTTCTCCAGCAACAGAGGACGTACGCCCTAGATTCATGTGGGTCATCGCTGCCAAGGTGCGCCAACTTCATCCCACGGCCGACGGGTGAGGTGGTATCACTGCTGGTAGACCTTGACGGACTTGAACGCCCAGTAAGCATCCCTGAAAGCGCCCGGGTTGTTCCGCACGAAATCCACACAGTTGCCGGGGCATCCATTCTGTCCAAACACCGCACCGGCCCAGTCCCCACAGAACGCGGTGTTGATCACGATCTGGTGGTTCGCAAAGTGGGACGCCGGGCAGTTGTTTCCGAACGGGAAGACCGCTGTGGGACGACCCCAGCCAGCAGGGTTCGGGTTCCCGTTGCGGACGTCGGCGGGGACGATGTCGTTGAAGAATAGGTAGATCTTGATGCCTGAGGCGTCCCACAGGGTCGCGTAGACCCCGCCGCCGTTGTTGTTGAAGTCGGTACCGTATGATTTGGTGTTGGAATCGCGGGAAGCGCATCCTTGGTTAGCAAACTGGCCGGGAGCGTTGACGTCGCAGTTCAAGCTGTCGGCTACCGCCCATTGGTCGCGGCCGACGCCAGCCATTGTGCAGCCGGCGCTGGTGTGCAGAGTGAGCAGGTTTTGGGTTTGCGTGTTGACGCCTTCGATGATGTCGATCTCGCCGGAGTTGGGCCAGTTGGGGCCGACGGTCCAGAATGCAGGCCAGGTGCCGCAGCCAACGGGCATGTGGGCGACATCGGCGATGATTAGGCTACCTTGGTTGTATGTCTGTAAAGGGTGGGACGAGAGAATGAATGTGTTACCGACCTGGTTTGGCAAATTGAGGGCAGCGAGTAAACGCAAGGACTGATCCAACATACTGTACCTTCTTGCTTTGAAGACGAACGCTCTTTCGTCCCCTTCCTGACGCGACATTCGTGCTGTCGGGGCGGATGAAAGCTTGTTGACCGGTAGCTTGGATCAGACCCTGAGACTGAGCGGTGCCGCGGTCAACGTAGTCCACTGTAAGAGTCGCAAGACAAACGAGAGTTAGATATGCTTGTGCTATCAAGTTCCCATCAATGTAGTGTTTGACCTACCATAGCCATGAGTCGGGTCGTCAGCGGTGAAAAAGTCAAAGTTGTCAAAGAATCCCGGGCCGCTGAAGCTGTCGACCAAGCGGAATGCGGCGACGGTGGAGATCAACTGAAGAGTGAGAATGCTGGCGGAGAGACGTGCGATCATTTTTACAGCTTATAGTTTGAGGGAGACGACGGGAGAGGTTGGGAGGTTGATCTGAGAAGTGAGTTATCGTCGAATGCACCCTCGCTCTTTGTATACTCGGCGCTCGCTCCCCTCACTCGCCCATGCCCACTCTCCACACTTGTCCAAGCGTCATCAGAGTCTCCAGCTCCGCCAGAGTCGTTCTTCGCGAGACACCCCCGTCGCGAAGGCAATGCGAAAAGTCAACGTTGGCGATGTCAAGGTTTCAACGTCCCGAACGCGTCGCGCGCGTCGTCCGGATCAACATGGCCGTCACACCAGATGCCATTTGCACCACACACGCTGCCCAAACAGCAGTAAATCATCACATGGGAAGGTTTGTGAGAGGCCACAGGACTACTTTGTCACATTTGCGGAAGCCGGGTGGGCCGTTCGAGCGTGGATCTTGAGAGCCGGCGGTCAACGGTTGGTTTATGATACGTTGTGGACAGAAAGAAGCCAGAAAGAAGCCAAACGGCCATTCGTTGTTTTCGTTGCGACCGTTCGGACTCTCCAGATCTAGGATCGAGTCCCTCATCAACAATTTGATAGGGTCCTGGCAGCGCTGTGGGCTCCCAAGTTACGTCACGTACCAGGGTGTTGCACTACGGCGGCGATGGAATGCAGACAGCGGTCCTTCTAACATGTGCGGTGAGCATTATTCTGGCACAAATTCTTGCCAATGGCGGACAGTCGGCGACATCCACGATGTATCCTCTACGTACGGACTGCCAGGTCAACCTGGGAAGCACCTGGAACCGCGAGGTCCAATGTATATTCAAAGCGAGGCATGCTCAGGCAACTCGGTTGGTGTTTCCTCGTACGCTTTCGGAATCGTGGGAAAAATCGAGAACTCTGATCCCTTTGCGGTTCATTTGAGCGTGGGGTACGATCGTTTCTGTCCATATCCATATCCATATCCATATCCCCATATCCATAGTGCAGTGTGAGTATTAGTCGCTCGTGGATACTATGGGACATTATTTTCCTCGTGATAGTAGCGGTGGAGAAGAGGAGTCGGGACCTTGCACAGTGTACACGGAGGCTGAGTCGGTGGCGGTCGGAGGAGGATTAACCCACATATGAATCCGCCAGATTCCCTTGATCCCCAGCGATGATACCAATGTTTCCATCTGATCTCGAAGCTGCACGCCTGCGAACTGCGGAGAACGGGCTTTCGCTGAGAGTCATAATCCCGCAGACATTCGGGCTTCGTTGCTTTCACCCTCTTTTGAACGGCTGCACAACCCATGCCCGTTCTCCATCTCTTTTTGGGACCTCGGATGTATTCTAGCCGGAAAGGTGTGCACGGCACATGGTTTTGACAGCGCGTCGCATTAACAGTGGCATCTGGATCTGACAGCATCTTTACCGTTCTTTTGGATCTCGGAGGCACACTGGCAGTACAAGCAGGAATCCAACTTCAGGGCCTGGAGAGAGGCTGCGAGGGACTATGAACGCCAACGAGCCTGTCCATGACACACCATCAGCCGGTCGCCGCTACGGGCTGATGGTCGCCGCTACGGGACAGTTCCACACTACAAGTGCATAGAAAACACACAAAATGATTCGGGAACTTTCATAAAGAATGGGAACGCTGCGGATGGTGATTAGGGGCGTTCAGAGTTTGCGAGTGATGCTACAAGAAAGTTTGTGCCGCGGTATATCGTACAAGAGACGCAGATGGGCGGATGCGATACACGCCGCTTGGAAACCAACATCCATCAAGTTACCTGAGGTTAGAAGAACAGACCTTGGAAGCGAGAATGCGGGAGATGTGGCGCGTGGTTGATTTGGATGTGCGATGACATCACATGCGCGTCGTGCCGTCCCCTGCCCCCAGCCGCACGTCTTTCATCCAAGGCAAGACCCATCGACCGCATAGGCAGGCATTCGGCAAAAGGAACTTTCTCAAAGGACGGTGATGGAAAAAAGCGCATCGTCCGCGAAAAGGGCGCTGACGGACGCAGATGGCCGTCGTGCGGAGGTCCGATGGGGAAGTTCAAATTTAGCGGAGAGCGAGACGGGGAGGTGGGCAAAGTGGGGAGTTCCGCCGTTGCACACCCCCCACACACAACCATATTATTAGGTGGTGCCATCCTATGACTGATGACATTTCATGACTCCTGATTCCGTTTGCCGCTGGGAAGTGGTCGTGCGCACACTTGCGAGCTCTCGGGGGGGAGCTTCTAGAACTGTGTGGGATAAAAGGAATCGTCGTCCATCGACAGAATCCTCTCTCGTGTCTGTATATGTACAGAAATATACAAAGCAAAACCGACCCGTGTACTTCACATTAGTATCAAACAGGAATCGGCTACACTCATTTGCCCCGATACCGTACCCTTCATGATGCTCGGTAAACAAGCTCAAAGCAACGATCCGGATCAGCTTTCCTTCATCCGTAAGGTCGAGCAGGCCGTCATCAGGTAGTACCATGTCATCAGGCCGCCGTTTCCATTCTATCGCTCAAGACCCCGCTAACCCCCGCTTCCTCCTCCCTCCAACAGGAACCCCAACAATGATTTCCTCATGGCACCCACAGCCGAGCGTGAGGCTTATGTTCCCATGAATGGGGAAAGACTTGCGAGTACTGTCAGGAGAGCGGTTGATCACTATGAGAAATTGATGGGGAGGCCGGAAAGTCCGGATAAGAGAGGTAGGCGAGCCGCGAGAGGTCTGACGAGCGAGTGGTCGTCTACAAAGAGCGAACTTGTGAGCCACGCGAGCCGCGAGCGAGCACCACATTGCGCCAAAGGCGCCATGCATCCCCTCACTCACCGTGTTTGTTGATGGGTGGTTGACGGTGGATGATGAGTTGATGGTCCAGGTTGACTGTTGACGGTTGATGGTTGATCATGGGTGGATGGAAACCCTCCTTACGGATGTTGACCGCGCTTCACCTCGTCCCTCCAGTCGTGGCCTACCTCTCGACATCCCACCCAGGCTTCTTCCTCAACATCCTCGCCCTGATGTCCCTCGACTACGTCCCCGTCGTTCTTTCGCCCAAAAACTCCATGATATCGATGGTCGACATCCTCCAAAAGTCGAAAGCCGTCGCCATTGTTTACGAACCTAAGCAGTTCAAAGCTATAGTAGATGAGATGGTCCAAGCCGTGCCGGATGTCAAGAAATATGAAGCGATTGATTTCACGGCTGATTTGACTGCTGGCAACCACACGCAAACCAAAGACGATGTGACAGAGACGGGCTTCGGCATCCGCCCCGAAGTCCTCGCCGAAAACGAGTCGCCCTCCAGCCCTGACCGGGTGGTCGCCATAATGCACAGCTCGGGTTCCACCTCCATGCCCAAGATCCGTTTCTGGACCAACCAATGCATAGACCACAACACGAACAAGCCCAGGATGATGGCGCGCACCGACACCAACGGCTTCTTCCAACGCCTCCTCGTCTTCGCCCCCGTCTCGCACGCCTTGGGTCTATGGCAGTGTTCCAGTGCCGTGCGGGCGGCCGCGACGGTCGTGTTTCCGTTACGGGCGTTCCCGCACCGTGGGGAGGATATTTTGAAAGCGATTGAGCTGGGCAAGCCGGATTATGTGACGACTGCGCCGTCGTTGATAGAGGATGTTGTGAGGGCGTTGGAGAGGGAGCCGGAGATGTGGAGGGTGATGGAGACGGTGCATACGGTTCTGACTGGAGGGGCGCCGTGTCCGCAGGCTGTGGGTGATAAGATGGTGGAGCATGGGATTAACATGCGCAGTGGATATGGGTCTACCGGTATGTTCTCTCCTGTGTGCTCAATAAAAATCCGTCAACCTGTGCATTCTCAACTTACCCAACTTGCTCTCTGCCATCGCCCTCCTCCCTTCAGAGGCCGGAACAGTCCTAGCACCCATCGCTGGCTCCAAAGAATGGAACCTCCTGCAACCCACCTGCGACCCCAAATACCTCAAATGGCAACCCTACGGCGAAAGGCCGGGCTTCTACAGATTGTTTGTCAGAACCGATTACCCCGGGTTCGCTGGGAATGTCACTAGCGAGGAGTGGTATGATACAAACGATATCTGGAGGGATAACGGGGATGGACGGTATGAGTATAGGGGAAGGGGGGATGATATTATTGGTAAGCTTTTCTGCTTCGCTTTCGCATCAACGGTGCCATGTGAGAGCCCCATTTATTCACCAATCTCCTACTAAACCCAGTCCACGTAAACGGCGAAAAATCCAACCCAATCCCCCTCGAAATGGTGTTCCGCTCCTTCCACCCCCTCATCAAAGACGCGCTCATCCTCGGCAACAACCGCTTCCAAACCTCCGCCTTCATCCTCCTGGACGCGCACGAAGCGCTCCAATTCTCGCCCGCCGAGATGCTGGAGATCGTTGATAGGGCCGTGGAGGCTGCGAATGTGGTTGCGGCGAGCCACACGAAGTTGGTGGGAGAGTTGGTGGAGGTGTTGCCGCTTGGGCATGAGGATTTCCCGAGGACGGAGTCGAAGGGGAATGTTAAGAGGAGGTTGGCGGAGAAGATCCTCAAGGAGCGGTGTGATAGGCTGTATGATCGGTATGAGAATGCTCGTGGAGGGGACGGTGATAGCGCTGCGGCCGGTGGAAAGAACCTTGGCGACATCAAACAGCTTGTCATCAAAGCCGTCGCGGCAGTGATGAATCGCCCCGCTACATCCTTCGATGACCCGTCCCAACACGAGACCTCCCTCTTTGAACTCGGTCTGGATTCACTCGGCGCCACGCAGCTGCGTAACCTCCTATCGCGCGAAACCGGGGTCGACCTCCCGCGCGATCTTGTTATCAACTACTCCTCCGTTGGCGAGCTTGTGTCGTTTTTGGAAAAGACCGTCGGCAGTGGTAGCGGTGGGCTGGCGACGTCTGCGGATCTATCCTCCGTGATCCGTGAGAAAGCATCTCAGATCATCGCGCGACCCCTCGGTCCCGAGACGGACGACGTATCGCTCTTTGAGCTCGGTTTGGACTCGTTGGGGGCGACGACGCTTAGTACTCGACTCACCAAACAGATTGGGAAACAGGTTTGGGAGAATGACATCTTTGCGCACTCGAGCGTCTCTGGGCTTGCCGCTGTTCTGACCAAATCGGGGACTGGACCGCAGAAGAAGCAGGCTGTTCAGACATCTGCCGCAGCTACGACACAGGAGCATCCCCAACTCGCCAAAGCCCGCCAGCTGGAAAAGAAGTACACCGCCATGCTAACCGACCTAATCCCCTTCGCAACAGCGTCCCCCACCACCCCCCAACAACCTGGCAGCCCCCGCACTGTCCTCCTCAGCGGCGCCACAGGGGCCCTAGGCACCGCAATCCTCGAAACCCTCCTATCCCTCCCCACCGTCTCCCGCGTCTACTCCCTGCACCGCGGGGGGAACGATCTCACCCGCGAACGCCAGTCCTTTGAATCGCGATTCCTCGACTCGGAGATCATCACCCGCGCCGAGAATGCGGGTCGTGTCGTCGGTCTGTCCTCTGCATTCAACGAGAAGAACCTGGGTGTCTCCGACGAGGCAATGTTCCGCGCCATCCAGGACAACGTAACAGACGTCCTACACGTCGCGTGGCCCGTCAACTGGAGTTTCCCCGTCGACGCATTCGACTCCACTCTCATGGGCGTCTACAACCTCATCAAGCTCTGCACCACATCGCCCAAGCGCAAGACATTGCATTTCGTCTCCTCCATCGCGGCGTACAGCAACCCCAAGGGCAAAAGCATCCCTGAAGAGCCGGTACCCGCCGACCCGGGCGTCGCGTCACGTATGGGTTACGGGCTCTCGAAATGGGTCGCTGAACGCGTCATCGAAGCCGCGAGCAACAACGAGCAGCTTAAACTGCAAGCCTCCATATTTCGCGCGGGCCAACTGTCCGCGGACTCGAAGCACGGGGTCTGGAACAAGACCGATTTCTGGGTCGGTGTCGTCGCGTCGGGGATCAACCTCGGTGTGTTGCCCGAGTTGCCTGCCACCGCGGACGATATCGATTGGATGCCCGTGGACTACGCCGCAAACTCCATCCTCCAACTCGCGGGGATCCTTCCGCAGCAGAACTGGGACGCGCGACAAACAAGTGACGCAAACACGTTCGACGTGTACCACATCGCCAGCCCCAACCGCGTGTCCTGGCCCGCCGTCATCAAAGCCCTCACCGCGGCGACTTCACGACGGATGAGGACCCTCCCGCCTGCCGAATGGGTCGGGGAGGTGTCCAAGCCTGCGTCGCGCGCCAAGAATCCCGCGGTGCAGGATCAGATGATTCCGGTTTTTGAGAGCATGTTTGCTTCACGCCGGCAGGCTGGGGAACAGGATGACACGGCTGAGACGGCGGCGGCAGAGGCTGAGAGCGGGATCAATGCCAAGTTCCTTGATACGGCACGTACGGCGGCGCTTAGCGAGGTGATGCGGGCCTGTATTCCGATGAGTGATGTTGGGTATTGGCGTGCGGTGAGGGCCTATCTGGCGAAGGTTGGAATGTTGGATGAAGGGGTTGTGAAGGAGGGGTTTGCTGCTGCTGCTGAGGAGTAGGTGTATATACATAGCATCTCGAAGTATCTGATGGTATGATCCATATGTCTCGTTCAGCGCTTTTTGAGCATTTTCTCGCTCCGTGTTTTTTCTTTCTTTGTACATAACCACCTTCTTGTGATGCGCTTTTTGAAGATGTGCATTCCCGCAACTTGCGGATACGCCAGAATACATACCTGTCCATGTATACAAACCTCTTGGTCTTGAGCGTCGATAGAGATCAACGAATGCAAACTTGAGACTGGGGGGCCTTCAATCCACACAACCGGGTGGATAGCGACGGTGCTTCTATGACAATACACTGCGGAGTTAACGAAGGAGGCTCAATCGAAGCACGAATATATCTCAATCGAGCGTCCTCATCGCCATCTGCGTTGCACTCAGTGAGATGAGAACAGGACTTGCACATGCACGTCCGTCGCGTCCCTTTTGCCACGTTATGAATGCCAAGAACGCGTCGACTCCGAAATGACGACCTCCGAGGCTCCGAATCTCCGATCGCGTCGGGCCGGTCTCGTCGCAGATGGAAGCACAGGAAGACTTCCCAAAGAGTAAAGACATGCATCTCCGAACGGGACTCGGAGTACCCCGACCTATTGGACGGTCACATAGCCTCGGCTCTTCAACCCCGAATACGACGCACGTACGTATATATCCCTCTCGGATGTCCGACAGAAAGCTGTTACGCACTCCTGCTCCGGATACAGGCTTCGTGACCACATGAGGAAAGCTCCTCTGGACGTACGCCGACCAAATGTCCCACGATGGTTATAAAAGGCCGGCTCTTAGCCCCCCCTCCTTTGTTCAACTGTACTGTGCACCTTGCTCGCTTCAACCTCGTACGCCAAATCTCAACCACAAACGACATCAACACATTATTTCAACCACCACCACCATACAATGACGGTCCTCTCAACCCCACCCCGCGTCCTAATCATCGGCGGCGGGTTGGGCGGTCTAGCCCTCGCCAACGGGCTCGCGCGGCAGAACATTGGATTCAAGCTGTTTGAACGTGATGCGACGCCGACAGATCGACTGCAGGGGTTTCGGATTGTGTTGAGGAATGATCCGAAGAAGGGTCCTATGAGTGTTGATGCTTTGAGGGAGTTGCTCACCAGGGAGGGGTTTGAAAAGATCTATGAGGTATGGAGCGTAGGGCGGTATTCTTGTGTGTTTACCATTTGATTCCAACATCTGGCACAACGTCGGCACATCACTCACTCAACTTCCTCAATCACCATAGATGAGCGGAGAAGGCGGCGCTGCCTCAACCACCATGAACGCCCAGCTAACCATCCAACACAAGATGGTCCTGCCCGGCGGCGGCGGCATCTCCATCGGGCGTATGGCACTCCGCGACATCCTCCTCGAAGGCCTCCCATCGCAGGCCGTCTACTTTGGGAAGAAATTCACATCGTATTCGCGTAACGGCGAAAACGGGACCATCGTCGCGCACTTCTCGGACGGTTCGCAGGAGGAAGGCACGCTGCTCGTCGCTGCGGACGGGGGCAACTCGCGGATCCGGCGGCAGTTCTTCTCCGAGCTCGCGAGACCTGACCCCAGGATCATCACGCATGTCTCCGGAGTGGTGGCCAAGATCCCGGTCACGCCCGGCTCCGTCGCCGAACAGCTCATCGGCGAAACCCATCTCGACGAGGGGATGATACTAGCCTCCGCGCCCGGGCGGTCGTTCTACGCCGCGCGCCTCATCTTGCCTGCCGCGACCGAACGACTGGAGGAAGATTTCGCGTGGAGTAGGCACCGGTCGTACATTTACTGGGTGCTCAACACCTCCGCGCAGGACGTCGCGGGTTACCTTGCGTCGGTGGACACACCCACGCCGTACGACCTCACAGGCGCGCAACTCCTCACGCATGCGACGCGATTGCTGAAAGACGGCGGGTTTCATGAGAGTATCCTGAAGATGGTGGAGCAATCGCACCCGGATACGGCGGTGTGGCTCGATTTTAATTCGGGGGAGAGGTGTGAGTGGGCTAGTGATTCGCAGGTCACTTTTGTTGGGGATAGCATACATGGGATGACGCCGTATCTTGGGGCTGGGGCGTTGGTTGCGATCGGGGATGGGTGGGAGTTAGCGAAGGCGCTTGGGGAGGCTGGGAGGGGGGAGAAAAGCTTGAGGGAGGCGGTGGAGGGGTATGAGGGGGAGATGAGAAACAGGGCGTATCCGATAATGGAGGGGGCTTTGAAGAGGATGAGGGGGTTGACGGCGAAGCCCGAGGGAGCGTGAAGTGGGAAGATTCAGGTTCGCTCTCGACCACAGTCATCTACGAGATGAGGTTCTGTGGTCCCGTCTTCCCTATGTACATGTATCTCAAAAACACGCGAATATACATGATCGATAAGGATACCCGCATTCGCTGCATTCCCTGTGAAGGCTTTGTCGGCTTTGCGGTTGGCCAACAAGGCCAAACGAGAGGATCACTGGGTGGATAACATGTTGCGTTGAAGTTCGGTAGACTGCATGTGCAGTTCTCAGGATGTGGAGAACCCCGCCGAGACGCGGTCGCGATGTCCGAACGCGGCATGTCCGAAAGGTGTCAAAGACGCGATGGGAACAAGAACAAGAAGAAAGGGCTCCGAGTCGTTTGAGCGGAAAGGCAACCAACAAATACAGTACTACACACACCGACAGACAGCCATGCCAGCAGGGCCCCATAAGCGCAAGCTGCCTCAGCCGCCTCCCACCGCAAGACACTCAGACACCGACGACGACTTCAACCCCTCCTCCCAACCCCCATCCTCACCGGCCCCAGCGACAGCGGCGACCAAAAAGCCTCGCAAGCGCAAGGCACAGCCTGCGCCAGCTGATACTCCCACGGCCGCCACCAGCACAGCACGGCGTACCCGGTCATCAGGGCAAGCGAGGACGGAGCGCGGCGGCGGCGGTGAGGCGGAGAGAGAATGTTGTGGGGTTAGTAGGCTGCGGCAACTGCAGAATGGCGCGGGGCCGGTGACCGTCACGTATGAGCTGGACGGCGTCGAGGTGGAGCGGAGGTTGTTTCCCGGTCAGTGGTGGGTCGAGAGTGGACGACCAGACGGTGGCGGTGCGGCATGGGGAAGAGAGTGCGATGAGGCTGATGGCGACGAGGATGAGGGTAACGTCGATGGCGATGAGACGGATGCCGATGTCGATGCCGTTGGGTCCTCTGAGAAGGTACACTCGTACACATATGTCACGGCAAACGCATGTTCGCGTTTTACCTTTCCTTTTCCTCCCCATCTTCATTCATCACAGGATGAACCACAATCCCCGGTCTGCCATGTCACCGACGAACTCGAAGCACGACATGTCCAAGCCTCAACCACTGGAAAAACCCGCTCAATCCACCAACCCCACACACCCAACCCCGCACCCAAGATCAACTTCCAATTCTCCTCCCCCATCTTCTCCTCCAGCCCGGATCCCATCCACAACCCAACCACCCCATCGCATCACGACACCACCGCGGCACCAATGTCACCTTCTCCTCTCCCACGCCGCAGAAGCGTCACCACCGAAGACAGATCTCCTCTCCCACGTCGCGAAAGCACGGCCGCCGAAGACAGAGCGGTGAGGGCACCGTCCCCGCGCACCGAAGCCCTCCTGGAATCAGAGTTCGACGAAGCATCGTACCCGCGACGCTCAGTGATTTTGGACATTGCGATCGGGATCGCGTGGAAGGTGGATGATGTTGAGCGGTGGTTTGAGCGGAGACGGGCTAGAGACGGTTGACCTTTGAAAGCACGTCTCGTGGAGGGAGGATAAGAGCACAAGCGGCGATCTCTATCCTCATCTCCCACCGAGTCATCTCATACACCTATTTGCATAGACCCAGATCTCCCTCGCCGCATGTAGCTAGCACCGCCTATTCAGTTTTCCACATCTTTGACACCAGAAGTTGGCATATATCGCCCGTCATACCCGCCTGTAACCGCATAGATGAGACCCGCATAAAGCTGATGTGCATGAAGCGTCTGTAGCGCGCAAGCTGACTGTATGGAAGACTGCCTTCTGTTGCCTGGTCTGAACTTCATAGCTCGTGAACCTCTCTGACTGAGTGGTCAGAGGGATATCATGCATGTCCTTTGCTGTCGCATGGAAGTCCTGCAGGCATCTTCACGACTCGAAGACGTCCCGCCCCAAAACTCACAGCAGGTCTTTCAAGTTGTTTTTCGTAACAGGTGTATCTGTTTTTATTTGATATCGACCACGCCAAGCGCATATCCAGTCCATTATTCTCAATTTAATCATTTTAAGCGACTGCCGAGTTGCGCCCTGAAGTCCGAAGACCAACGCGGGTGGTTCAAGATCCAGTTTCTCCGGAGTGTGCAGTTTCGGAAACATGTGAACCATATACTTCTACACTCCAAGTCTCCACTTCGCGCATGAACTATGAAGAGATTCTTTGATCTAGTATAGCCATAGCCTATGAGATATCTGCCAACACTCTAACCGACAAATTCCATGTAAACCTTATATACACCGTCCATCACATCGTCATGACATCCGACCCCAATGTGCGAAACCGGACCTCTACATCTTTGCCGGCTGCAGTTTGAACCCCTCCACCCACGCCTTGATCAACTGATGCGCAATCGCATAGGGCGGGGGGATCTTGATCTCCATCTCAGCCTCCCCTTGACCTTGAGCTTCTCCCGGAAGTGGCCCACCGCCATAATGCCTCGCCAAAGCCCGCACGACCTGCTCCCTGTCGAACCACCTCGCATCCTCCAACTCCTCGTCCACGAGACTCACGTCGACACTCCTCGCCTGCGCCAAACAGCCGATCATCACGCTGTTCGGGAACGGCCACGGCTGCGACGAGTGGTAGGTGATGCTGTCCATGTTGAGTTGGATGCCAGTCTCCTCGGCGACTTCGCGCGCGCAGGCTTCTTCGATGCTTTCGCCCGGTTCCATGAAGCCCGCGATGCAGGTGTAGGTGGAGGCGGGGAAGCGGGTTTGGCGGCCGAGGAGGAGTTTGTGGGGGTGGGTGGGGTGCGTAACGGCGATGATTACGACGGGGTCAGTGCGTGGGTACTGGGGGGAATTCGGTGAGCGCGGGCGAGGAATTGAACCAAGGTTGCACTGCCCCAAAATGCCATCTCCCAAAAACATACCTGGAAATTATTAACCCCCGTCAACGACAAGCACCTCTTCGTAGCCTCCTTCTCCCCCTCTCCAACCTCGTCCAAATTCGGCCGCGGGCAAAACCGCTTGTACCCCGCCTCACCCGACTCGGTAAGTTTCCCACATGCCGGGCAATACTGGTTGCGCACGTTCCAGTCGACCACGCTGCGAGCTTGTGCAATGAGGGCGCTTTCAATGTCCCACGGGAGGGAGCCGAGGGCGGATCGGAGGGGCGTGAAGGCGTAGTTCTTGGTTGTGAAGGCCCCGTCCAACCCCGCTAAAACACCATCGTCCAAGTCCCCACTTTTCGTCAAATCAACAGCCCAATAACTCCTCCCCTTCACGACCACAACCCCGCCCTTCCGCTCACTCGTATACTCCCCAGTTCCCTCGGTATCACCCTCATCGACCCCCAGAAAGACGTGAAAAGCGCCTGCGTCGAGAGCCGGCTTGACGTCCGTGTAGGTGAGGTACGCTATATGTTGCTTGTGCGGTGAAAGGGGTGGGATTCCTGCGGTCGGGGCGGTGGTGGTTGTGGTAGCAGTTGAGGTACCAGTAGGAGTTGTAAGGGCCGTGAGGAGGGCGTCAAGGTTGCGGAGAGCGATGAAGCGGGTGCTTGGGGATTGAAGGGAGTTTGTGAGGAATGCGGGGTTTGAACGGAGGACGGAGAGCCGGTTGAGGTTGCTCCCTGCGAAGAGGTGGGTGAAGCGAGTGGAGGACGACATTCCTGCTTGTTGTCGTGGGGATGGGAAAGTGAGTGCGTTCGTCGGCCTGGATCGAGGACGTGGGAAAAAGCAGAATCCCACTGGGAACCCTGAGGCCATTGAATGCATGACGCGTGCCCCTTCGTCGTGCGCGTGACGGACAGACAGCAGAGACAGAATCTATCAGATGGCCCCAGCGAGAACCCACACCCGCCCACAACACAGATCCAAGGGTAGAACAATAAGACCGCTGCATTAGGCTTCTTCTGGTAACGGGATTGGTCCGCCTGCCGACGTGCATCCATCCACCTTCATTGGGAGTTCCTAGACCATCAAAGGCGAGGTTGCGCTCGAGATGACACATCCAACGGCGGTATGGTTCGTTTCGTTCATGGCATGAGTGAACCCTCGTTATGGAACTCGGCAGGAGGTGCCTTGCTGCCTCCGACTCTGTCTGTGATGCATGCACGCGGGGGTATTTAGCCCGTGCTCTTGGCAGGCCCACGAAAAACGCCCGAGCGGGTTGTCGAAAAGACGGTCGAAAAGGGCGTTCGCGTCGTGGGCGGAAAGCCACAAGTCGTGGGAGTGGGCGACCTTGTCCTCACAACTTCCCCGAACGGGCAACCGCATAAAAGGGACCGCCGCAAGAAACATCGCAACCCCCGCGCATAGAGTCGGTAAGCGATCACCCTATCCGCAACAATGCCCACCTCCAACTCCCACCCTGGGGAAGAAGAGTCCCGCCCGCTCCTGCACTCGCCCACCATCGCACGAGAACACCTCTACGCTCCTCGCAACAAGGGTGTCCTCAGGAGAGTCGCTGCTGCTGGGCTCGCGCTTGTCTTGATTGCTGGCGTTGCTACCTCCGGGTTCTTTTTGGGGAGGCAGGTTCATTCCGGGGAGGATCCGATCGACGCGACTTATGTTAACGTAAGTGCTCAAAACGGAGGGATGGTAAAATCGTGTCCGCAAGCGAAGTCGGTTACGTGCGAAGCTTGGAGAGCGATAACGAGCCTACGGTGCGCCAGCGAAGCCAGATGAGTTGCCTCAGCGGAGCGAGGCGGAAGCTTGGTCGAGGAGACTGAGCCCGGCATCTTTGTCTGGAGCGGAGCAAGCAGAATACCGTTTTGATAGTCTGTTGTCATAATCTCACACTGCATTCAACTTACACTCATCTTACTCTCCTCTACAGTGGAAGCCATGCCAGGAAAAGTTCTATTGTGGAAAATTGAGGGTGCCGTTGGACCATAAGGACCCTGAAGGCGAGCAGATCACGCTGGCTTTAATCAAGCTTCCTGCGTCCAACAAGCCTTCTTTGGGCTCGTTGTTCGTCAACCCTGGTGGTAAGTTAAACCGAATCCAATTTGCAGCGCGAAATCAGAGTGACAATTTGTTCCTGATGATAAATCAACGTTACCGCTATCAGGACCCGGAGGCAGCGGGGTGGAATTCGTTCAAAGAGCGGGAGACGACCTGCACAAGATCTACGACGGTCGCTACGACCTCGTCGGCTTCGACCCGCGCGGAATTGGACAAAGCAACCCCGTCCGATGCTTCCCAGACGCAAACACCCACCGTCTCTTCGAGTTACCTTCCCAACACATTGACTTTGACGTTCCCGGATCGTACGAAGCCGATTTTGCCCGCGCTCAGGTTCTTGCTGGGCTCTGCGGTAAGAATGCAGCGCGTATTCTCGCGCACATGACCACTGCCGACGTTGCGCGCGACATGGACTTGATGAGGAAGGCGGAGAAGCAGGAGTACCTCCACTACTGGGGATTCAGCTACGGCACCATTCTTGGGCAGACCTACGCCAACATGTTCCCCCACAACATTGGACAATTCATCATCGACGGCGTGGCCAGCGCGCTTTCCTGGGCCGAGGGCCACGATTTCGGATTCATACCCAACACCACCAACGCGGAATGGGTCACCCACTTGTACGAAGTCTACGACAAGTTCGCTGCCTCCTGCGAAGCCGCCGGCCCCTCCCGCTGCGCACTTGCTCGGGACTCCGAGAAACACAGCGTCAGCAAACGTCTCAAGAACCTCCGCGCCAACCTGAAACTCCACCCCCTGATCACCACCGACGCAGAAGTCGCCGGCGTCGTAACCCACGAAACCTTCGACGCCGCCTCCTTCCGTCTCGTCTACATCCCGCACGCATGGCCCAAATACGCCCTCGCTTTCGCAGCCGCCGAAAAGGGCAACGGAACCCTGTTGCAAAACCTCGTCGTCAAAAAACCCGAGGAACTCTGCCCCCGCTTCGACTCCCCCGATATCGAATCAACACTCGGCGTCTACTGCTCCGACGCCACGCCGAAACCCGCTAACCTCACCTACGTCCGCGAACAGGCCGAGGTCGCCGTGCGCAAGTACCCTTTCGTCGGGCAGATGATGGCCGGCGTCATCAACGCGTGTGCAGTCTGGCCTAAAGTCGGTGAGAGCCGCTACACGGGCCCGTGGACCGCGAAAACGAACAACAAGATCCTGATCCTGGGCAACACGTTTGACCCCGTCACGCCGATCGAGTCTGCGGAATTGGCGGCGTCGTTGTTGCCCAACTCGGTGTTGGTGAGACATCATGGGTATGGACACTGTTCGAATGCGCAGCCCTCCAAATGCACGAATGAGGTTATCAGGAGGTATTTGGTCGATAAGAAGGCGCCGAAGGAGGCTGTGACGGAGTGTTATGCGGATTTGGAGCCCTTTATGGAGGGTGAGGTCAATGCGCTTTCTCTGGATGCTGGGGAGGCCCGGGAGAGCGTTGCGGACGTGCTGGCCGATGCTTGGAAGCCTTTCTTCTAGGCCGACATGCAGCTTTCGACAAGTTTGTTTCATGTGATTTGCAGCATCGTAGTGTAGATACCCTAGGATTTTCTGTTACTTCTGTTACTCGCTCGGTTGCTTTTTTCCACTTGGCGCTTTGCAGACACTTTTCATGGACGTAGGGAGGGATTTTTTCGATTATGCCTTCATGTAGAGTAGCAGTAGCCTTAAATAATGGTGACTATTGAATACCATTCCGTGCATTGAAATGCGCGACCTGCAAGTTGACGCAAATCGCCCAACTTGAGCATCCCATCTCCTCAAATCAACAACCCCCACCAACCCAACCATGTGCAAAAAAGTCACCTGCACCAAGTGTGGCAAGGAAACCTGGGCCGGCTGGTAAGTCCCTCTCCCTCCCTACCTATCTTACTACCACCATGGAGTGAAATTCCCACCCGTCTGGCGGACCTGTCCTCATTCCAATCTCTCTTCATGGTTCGAATCTGAGCAGCGGCCAGCACATCGAAGCGGCGTTGAAGGACGTCAAGCCCGAGGACCGGTGCAAGTGTCCGCGTTGAAAGCGACAGAGGCCATCACGCACCCCATTCCGGCAGGCATCATCCGTTTGCCCACTGCACGCACACACACTCGCTACTCAGGAACGACATATGTGCAAACTGCTCTGAAGGCAGTGAAGGAGTGGGGGTGTATACGTTTTCTCATAGGAGTGGTAGACGATTTGGAGTGCGGGAATTTGAATGAAGGACATATCGATTGGTGGCCCCTCCCGTTGTTTTTGTGTCTCGGTTGCTGTTTGGGTGCTTTGCGGCTGTTGGGGGGTGGGATGGGAGTGAGTGGGGCGCTGGCAAAAGCGACATGGAATCCTGGCGGGATACTCTCCGTAGAGGAGCTGGGGAAGGGCTATGGTGTGGTGTGGTCGTTCAGGCAGCCATGTTTTTGGCACATATCAGACGGCGCTTCGTCTAGATCAGCCTTCAAAACAGTACTCATGCCAGCAGCCGCCGAGAAAGATGGAAGCTACCCCGATGATCCAATGACCATGCGGACTTTACGCAGGCGTACATCTTCCGAGTCATAGTTTTTGGATCAACTCCTTCAACTCCTTTGGGCCTTGTAGTTGTCGAATCGTTTTGCTCCTCACCACTCTCTCCTTATCTGCTCCACTAGCGAGCCCTTCATCACAAATGCAACTGGACTGGACGGGGACTCCAACCTGCTGTGAAGTTGTGAAGGGTGCAATATTGGTTTGCCCGACAACGTAGTACGCAATTCTTCATTGCGGTGTTGCAAAGCGGTCCCATCGGGTTCTCAACGAGGTCAGACTTCCGTACTTTCCTCCTCGCCGGTCAGAGGGTACTTGGGGGCTAGGTACGAAGATATGGAATGGTACAAGAGCACAGAGCGTAGTGAGTGTGTTAAATCAATGTGGTGGTGCCAGCGCTGGCAGCACGATGCATGTTGTCCGAGCCGACAGCGCCTGCCTGTGCATGATGGAAGGGCAAACCCGCCATGATCTGTCTCCTCACTCGTCGTCACGACCATCACGACGATGGGCATGGAATGGACGTGATGGGGATTGTAAGCGGCAATCGGGTTGGATAGGGAATCATGCCATGGCTTGTTGGATAAGTCAAACAATCAGGATTCTCGACTCGTTGTCCTTGATTCACAGCCGAGTCCGACATTGTATTCAGTCCTCAACTTATTGAATGATGGTGAGTTTGAGGCGCTGGGCTTGTGATGAGCATGCGGCTTTTTTGTAATGATAGTGAAAGGGCAATGTACTGCGATTCTGGCTTTGCATTGATCAGTGGGCGCTCATCGCGTATGAAAAGAGTGTTATTTTTCGCATTTCGCAGTATTTCCTTTTCGCCAAGCCAAGAGTGTTATTTGACGCAACCCTCAGACTGGAAATTGAACAAGAAGCGTTTCATCGGACAGTGTATGTACACTGTACATCGCCTGCATATGTGAAAAGAAATTCAAAGGTAGGCTCGGATTTGTATTGGTATCAAGATGAAAGGTGAACCGGCGGACGGAAGGAAACTGCAGATGAAGAACCCGTATAACACCTCTCAATCGGAAGTAAAATTCCTACGTACATATATGGACTGTATCGCTCTCAGTAGGGACCACAGAAAACACTCGCCGGACAACGGCAGGCCCATGAAGTACCTCAGTCATCAATGACATCGACAACAGAGTCCTGAGTCGGTTTGACCGTTTGTTTTCTACCTTTGGTCCGCAACGGTCGAGCCCGCTAAGCGAGAATACCGCCCCCAATGCCGGTGTCCTTCCGGCCCCATCTTCGAAACTAGCCACACCCCTTATTTGACCCCGACCATGAGAAGCTTCTACTTATCAAAAGTCTTTGCCGTTGACGAATTCTGCCATCTTTCCCCGAAACAGCGTCAACTCCGATTCATACAGCGTGACACCAACCACAACGCCTCCCGCTCCAGGCGGCGCCTCCCACACCCCAGAAACGTTAGGTAGGGCGGGTTCGCTGGGCCCACCCCTGCCGATGATGGCAAACTTGCGGGGCGGTCCGTTGCCAAAGTCAGGAACGTAGAGGCCAGCGCGCGACCACTGTGTGCAGAAAAAGTCCTGCGTGCTTCCGGGTCCTTTTCCCACCAAGTTCAAGGTGGGGCAAAGTCGAGGCCCGAGGCCGTGCTCGAAGCCTGCGTAGATGATCCCGAGGGTGGCGGCGACAAGTGACTTGTCGAGAACGGCGTCGCGGATGGAGGATGCGATGCTGATGAGCGGGGCAGACGCTGCATTGACTGCAGGGATTGCGAAAGAAAGCTGCACACATGCGCGTGCTTCTCTGGCAGGCGGGTTCAGTTTCAGACGTAGATCCGAAGCAAACCCCATGCGCGTCATGCCAGGATCGCGGCATTGGGAAACTATCTTGAAGACCACGGCGGCAATGCAGTCTTGCTGGGACAGGCGGGGATCTTCTCTGCGCAGCTCGGTCATCAGACGGTCGATTCGGCCTTGCGGAATGTGAAACACCTCGTACGCGCTCTGAGTAGTGAACAGGTTAAAACATCTGTTTTTTGCGGAATGAGGATTTTGACTGGCAGAGATCTCTTCACCTTGGAAAGGGCCTCCTGCAAAGTCCCCAACATGCCTCCGACGGCTTCCTCCGACGGGAACGCAAAGACGGTGTCATTGGGGGCATCAAAGTCCCCGGTAAACTCGATGTGGTTCTCTGGGTTTGCGAGCGCGCGCAGGTTGCTGACAGTGTCCTTCGCCGCGGTTTGATCATCCATCTGGAATTCTCCGCGTGCCGCATCGGCCCAGTCACGCATAAACAAGCCGATGTGCGTCTCATCAAACTAAGGCGAAATGGAATGTCAGTGGGAAGTTGCGCCCCCCAGAGAGTCCATCAGAACATGAAAGACAGGCTAACCAAAGCGTGCGAAAAACGCATGGCAAGCACGGAGGTTTTGTCAGCCAGAGTGATGTGCGAAGCGGAAATAAACGGCTTTCGTTGCGATAGAATCTGGTCAAGGGTCGGCATGTGGGGCTCGTACATGAACTCGAGAAACGCCGGGTGACCGACCTCGCTGCCGCCCTGGATGAAGCGTGGCACCAGATCGGCGAGAGTGAGGTGCGACGTTCCTCTGGCAAGCGGCACGCCTTCATTGCTTAGCTCTATCTTGTATAAGCCTCCGGAAATGTCGACCAGACGGCCAGAGTAGACCGGGTGCCTCTGTAAAACCTGAGCGAGCGCCCTAGCTAATGTGTCGTGATCCAGCTCGTAATCAAAGAACCAGGCCTGCGGGAGGGAAAGCCAGCCACTCAATGAAGCTAATGGGCTGAGAGTGACATGGGATTCGCTCGTGTCTTTGCTGAGGGCATGGATAAAGGTGGGAGGCGACACCCTAACCAAAGGATCTTTTCCGGACAGCGGCAGGGCCTTTGGAGCGGCGTCAGAGTGCGGCATGGCACCCGATAGAGTGGTGAGCTGTACTTATGAGTATAGCTCGTTGGGAACGAGGACGGGTGCCGCTCGGATGCAACGCTGTTTTTATGCACATTGTGGTGATCCTCGCAGGGCAAATGCCAAGATGTCGAGGGGGCTCCGAAGTCCGCACACGCCCGCCCGCCCGCCACGCACGCACAGGCCTGCGGTTTACCGTCTCCGCTCCACATGTTAGCGTCCCGCCCGTCAAGCCTTGTGTACAGAAAGTGGATTCCGCCACGCGAACATTTGTGACATGATGAATCCCAGCGCGGACCTCCGAGGCTTCAGGCTCATGCCAGCGCGTATATAAAAGACGCCTGCACGGGGGACACGATCCCTACTGTAACTCCGACAGAACCGACCTGAGACCCACAATGACAGCCGTACGTGAAAAACATGCCACTCCCCACTCCCATGCATTCCCAATGCACCTTCTTGTCTCCCCTTTCCCCCAGGATCTCGCCAAAATCAACCAGAAGATCCTCCCGCAGGGCCACTCCTTCACCGCCGTCACGCTCGCCGACGGCACGCAGGTGCAGACAGGCACCGTCGCCACCCTTCTCCACAACGTACGGCTGTATGACGCCCTTCCTGCCGATGCGACGGACGAGCGCAGGAAGCTGGAGGAGGAGATGAGGGCCGCGGCACCCACGCTGGATAGGATCGGACTGTTTGACCTCTTTACGCCTGCTGAGTGGATGGCCGGGTCCAGTGCGGCGCGCCGCTTGGTGGGTGGATTTGCGAAGGATTTGAGGGCAAAGGAGGGGATGGCAGCATAGACGGGAGAGTACTGTACAGTCACCTCGCAAACAGCTGTGGCCCCCCCATAATTGAATTCAATGACAGTTCAACAAGCGCTGACGCATGTTCCTAGCCGCCGCGACAAACAGCAAGATGGCGGATTGGGGAGATCATTCCGCAATTGCAATGGACTTTTTGACAACCACAGCTATGGGCAAGCCCCTCACAGCACAGCAGAGGGCAGCCATAGTTGCCCTGCACAGAGCATCCAAGCATAAAAGGCAAAATTGCGTGCTCTAGAAGCGGTTTGTTTGCGCACCGTCAAGAACACCGTCAGAAAGTCTCAATATCAGCCCACGAAGTGATGGGGCACACCAGCTAAGTGTCAACCCTCCGAACGCAGCGTTGGATAAGTTTCGAAGGATTTGTTTTATCTGATGACAGCCACCTGGGAGAAACCACGGAAAGGGTATCACCATGGAATTATTCAGCTCATAGGAATCGCAGGCACACTTCAGCACCGTGTGTCGTTCTATTCGAAAAAACATATCTTTCAACCTGCACTCTCGCTTCAAAAACCCACGCACCTTTCCTGAACGAGCACCCACAGGGGAGCACCGGCTGGCATTTGCGTTCGGAGCACCCGCCATGGACGGCAGGCTGATTGGTCTCGAGTTCGTTCGGGAGTGATGAAACTTCCTTTGAGATGGGTTGGAGAGAGAAGGTCAAAACCGTGCCCGGGCTTGATTCTACCACCTACGTTCCGCATTTAACTGCTCACCTCTTGCCCATGTGGCGCAACCTTGAGATCTTTCATACCCAGCCTCCTTTTTCATGTAGGACAAGGCGCCCATTCAGGAGTCGGTTGAAACTCGACGGTTTTTTTTCAGGAACATGGCATTGGAGCTTCGTCCTTGGCCGGCGCATTTGCGAGGTGACTGTATGCCTGTTTGTACTGAAATGTATGTACGTTGAAGACGGGAGCCCTCATCTCTCCAAAACTTTGAAAGAAGGTCAACATATTTTCACATATAAAAGTTATTGATGATAAAAAAGAAACTAATACAACACAAAAAAAAGCAAAATACGTGCGGGGGGTGGGGTGGGGTCGTCGAAAGTGATGCGGTCGATGTCTAAAGAATAAAAGGAAAAGGGGGAAAGAAACTAACTACAGATCAAGAATAAGAACCGGGAGGAGTGGCTACGACGTTTTGCTACGACGCTGTGCTACGACGTTACGGTACGTTGTAAGTGAGATACGCAGTAGTATGACGATAAGGGGGGAGGAAAACAAAAAGTTGGGAGGGTACTAAATTAACAAAACTGTTGTTGGTGGGTTTTTTTTCGGTGGCTTGTAGGGGACGATGTGTCGAAGAGTTTGCAAGAGTGTGTGGGATGTCATGGCGAGGAACTTGGGATGAAAGTCGACTTTTGGGGTTTGATAGGGTTCGTTTGTTGTCGTTGATAGTCTGTCTGGAATGTGCAGAGTCTGTGGGAGTGAGAAGATGGCGAGACGGTGGTGGGATGTCGCGCGGCGGTGTGCTGCGTTTCGCCTAGCGTCGTGCGTGCCGGTGGTTTTTGGCGTCGGTGAGAGATGTGTGGGGTGAACAGGGTATACGAAACCGAAAAATGGGCATCGTGGGGTGAAGCGAATCCAAGAAAAAGAACGGGTCGAGACCGGAGAGCTGCTTCGATCGAGAAAGCGGGGTACTCGCACCACCGCCGCCTCACTTCGAGTCGAAGTTCCTATCATCTACTGTCCCTCCAACCTCACGATCGCTTGATATTCTGAAAAATCGGCAACCGATGTCCAAAGCTCTGCGTCCTCCGTCTCGCCCCTGCGGGCCCCATCCCACCGCTCTGCCCAGCCTCCCCCGCACCCTCATGATGCCCCATATAATCATCATCCATCTCAAACCCCGCCTCTTCCTCCAGGATCGTTTCACGCACGGGGGAGGGGTGGGCTGAGGGTGGCGGGGAGAGCAACTGGGATGTGTGTTGTTGTTGTTGCTGGTGAGAGGATGGGGAAGAGCGGGTGGCAGGGGAGTAGTGGAGGAGGTTGTTGGGGACGGAGCCGTAGTAAGGCGGGGAAGAAACCGAGAGGATAGCATTGGCTTCCTCGTCGTCGTCGTCGGCCTGTGCCGAGCGAGGGTCATGCATGTACTGTTGCTGCAACGCGGCGGTGAAATCGTCGTCGTCGTCGTCGTCCTCGCCGAGGAAATCGTAGTCTTCGTCGTACTCCTGCGGTAGGCCGGGGAGGTACCCGCTGAAGGACTCCGAGCGGGATTTCTGCCAGTGGGAGGAGGAGGAGGTGCCGTCGAGGGGGAGGAACATGGTGGGTTGGGTGACGGAGCGGGAGCGGCGGGTGCGGTTTTGTTGGGCGCGGGAGGGGGAGTAGAAGCTGGAGCCGAGGGAGGAAGAGACGGGCATGAGGAGGATGTCTTCGGAGACGGAGGCGGAGCGGTCAGCGCGGCGTTGGTGGGTGCCGAGGGAGTCGTAGAGACCCATTCCGCTGGAGGTGTGCTGGAGGGAGGAGGAGAGGGAGGGTGGAGCTGTGAGCGGAGCTTGGTCTTCCGGTACCGGCGCCATGAATCCGCTAGACGGCGCGGTGCCGTAGGGAGATTCAAGCCTCAGGTCACTCGCATTGCTTCGACGGCGGGAGGCTTCGTGGAACATCCCCGAGGAGGAGACGGGAACAGCGGACGAGGGTGTGCCGCCTCCTACATGGGTGTTGCGCATCATCTGTGTGATATGCTCGACTCCTGGCGAATCCGGTCCCTGGCCATGCGGCACGTTTCCGTTCGACGCACGACGACCAGAGAAATATGCTTCTGCAATCGCGCGATGGTCAAAGAACCGCGCGCCAGTGGATGGCGCAGAGGATGCAAGGTTGGCCATTTTCTGCATGGCGTATGACGATTCGCTGGGAGATCCGTCTTTAATGATTCGAATCCCGTTCTGAGCGTGGACACCGTTGTCCGAGACGTCTGATGATGCGTAGATGCTTCCCGTCGACATGGCCCGTGCACGCGCCCGTGTGGCCTCCTCATCATTTGTTATAGGCGCACCGCCGGCAGTGCCACCATTGACAGCAGCAGCGGCGGCCGCAGCCTCCTCAGCAGTGACAGAAGCGTTCGACTGTCGCACGGTATTCTTCGAATCGCGCTCCGTGTGGATGAAGCAGCATCGTTTCCCATACGGGCACGTCCCCTTTTCCCAGAACGTCTTGCACATCTCAGTCTTGTACTTCGGGTGGCGGTCGACATGGCGCAGCTCGACGTCCGAGTGAGCGAATTGGCATTTAGTCCCGTATCGGCATGTCCCCGTTTCTTCCCATGACCGACACAGCTCAGTTTTGTAAAGACTCATCTTCTTGGTCTCCCGATCCAGTTTGTGCACCGGCCCGTTCATCTGCTGCTGTTGTTGCTGCTGCTGTTGTCCTTGCATATTGCTTGGGTTATGCCCGCTAGAGGATGACCCTGTACCGTTGCTTGGAGCAGAGTCTGTCGATAACATACGGCCCAACTCCGCAGGTCCTTGACCGGGTTGTTGTTGTTGTTGTTGCTGAGGGACAGACGTATCTGTCAACGACCTCTTTCGCCCATACGGAGATTGCACTGGTGGTGGAGTAGCCGATGGTGTCGGCAGAGGGTGTTGAGGGTAGGGTCGGAGCTGATGGTTGACGAAGCGATTCGGCGGAAGATGCGAAGGGTGTGGGTAGTGAGGAGGCGGGTGAGCAAGCATTTGAGGATGAGGGTGGTGCGCGTGAGGATGAGGATGCATCCCCGGACCCATAAAACGCTGGCCCAGGTGTGGTTGCTGAAGATCTTGCGGGTGCGAAGCGTGCTGGGGGTGTTGTGGATGTTGCGGGTGAGGTGGTGGCAACATCATCGGGTGCGGTTGACCTGAGTACGGATGCATGGGCCCCATCGGCGGCGTTTGGGCCATGCCGTATGGCGGAAGTGGAAGGGGATGGGGATAGTGCCCTGGGTTGAAGCCGCTCGGTGGAGGAAATGTGTTTGTCCTCATCACCAGACCGTCTGGGAAACCTTGCACCGGATACCCAGCAGGGCCGGCACTCAACGGACCAGCACTCAACGGACCAGCAACCATTGGACTCTGAATTGAGTCTGAAGATTCCAGATCTGTAGACACTAATCATATTGGGAAAGAGAATAATGTCAGAAATGTCCATAGCAAAGCACCTAGCAGTCCAGAAGAACGCTGCTCGTTGACAGTGCTCAAATCAAAAGAAGATACATACCGGCCGAATGAGGAAACTCTCCATGACCGTGACCTCTCTCACCATAACTGTTATCGAATTTCGACTCGGGCAGCAAAGAAGGCCTCCTCACTCCATCCTCACTCCCATTGTTGTGATATGCTCCGGCGGAAGGCTCGGTCAGCTGCTCGTTGTTCCGGTCAAACTCACCAGGTGTGACGGGCCCCTCGTTATGGTTGTGGTTGTGCATGTCGCCGTGTCCCAGTGGGCCAGCCGGATACCGCTCGCGGGAGGGTAACAGGATGCTCATGGAAGAGCGGGTTCGTCGAGGACGAGTCCAAAGTCACCCGTTGATTGAGAATTGGGTGATGGTGTGAGAAAGGTGATCCCAGGTCCGTCACCGAGGGAGTTTGGGACGGGACGAGGTGAAAGTCAGGAGACGAGCTTTTCAAAGGCAAAGCCGTCGTGAGGTGAATGTGCTGCTCGTTTCGCCGGTTGTTGAGCGAAGGTGTCCCAGGAGTAGACCTTCCCTTTGGGGGAATGGGGTGATGGTCGTCGGGGAGCTGCGCTGAATTTGGCTATGCCGCCCCTGGTACAACTGCTACTGCTAGTCCTTTTGCCCGCTGCTGCTGACTGTCCTGCTATGTTCTGTTCGTGGGAAGATGGTGGGTTAGATGAGGGATGATAAGGTCACCGTGAGAATGTGTCTCTGGGAGTGAGTTTCTGGGTTGTTGTTGGTGGCGGCGGTAGCGCCCGACCGGCGAGAAAGCCACGTCAGTTGACTCCCGCTGCGAGAAGTCCGCACAACGCCACGATAACACACAGAAAGAGGCTTAGGGCCAATGGTCGTTCCTCCCGTTTCCGCTTCCCACGCATACACCCAACACCGCTATCTGTCTGCGGTATCTGGATATACAGTGTGGCTCAAGCCCCTCCGAGGTGGGAACCGGTAGGAGTGATATGTGCCAACCTTCGGAGAGGCACAGCGGGAGAAGGAGGGAGGACGTGAACATACATACCTCTGTTTCTTTTGCGAAGGCGTGAGGTACGGTTGCGAGTGTTGCGATGGTTTGAGTGGTATATTATGTATGGTACGGGATAGAGAGAGAATGGGTCCAGTAGGTAGTCATAAGTGACAGCGAAGTGCGTGGGAATGTTTGGGCGTTTGGCACCTTTTTTTGGCAGGCTATAGGCAGGCAGGCAGCAGGCAGCGAGTGACAGAGAGAGTCAGTCAGTGCACGATCCGGGGCTGATTGCCAGATGTTAGTTACGTATTAGATGTTGGTTAGATGTTATGATGTTATGATTAGCGCCCCCTAATCAAAAGAAAGGCATCCCCCCTCGCTCGCCCGCTCCACCACGTCCTCCTCCCCATGCCATCCATGTCAATCGGCATTCTTGCGACCAGGGGGGCGTCTCGCTTTTTCTGGCGTTTCGCAAACGGGCAAAGTTGGCTCCATATCGATGACACGCACAACGCTGACTCACTCACATTGTCAAAACGCGCTTGTGGCCAATCACCGCTCGTGGCTTGTAGCATTGACGGCATCATCGGAGGCTTCCTTCCACCTCCACAGCTTTTCTGCGGGTTCCACTTCTCCACAGCTTTGAGATTCTCCGCACATGCCGCCAAGTATAAGTGTGGAGAGGCCCATTCCCCGAGGGATTCCGAGACATGAAGTCGATGGCAAGTCCACTGCCCACATGCCAATAATGCACATCCCCTACGTCAGTTTTTAGAAGCTCTATTTGTCCCCAGCACGACGCACAAACCAAGGATACCAGAAGATCAAAGCCAAGAACAAAACCAACGACGACGACAAATGAAGAAAGAGAGAACATCATGAAAACCAGCGAGCTACTCATAATTTACAATGTGTAGCATCGTTTTCTTCCATCCTTCCCTCCTCTACCACATCGCCGCTGCCCTCCCGTGGCCCGACCCCCAAGCAAAAAGAAGCTCATTGCCGAACCCTCCCAGCTAGCGCGCGCGTACACCCCGTTTGATTCCTTCCATTCGCTTCCGCAAAAAATGTAGCTTATGCGGAGCGGATGACCTGCCAGACGCGGATCTCGTTGTCAGTGTAGCCAGAGAACAGAGTTTGACCGTCAGCGGACCAGGCGATGGAGATGCATTGGGGAGGAGTGGCCTTCTTGCCCTGCTGGGGGAACTCGGGGCGCAACTCGTCGACGACGCTCTTGGACTCCAAGTCCCAGATCTTGATGCCGGACGCGGTCGCGGCAACGAGCCAGTATCGGTTGGGGGAGAAGCAGAGGGCGTTGATGACGTCGCCGGCTTCGAGGGAGTAGAGGTGCTTGCCCTCGTTCAAGTCCCAGAGCATGGTGATGCCGTCCTTTCCACCGGTGGCGCACAGGGAACCGTCGGGGGAGATTGTGACGTTGTTGACGTATCCGGTGTGACCGTAGTGGTTGATCTTCAACTTGCACTTGGCCAAGTCCCAGACCTAGAAACATAACATAAAGGTAAGTTTTTGAAAACAAGCTTCCCTGAATTTCACGAATCTGGTCGGAAGGGGGGTTTCCCAGCATGAGCTCGCATCATTTTCTATGGGTGGAAATATCTTCTCATGGCCCCGAGGGGCTCTGAAGTAGCAAATATGGTAGGTATAATCCTCTGCGAGCCACATGCTGGACGTCACCCTCCACTGTCCCAACATCCTCTGCATTTCCATATTCACCTTGATCAGCTTGTCCCATCCAGAGGAAACAATGACGGGGTTGGCGGGGTTGGGGGAGAAGCGGACGCACGAGACCCACTCGCTGTGACCCTCCTCGGTGATGTTGTACTTGCACTCGCCAAGGGTATTCCACAACTTGATGCTCTTGTCACGGGATCCAGAGACAATTTGACGGTTGTCGGGGGAGAAGGAAACGGACAAGACATCGTTGGTGTGACCGACGAAACGGCGGGTGGTGAGACCGCTGTTCAAGTCCCACAGACGGAGGGTCTTGTCTGCAATCGACACACATTTTCGGTAAGTTCCAGGTTCCAACTGCAGCGCCGCCAATGGCATTCCCCAACAAATTCCACCCATATTCGACACATACCCCAGGACGCGGAGAGAGCGAACTGGCCGTCAGAGGAGATGACGACGTCAGACACGAAGTGGTTGTGACCGGTGAGGGAACGACGGGCAACACCGTAGTTTTCCTCGTCGCGGGTCAAGTGCCAGACAATGATGGTCTTGTCTAAAATAATGGAGAGAAGCCCATAGATTAGGACATGAAAAAAGAACGATATCCAACGAGAATCGCTTGGTCGGGTAAGGGCGATCATCGGCTCATTCCTCATGACGACGTTGAGGCCTCTCCTCGCGCATAGGTTCTCTCCTCCTGTCATCGTCTGCCACTTGTTGAAAAGGTCTGTCGATAGACTACTCCATGCTGCTGTCCCATGGCCATTTCGAAATTCCATATGATCTCCCGCATCCAGTCCCAGCCACTATCATCCATCCATCCATCCGTCGGCGACCATCCATCCATCCGAGAGCCCAACAACATCCATCCTCTCTTTTCACCTTTCCCCGACTCGATCCAGCCCAAACCTTCCCCTCTTTGGTGGTCCACACATAATCCCGGTCGTTCGTTCCCAGGCAGTTCCTCCTCATTCCATGTCTTCTGCCAATTGCCTGCCCTACAAACGTACCGCGGGAAGCAGACAAGAGCATGTCGGGCGACTCGGGGGAGGTGGCGATAGCCGTTACCCAGCCGGCGTGACCTGCATAGTTTGCGGAAATGTAATTGTTAGACCATGTGAAACCGAATACGAGTAACATGGCGAGAGCATAGCTGGAATCTGCCTCCCCATGCTGGTTGCGAGCAGGAGGAGAGTGCGGCGGGGGCGGGGGTGAAAGCGGGTACTTACCCTTGAGGGTGGCCCTGTGCATAAGAGTGTCAGCCATGTCGTCCTATGTTCTTGCCGATGTAGAGGATGTCGACGTGCGGAAGAGGGAGGAAAACAGGAGCGTTTTGGCGAGGGGCCGCCTCTCATTGCATCCAAGAGAAGACGCGACTCACTGGCGCCCAATTGGCTGGTTTGGGTGCTGTCAAAATGCCCGTCAATAATTCACCCCCAGGACTTCCTTTGTGAGCATCGACTTGGACCACCTGCTTTCCCTGGGACATAACATGTGGCTCTGCCATCCCAACGAACGGATCTTGGTGGAGAAAGGAAAGGCCCTGAATTGAGGGGAATGCTCTACCATTCCTACGGGGAAAGCTGTCAAGATCACTACATGCTAGATCACTACAAGAACTGCGATGGTGAATGCTGTATATACAGTCTCACCGACCATGGATCGAAACGCTGCAACAGTACGACGTCAATATTCAATATGTCCCCGGCGAAGCAAACACGCTCGCAGATCTGCTGTCCCGACGCGCTGACTACGCACCTACTGTAAGTGCTCCAAATGTTCAAATATTGCCGCGATCTCGACCATCGTTACCCACATCCACCGACTTACACGAGATCGTGCGTACGGCGCTACCCAAAGACCCCCTCGCGGACAGCATACGCGCCGCCCTTCAGCGGCCTATAACCGCCCAAAGCCAAAAGGAGCGACGCTACACCGATGAAGACGGCCTCCTTCTACGAACACCGCCTATACGTACCAGATATCCCGCTCCGGCTACAACTGCTTCACGACGCTCATACCGCGGGCGCCGCTAGTCACCCCGGATGGTTTCGCACCTGGGAGAAACCTGGTCCGACATTTCTACTGGCCACGAATGGAGCGCGCTGTAAAAGCCTACGTCAACGGATGCGACAGCTGTCTGCGTGCGAAGACCGGCCGACGCCGCCACGGACTCCTCCAACCGCTACCCATCCCGAGCGCCCGCTGGTCAGACGTCACACTCGATTTCGCTTTCCTACCCAAGGACGCCAAAGGCCGGGATCTTCTGATGATCGTAGTGGACCGCCTCACAAAACGGGTGCACTTGATTCCAACCCATCGCGAGGTCACGGCCGAGGAAATCGGAGAACTCTTCTGCGAACACATCATCAAACTGCACGGCATCCCATCCACTCTGGTAACCGACCGCGATACCAAGTTCACGGCTACCGTCTGGCCCACCATCTCCGAATACCTCGGCTTCGAGACAGCCATCGCGACCGCCGCCCATCAACAGACCGACGGACAGACAGAGCGGGCGATCCAGACGCTCAAGAACATGCTGGCCGCCACCCCTGATCTAACCGGTCGAAACTGGTCAAGGTACCTCGCGGCCCTCGAATTCGCCTACAATTTCCCGCGCACCCCTTGCCGTCTCGCCGATCATTGTAGAGGCTTCACATTCTCCGAGCATTGCCACTCGGCTCCCCTGAACGAAACAGAGCGTTCCCGGCCCCTTCTCGTCGTTCATCGCGCTGGTCCCGGTTGAAAGTTGCCAAGTGCAACCATTCTTTCACTGTCCAGCCTTCCAACGCGGACTGGGAGCGACGTCGCGCCAGGAATTTCTCCATACGACCTCGGTACCGGCAACAAGGCCTTCATGCGAGAACGAACGCCTTTAACCCGGCGGATATGAAGGAAACGCTGTGTTGAGACCAGGAGGAGCGTGCCGTTACCGCACAGCACGGCGGAGGAGTATCTAACGTGTCGTCGCTCGATTACCCAGACAACGAGATCCGCGTCACGAAACGGATGTTCCGCCTGTCGTAGGCGACATCGCGCCGGTCCGTCGAGGGATCGTATGACTTGGGGCAGTACTATATGTTTGACGCCGTGCCATTCGGGGGCTGCGAGGAGGGCATTGCGCGGAGGAAAGCGATGCACTTTTATTTTGATGCTGCGTCGCTTGCGTTGCAGGCCTGTGCGCATATGCTGGAGATCAGACGGCTGCATATGCGATTCTGACGAAGAGGCGGGTCCGGGGTTGTTGGCGAGGTTGGTACCGCCGTCCACTGGGACGGCTGAGTGTTTGGAGAGGGAGAAGGCGGACTATGCGCAGATGGCTGGCTGGGATGGGTATGTGAGGGACCGCAGATAGGTGGCGATGTGCGAGAAAGGGGTCGGAAGGGACTCAACATTTAGAACGGAACTCCGATTAGATTGCATTCCTACATAGAAGAGATACATAGACATCGATGTGTGAACAGAGCCAAAACCCATGTCAGCCACCTATCACAGACCTCATCCCATCCCTCTGTAAGCGAGTGTTGTAGATGTCTTCCAGTTGAACAGTTGCTCATTGCTAATTTTGATGCACGGTGGGACAAGATGTTACGGGACATGGTGCGGATAGGCCTGAGGTGCTCAAATGTATGGTTCTTTGTGTCCCGCAACCACATCAGAATGCGAAAAGAAGGAACCACTTCGAAGTGCCCGTCGAAGAGGCTGGGTCGGAGTCGTTGACGTTTGCAACCGGACAAATTTCGCCGACGCGGACAAAAAGCAATTTGGCACCGAATCCAACCATGCAAAATTTCCCCATATTATTAGAGTTACCGTAGGTATCGTACACAACAACGCCTCATCCGACGAACGAAAGCATTCGCAATTAATATCAGAGTCTCATCAAACCAGGTAGTTGGGCGTGTTGGGGCCGGCGGGCCATGACGGTCACACATGTCTCGCCGGGGGGGCATCCTGTTGCTGGCGTGACATGGCGCTGGGCTCTGAGATATGGACAACTGTGTTGGACCCGGGGGATTGTCTCCCAGGTGTACCGCCGTTGCGGGTGGACCATGACCATGTCCTGCGTATTGCATGTGTGGTCGTTGTGTGGGGGCATTTGTGCCTGTGTCTGTGTCTGTAGCATCGGAGGGGGCCATTTCACGACGGAGGCGGTGCGCACTGCGAGCGAGAAATGGAGAAACACGCTCCTCCGCTCTCATAACACCCTGGGCGCATTGCAACAACACTTGCTCCCCATCGACTTCGCAAACTTCGCATCGTAGGCGGACTCATTTCCAACCGGCTGCAGAACAGCGTCTCTAAAGCAGGGGAATATCCGAAACACCGTCAGCTCACGCACCCCAAACCACCCTGAGTCTCTACGACGCAATTCACCCGTTGTAGCTTGCGGATATAGACGGAACCGCGGAGAAAGCTGGGAATGGAAAGTGGGAAGTTGCCGAGAAGAGGCTTCTGAGAAAGAGAGGTTACCGCCTAAGGCGAGGCAGCCTCCCGAACGACATACCATAAGAGTAGGCCCGTAAAGAAGAATATAGCGATAGGCTGTAGAAACACTCAATCGCAATGGACGTGCGGGACGCCTTCGTGGCGAACAACGTCAGATCCGTCGTCGAGAGAGGCGACCTGGTCAATCATTATCCTTTTATGGAGAGCTTCGAAAATGGAGTAGTGCTCATAATAGACGTGTCAGGTAGGGGATAGTCGTTTGCGTTGGCAGGTATGGAAGAGATGAGGCTTACACCACAGGGTCCACAGGGTATTCACAACTTGCGGCATATCTGCAACAACAATATGGCGACACTTCCGGAGCACGTATCCAGACCCTGTTAAATCCTCACTTTTCGGGCATGATCGACGCCGTCCATAGACATGCGGGATCTGTCGTAAAGTTCGCTGGGGATAGCTTGGTCGCAGTATGGACAAGTTCGTCCAACGGCGCCAACGGTTCGAGATTCCTCAGCATAGATGAGGACGGGAATGAGACACAGTTCAACCCACAACCCCGCGAGTCGACAATGGACATGCAGATGCGAGGGGTTTCGACAAGACCTAAAGGGTTCTGCGACTTGACCTCGGCGTTTCTCTGCGGACTCGACATCTTATTGATGGTGGATGTGCTGGGACGGAACATGGAAGGCGACACCGCATCGCCCGAACAGCAGATACTGCAAGGGGTGACCGCCCATATGGGTCTTGGTACTGGAGTGACGAACCACGTACATGTGGGAAAGCCCACAGAGTGCTGTGAATACTTTGTGTCTGGGGCCTCTGTGCGGACGGCGTCTGTCATGTTGGAGACCGCTCAGCAGAATGAGCTCGCGGTGACGCTCGGCGCTTGGGAAAGGATAAAGAGCGCTTTTGAGGGATCCTGTCCCCTGGCTGCGGCAGCGGCAGGGACTCTGGATAAGCTCGTGGACCCCGTCGTCGTAAACGGCGAACATGTCATCATCAGATCAAAGATCTTTGCGTCTGACTATCTGAGGCACCAGCTGACATGGCTGTTCACATTGTTCTCGAACGACGCAGTGCCGCTAAACTCACCTACCGCCGAAATCAACCCTTTCCACACGATCGTCGCTCCATCCTCTCGACTGAACGACTACATCGCAAAGACGATTGTCCACCACCTGTCGTCCACCACCCTGCGCGAACTGGGAGAAACGAGCGAGCTGCGGAGTTGTGCGGTCACCTTTGTGCGGTTATGCGGAGACGTAGCGGCACGCGCAACGAGCGATGACGCCTCCTGCCTGTCTGTGCTGCAGGTGGCCATGACAACCGTCCTGGAGGCGTTGACCCTATTCGACGGCTGCCTCCGCCAATACAACGTCGACGACAAAGGCCCTACCCTGCTCCTCGTCTGGGGCGTAGAACGCTACGCCCACGAGCAATCCGAAGCCTCCTTCGCCCTGCACGCCGCGCTCCGCATCGCCCGCAAACTCGAACAGACATTCGGTCCAGGGTCCTTCTCCATCGGCGTCGCGGCCGGCGTCGTCTTCTCTGGCTTCGTCCTGTGCGAAAAACGCAGCGACCACACCATCCTCGGTGTGGCCGTCAACGACGCCGCGCGGCTCATGTGCCACCCGCTCGCCAGCGAACATGCCATCCTGGTCTCTGAGGACGTGTACAAGGCATGTAAGGACGAGTTCCTGTTCTCGCCCACCTCGCATGTTGTGCAGATCAAAGGCTCCATCGATCCCAAACGAACATATATACCCATACGGCCCCTCAATGCGTCGGCGAGATGGCGCCAGGGCGATCGGTCGAATCCGCCCAAATTAATTGGGAGGGAGAGGGAGAAGATGATCATTAGGCATGCATTGGAGGATTGGAAGAACGGGGAACCCACTACCTTGGTGATAGAGGGGAAGACGGGCACGGGCAAGACGCTACTGGGTGATTACACGATCCATGAAGCGTCGAAGGTACCCAACTCCCTCATCAGTGTTGGCCGCTCCAGCGAGAGTCAGAAGTTTGTTCCCTTCCATGCCCTCAGCGTCATCCTGACCAGCCTCTTCACCGACATGGACGTCGAGCTGCTGACCAAGAAAGCCGCCCATCTGAAACGCAAGGCGGGGCGGTTCGACGAAGCTGACCGGATTGAGCAGTGGAGCGGGGTCAAGTACTCGACCGCGGGGAGGAGGTCACGGAGTGTTAGTATGAGCGGTCTGGCGACGAGTCTCAGCGGTCTGGAGGCGCTCCAGTTTGAGACCACCTTGGCGAAACTCGACTCGCTCAACAATTGGTACGACGCGGGCGCAGAAGCGAAGACCACACAGTCTTTGTCCCGGCCCAAGGTGGCTACCGCCGACAAGTTCCCGCCCAAACGCCGAAAGACATTCGGGGCGCAGTTCCTACCACCCAAACCCATGGACTTGAATTCAAGCCGAACGGATCTTTTATCACCAACATGGGAGCCTCACAGGTCCGCAGACGACGAAGACGGGTCCGACGAAGAAGGCGGCGAGTCCGACGGCATGACAGCCGCCTCAGGCAGCACGCGAGTCGACTCCCTCCACTCCCGCACCCCCGCGCTGCAATCCTCCACCTCCTACCCTGCAATCAACGCCCACACGCAAACGAGCGCGCTGTCTTGCCACCCGTCCTGCCCGCGCCGCAACAAGATGCAGAGGGATATGAGCGCTAACACGGGCGATGAATTTGGCGCGGTGCATATGCCGGAGTGCTTCAATGCGAAGAATACGTCTTTGTTGGGTTATATGAATCGGTTGACTATCAAGGTGCAGATTATATTGAGGCTGTTGGAGATTGAGGAGCCGTTGCAATACCTGGTAAGCCCGTCATGTCACTGGCTGATCAACTTGAGTGGTTCGAAGAGAAATATTCACCCAACGAATTCTCTTTAGTTGAATGATGTGATACCCACCAATTTCGAAACAACACGAGGCTACAACATCGTCTTCTCGCAAGAGCGGACGAGCCACCTGATCGCCTTTGTAGTCCGGATACTCAACACGCTCACCGAACGGTTCGAGATCCCCATCATCCTGATGCTAGATCACGCCCAATGGACCGACTCGATCGGGTGCCAGCTGTTCAGCGACATTTCACGGCAATGCAAGCGCGTGCTGTGTTGCTGGCTGACGCGGCCCGTCGGGGAGTACATGTCTGATCTTCCTCGGAAGCTTTTGGAGCGGATTATGGAGGGTGATGTGGAGAGGGTTGCGACTTCGGGAGCGAGTAGTGATTCGGACGATGCGTCGTTGGCGACCGTCGTGGCGGACTTGAAGGAGGTTGTGCCGCCTGCGACGGTGATTTCGCTGCATGGGCTGGATATCGCCGCGTCGGAGGAAATGATCATGGAGATCGTCCGTGGGAAATTTCCAAATGCTACTGCCCCCGATGCCGGGTTAGTCTGCGAGATCTACCGCCGCACGGGCGGGAACCCAGTCATGATTCAGATGTTGTCGTCGAGCATGCTGCAGCGGCTAGACGGACAGGTTCTCGACGGCGTGCTGCAGTTCTCCCGCTCGTCGTCGGCCGCATCGACGCAGTTCGATGACGTGCTGCCCGCCGACGCCGCCACGGCCGTGCTGTCGAAACTGGATCGCACGAGCCCCGCCATGCGACACGTGTTACTCGTTATGAGTGCCGCGGGGCAGTACACGCAGCTGCACACCCTCGCGGCCGCATTGATCCGCAACCCCATCAAAGAGTTTGCAAATTTCCACCTGGAGACCATCGAGGGGCAACAACGGCTGCTTGACTTCCTGCAGGAGAACGACCGTTTCGGGTTCCTGAAATACACGTTCGAGCGGGACCCCGACGCAGCTCACCTCCTCGAACTCGACGCCGTCGAATGCGCCAACGTGCCCCCACCCCCCACAGCCCTCTACTGCTCCGAGCTCTACTTCCACCACTACCTCGTTTACCAATCCATCTACCGCTGCCTCATCCCCTCCCGCCGCGCAACGCTGCACGCCTCCTACGCCGCCCACTACGCACACTACATGGACTCCTCCAATATCTCCAACGAACGCGGCCAGCGCGACGCGATGCTCTACGTCATCAACCTCCACCTCGACCGCTGCCGCGCACTCGTCCCCAGCACCACCCTGATCCGATTCGCACATGAAGCCTACAAATCCTCCGTCTCCCGCGCTATCGTCGCAGAGGCCCTCATCGCCTACCAGCGCCTCGAGGACCTGATGGCGACCTACCCCGACGCTGCGCAACGGGTGCTGAGCCTGTACGACCGCGTGCGCGTGTGCAGATTGATGTGCGATATGTGGATCGCTGCGGTGGATTATTCGCAGGCGTGGGAGTATTTTGTGAAGGGCGTGCGGTATCTCGGGCAGGAGGTGCCTGAGGTGAGGACGGGCAAATGGTGGCGTTTGGTACTTAGGCAGGTTGTGAAGCATTTTTTGGTGAGGGTTGTGAAGAGGCATGATGTTGTTGAGCGCTGGGTTTTGAGGGATTTGAGGTAGGTGTTTTTGGGGTCACTCTACTTGTGGCAAGTAACTCGAAGGCGTATCAACTAACGTGAACTTCTGCTTGTTAGCAAAAAATTCCCCATTGTGAAACACGACATGTCGATGGTCCGGCAATGCGCCATTGAGCTCATGGACCTCTTTGACAGCGCGCTGCATATCGCCGTCCATCAGAATAGCTCAGACTGCTATTTCGCCCTATTGTTAATCAATACAAGTAAGTTCCTCACCGCGGCGCGTGCTTCGAAGTTTGCCAATTTTCTTCTAACGCGGGCTTGAATTCCAAGACGTCTCGGAATGCCTCCGCAGCGTGCACCCCGACCGCGCCCGAACCGCCTACATGCGCATGGGCATGGGCCTCCAACAACTCGGCCACCCTCGTCTCGCCGGCTGGTACCTCCGCCAAGCCAACGAGATCCGTCGCACGTCCGGCCGCGGCGGCATGATGGGTCTCTCCGAGCACAAATCAAGCAGCGAGAGCGAGAAATCCGCGGTTCGGATCATGATCATGGCGTACTCGCAAGCCAACTGGGCAAAAGTCGAGGCCGAGTCGCAGAAAGTCGCGAGATCGATGGCGGGGAAGGGGTTGGTGGGTAACCGCGACATTGTGGACTTCTGGAACATCGTGCTTGGGTTCCAGTGGATCCAAGGCGAGTTGACCAAAGTTGCGGCCACGGCGGAGGAGTACCATCGCTCGGCTGTGAATATCGATTGGGAGTCACCGCGGACGTTACGCCCCGCGATGTGTAAAGCGGCGGTGCTGTGGCAGCTTGGCCGGCCGATGGCGGAAGTTGCGAGATGTTACGAAAACGCGCAGGGGCAGTTGGCGCGGTTGGAGGCTGCTACCAAGAGTGGCGCTACGGCTGGGTTTGGCGCCGCTATGCAGGCTATCAACCTCGGATACCTCTTCCGCATCCTGATCGGGAGGCTGCACCTGGTGGGGTGGGGCGATGCGTCGTGGCCCAGTGGGCCCGCTGGCCGGGACACCATGCCAAGAGGCGATGCAGCCCTCCGCGATGAGGTAGATTTGCTCGGTAACAAGATGCTTGCGTTACTGCGATCGGTCCATGTCGGCGCGGCGTATATGGGCACCGACCTCTTCCTTGTCGTCCTCACGCTGCTGGACTGGGCCATTTTGATCACGAGCACCTTTAACGGCGTCGCGAAGGACACACCGAGCGTGATGTATGTCCGCCAGCCCACGCGAGCGCATACCACCACCACCACCGCCACCTCAACACCGTCGACGCTCTACCCACCCCCGGCGACATCGGTCGCAAACGGGCTGGCGATGGCCATCACCGCCGAATCCGTCGTTCAGCTGGCCAAGGAACGCACCCTGTGTAAACGGCTGTGCAAGGTTATCACCCGCCTGCTATCGTCGCCCGCAGGCACCGCTCCGCTTAGTCGGTTCACGCACGACCTTGGGCGGGACACGCTGGCGTTGCTTGACGGCGAGTCACCTAAGCGGGTGGTTAAGCGGCTCGAAAAGACCTTTGTCACCTTACGCGCGAATATACCCGCGGCGACACCGTTTATGTGTGCCCTCGTTGCGGCGAGGCTGGTCAGGCTGAAAACGACGTATGGCGTCAAGCGGAGTGGACAGTTTAGGGGGACCGTCACGGTGAACGGGATCCTGCCCAGCCCCGGTGTCTCGTCGCAACTGGACTCGTCCGCGGCATCGATATCATCCGCGACGTCGTCGTCTTACGAGCGCCGGCAATCTACGCCGTCGGAATTGTCCTACTCTATGAGGGAACGCACGCCCTCGCCTTCGTTTCTGTTCGCCCCGCCTCTGCCCGATACGCTCAAGTCACCAACGACCCCGCCCGTCTCCCCAACGACACCTATAGAACGCAAGAGCGGATGGGGCCCCGTCGGCTGGCTCCGACTCCGCTCATCCCAGACACCCCATTCACCCACCTCCCCCACCTCTCCGCACGCTGACAACCACCACCACCGTTCAACGAAACACCGAAAACCCCCCTCCCAAATCGATCGCCCCGGCACGCCAATTAACAAAGCCATCTGGCCCATTGACACCTCCCTCACCACCCTCCCCTCCAGCATCATATCCCCACTCTCTCCCTCCTCACCCGACTCCCCTTACATCACCCGTCCGCCGCTCGCCATCACCACCGCCACCACATCCAGTGCCGACGGGTCCGCCGAACAACAAATGGCGTGGCCCCCGCGGATAGGCAACCAGACCCCGCCAACGACTCCCCGCCGCATGGCGACCTTCCCGACCCCCGGCTCCCCACAACGGATGTACTCCTTCACAAACGCCCTCGTCGGCGACACCACCGACATCGAATCCTACATTCAGGGCCGCAAAGGCTCAGCCCTCTCGTCAACCCCCACCGCGTCCTCAAGAAGCGACGGAACGCAAGCGGTGATAACCCCCGATGAAGTGTCGGTGCGGTCGCTGGTGGAGTATGCGGAGCGCGTGTTCGAGGAGACCGGGAATGTATGGGAGGGGAGGTTGATGGGGGCTTATCGGCCGCTTGGACCGACGACGACAAACACCCGTGTCCCGACGTTTCAGCCGACGCGGGCGCGACAAGGGCTGAACGTTGTTGAGCTGGCTTCGCGCTTTTGAGCCCGGACTGACTCCTTGCGTGCCCACCTTTTTTGACATTCATTTTTTTGGACTTTCATTCCGCATCTGACACTCACATCACGGCGTAACCCACACACCACGTAATCATAGCTTTTAGGTCCCTCTACATTAGCTCCCCTACTATTCTTGCATATATTTACGCTACTTGGTGTAATTTAATCTAGTGTCCACACATATACATCCTGCATTCGTCACCCATTTCCTAATAGCATTCGTTCTCTTCGCGGATACCGGCGATGAAGTACTTGATACCCGTCCGCCACCCTTTGAGGGGCAATGTCCAGCTATTTGCCATAAGGCGGTTAATCTCCTTTGAAAAGCTTCCTCAATCACTCCCGAGACACTAGTAATGACTTACTCCGCATGAGAGAACATCTATCGAAATTGCCGACATGTCATTCAGCTAGATAGTTGCATTGATCGAGTATTAGAGGCAGCGCAGCTAGACATCCACCCATGATTTATCGCAGCGAAATATTCGACTTTCCGGTGCCTCGAGATCACGGCGAAGGAGAAAGCAGATGGGATGCGGCATATTATGGGATGCACAGACGCTGAGCTCCCCCGTAGAGGCAGTGTCAAAATATATTCATAGTGATGCCAAACACGACGTATGTAACATTTGAGGTACAAATCCTTAGCCTCCGCGCTCTACTCCGTTACGAGCGAACGAAAGCCCTGGCTGCATTCCACTCTGAACCTCACTCCGACTCCACTCATTTTCTAATCCTCGCGCTCATTCTCACTCCCACTCTCGCTTCCCACTCCTTGCCCTTCCTCCACCTCCCTTGCCTCTTCAACCCTCTTCACCTCCGCAAAGAAACCGCCACAAAGGCGACACTTCCCACCCGTGGCCTGCTTCATCGCACACGACTTGCACAGGCTGCGGTGGCCGCAGGGGACGGGTGCGTATTCGGCTGGTGGGGGTTGTGTTGTTGTGGTGGATGATGTGGTCGCAACGGTGGATGCTAGCCGGGCTGAGCAGACGAGGCAAGGCTGAGGTGTGGTGCTGGCGGAGGTGGTTGGTGAGGCAGGGGACATTGTTCTTTCTTGAGGGGTTGTGCCGTGGCTGTTTGTTAGCCTGCGTCTTGACTATCGATAGTTGACAGGTGGGTGCGAACAGTGCGACAGGAAGCAGGACAGGAAGAGAGCGCCCGCGTGTCCGAACGGGTGTTCCTTTTTTGTCCGAAAGCCGCGTCGTCCTCTCCTTTCTCCCTCGACAGGACCCGTATTGTGGGAAGGTGCCGCAGAGGGAACCGCAGGAGAGACGGTGTACTCTGGAAGAGTATCTTGCGATGCTTTGTATTCAATACGCATAGCTTACATACGCCGTACAGTACTTCAGACCGCATACAACAACTGTATGCCCAATGAAAAAAGTAGCATCGCACTTCGGTTCCCCAGTTCCAGCTTCAGACCCGGATGAGGATTCCCATCTCCAACCGTCAATGATCTACGCCGCTAATCCCAAGCAGCTACAAATCTCTCCGCAACTAACTATTGAACATCCGCGAATACAGTTGGCTATGTAGCCCCTGCAATATATCCACGACAGGCGAGGTCTGGCACGCCGTTGTGGTGGCTAGCCGATGATGTCGCAAGTCCGCATCATCCTCATTCTCAACCACACCTCCGGTCATACCGTCGTCCGTACTATCATGGCGGTCATACTTTCCCCCTTGCTGCTCATCCAATTCCATCTTCTCCCTCACAAGCCTCAACACCTCCGCCACATCCGCCTGCGCTGCGAGCAGCATCTGCTGGCCCTGGTAAGGTCCGACGAGATTGAGGCGGATCGCGGCGGAGAGGAGCGAGCGCACGTGCAGGAATAAGAACAGATGTTCCGTGCGTTCTGCATCGAAAGATCGAGTTCATATTGAGGGAGAAACGGGATGAGAGAGTGATGTATATCATACCTAGTGATATACCAAGCGACCAGCAAACAATTCCGAAACAGACGGCGAGGTGGCCGGGGGATCGCGACGCCCTGACTTCTGTCTTGAACGCTTTGACGATCTCTACGCCGCGTTCGGAGGGGAACCCGCGCATCAGCAAGGTGAGGAAGGCTGCGCCTTGGGCTCTGCATGCGTTTGAGGGTGAAGAGATTCGTCATTAGCCTATCCCACCGGTAGACCGACCGTATGCCAGTGCACGTTGGACATTACCGGGATGCTTTTCGCGCAACGTGGTTTGTCCCGATTAGTGTGTCGTGGTCACCGTCTAGTTCGACTATCTGCGAGACTTGAGTTGGGAAGGGAAGGGAAGGAAGCCGAAAAGATGTTAGCGCCAGACGGCTGAACACACTCCGATCGCTGGAACACAGTTGTTCTGTGAGATGGCCCTTGCCTTGCTCGAGCCGACGTTCCATCAGGGCTTGCTGTCGCGAGGGATCAACGGGCAGAGGTTCTGCCTTCATGACGCGGCTTTGCAACTTCCCTCTCTCCCTTCGTCAACATTCACCGAGTCCTCGAGTATACATGACCCGATAGGGCACCATCTACTCCAGCCTTCCCCGCCGTCTCTGTCTCACCCCAACTCACCCGTCCATCGTACCTTTTCCCGCTCGCCCCTCCCCTCCCCCTCTCCCTCTCCAGCCATAACCCCCCATGCCTCCCTAACAATCGGCACCCCCCCAAACGCATACGTATGCACAGCATCACGCATGAACCCCCTCAGCTGCGTCGCGTCGGAGACGTGCCCGGCCTGCTTGGCGGCTTCGAGACCGCCTGATGCGACGAAGCCGCCGGTGGGTAGGGCCGAGTCGCCGAGGAGGAGGAGGAGCCAGTCTTCGGTTGCGGTGGGGGTTGGGATTGGTTGTGATGGTGGGGTGGTCATTGTGATGGGGATGTCGTTGGGACTGATGGGATGTGAACCTGGATTGTGAACTGTGAATTTCGCAAGCCGCGCCAAGAGAGTTCGTCCTGCTTCTCCTGCTTCGTCTTCGTGTGCAATTTCGCAACCGAAACAAGACCATCCAGGGAAATGCCCTCCCGCTCACCCTCACCAACTAGAGCACGGCGCTCGCAAAGCCCTGTAAGCAACCTTGCCTTCGATCTTGTGCCGCTGTTAACCCCGTATGCTAATTCCTGCGTCTCCGTATGCTAATTCCGCCCACTTTCGAACACTTTCCAGGTCTCACATAGACGACGTAGTGGCGGTCACAGGTATGTAATGCGGCGTACGTAGTTCTGGGTTCCCAGGCAGCGGAGTTGAGCTTACAGAAGTGACTGCCCTCCTCAATTCGTAGTCGGTCACGCAGCCCAAGACACCGAGGAGGGGACACATATCGCCCGGTACCGCGGCGAGATCGTGACGAAGACACAGGCCGCGACCGCTCGCCGGCGCGACGGCGGCGAAGGGATTCGATAGAGGGGGTGGATGTGGATATTAGGAGAAGGAGCAGTGGACGCGATAGGAGCCGGTCATCAAGCGGTTCGCGAGACAGGCAGCGGCGGGGGTCGAGCCGGGACCGGGACCGAGGTCGAAAGCAGAAAGGAAGACGGCGGAGCGTGAGCCGGTCGCCATCACGATCATCCTCCTCCTCCTCCTCCTCCTCCTCCTCCTCCTCCTCCTCTTCGTCCGACTCCGTCTCCAGCTCCTCCCACAAAAAGCGAAAACACAGCAAAAAGGACAAGCATACCAAAAAGCGGTCTTCCAAATCGAAAGAGAAGAAGAAGAAGGCCGATAAGAAGAAGGAGAAAGACAAAAAGAAGAAGAAGAAGAGCAAGAAGGATAAGAAGGAGAAGAAACATGGGAACGGAGGGACTGCGGTGTATGGCGCGCATGGAATCATCACGATTGCCGATATGTATCGCAAGGAGGCGGAGTTTAGGACGTGGCTGGTTGAGGTTAAGAATTCGAGCCCGGAGGTGTTGGATAATCGGACGATGAAGGCTATATTTGCCGAATGTAAGACGAAGAAAGCGGAGATGTCCTTGTAGATCGGGATGTCGAATCTATGCTGCAAGCTCACATGTGTGTTTGTTTCCTCTGCCTTTGGCGCTTAGACATGGAGGAGTACAACACGGCCTCACTTCCTGCCAAGTATTACGATCTCGACAAGTGGTGGGTGTCGTGACCTGAACATGGTTTCCTGGGACTACTGCTCACATCGATGTTTGGAATTCAGGGAACGCGAACAATCGATCCGACTGCGAGCAGAAGCCGGCGGTATGGACCACGAACCAGAGTTTAACATCCTCAATGGTAAGCACCTGCCCCTATACCTTATATGTACTACGCACAGTCCTCACCACCCACCTCTTCCCCTTTCTTCTCTCACAACCATCAGACGAAGAACGCCTAAAACAACACAGCAAAGCCCTCCGCTCCACCGGCGCCGGCAGCAAGCTACCCGAGCTCAACTACTCGGACACGCAGCTAGCGGAGATCAAGAAGGTTTCTGAGGAGCGTATTGCGGCGGATCGGCTGCGGAAGATGGGGTTCGAGCCGAAGAATAGTTTGGGGGTGCGGTATGAGCAGGATTAGGGGTAGTGGAGGTGGGGGTAAGGGTAGGGGTTGCAATATGAGCTACCGTCGCTGTCTTACGCAGTGTGTCCATCGGCGCTATGATTTATATTGAAGATCCGTTCGGTACTGGTGCGTCGAAAAGCAATGGAGTGAATAAACGGGATGCAGTCACGTGAGGACACGCGTGTCCGGCTTGAATTCTGGACTGCTGCTGCTGGTTGTCGGACGAAGGGCAGACAAAGCCCAGGGACGCCGGAGATCAGCAAAACCCACTGTTCCCACGGCTATAATCTACTCTATCAAGCCGAATACCCCAGTAACTGAACTGCATTTCTCGTCAGTTTGAAGCAGCAAAGTCACCGCCCTCTCCCGCTTTTACTCCCCAACGAAGTTTTAGCCCAACATGAACGGAATGCCCGGCATGATGGTGAGTTCCGACTGGATCAAGCTCTGGATCAGCAGTGCTTCGGTTCGGGCTTCCGTGAGACTTACGGTGGCTCGTTACTTTCATTCCTGTATGTCCAATCTATTCTAGCAACCGCAAATTATCCTTTTGAAGGAAGGTACGGACACGTCCCAAGGTAAAGGACAACTGGTGTCCAACATCAACGCGTGCATAGCCATTGCCGAGACGATCCGAACCACCCTGGGACCCAGGGGTATGGATAAGCTGATTGTCGAGAACAACGGTATGTGTTTCATCGTCGTCGGATCGAGCGCTTTAGTAAACGTAGGAGTCTACGGTTCTGAGCTAATCCCCTATTGCAGGCAATGTAACAATCTCCAACGACGGAGCAACGATCATGAGGCTGCTGGATGTCGTGCACCCCGCTGGCAAAGCTCTTGTCGACATCAGCAGGGCACAGGATGCGGAGGTTGGAGACGGAACGACGAGTGTGACGCTGTTTGCTGCCGAGCTGCTCAAGGAGGTCAAGTCGTACATTGAGGAAGGAGTGGCGCCTCAGGTCATCATTAAGGGATTCCGGAGAGCGTCTGTTTTGGTATGGCTTGGGTTTCTGTTTGAATTAGGGTGATACGAGAAATACCCTGCAGCAATGTTTCTGAGGAAGGACCACTGTTTCCTTTGTTTAGGCTGTGAACAAGACCAAAGAGTTGGCCTTCACCGTCGAGCGTTCAAATGAGAAGTACGTTGTGGTTTTGATCAGGAATGAATGGTATCGACATGCATGCTCATCATTGTTCCTTTAGGGATTTCCGTGGCCTCCTGGAAAAGTGCGCCGCCACGTCCATGTCTTCCAAGCTGATCCACTCGCAAAAGGGTTTCTTCACCAAGATGGTCGTTGACGCCGTCCTGCATCTGGACCAGGAGGACCTGAACGAGCGCATGATTGGTATCAAGAAGGTTCCCGGAGGTGCCATGCAAGAGTCCCTTTTGATCGACGGTGTGGCTTTCAAGAAGACCTTCTCATACGCTGGATTCGAGCAACAACCGAAATCCTTCGAAAACCCCAGGATTCTCTCGTTGAACGTGGAGCTAGAGTTGAAAGCGGAGAAGGACAATGCGGAAGTGAGGATAGAAGAAGTCAAGGTGAGTTTGTACAAGGAGGTTTTGGACATGCCCCGGAGACGGTATGCTGAACGCGACATCACGGCCAATTCAGGAATACCAAGCGATCGTCGACGCGGAATGGTCCATCATCTACGACAAGTTGGAAAAGATTGTTGCGACAGGCGCCAAGGTGGTCCTCTCCAAGCTTCCAATCGGAGACTTGGCGACGCAATACTTTGCCGACCGAGACATCTTCTGCGCAGGTCGTGTGGCGAACGATGATTTGATGCGCACCGTCAAGGCCGTTGGAGGAACAGTCCAAACGTCTGTCAACGACATCAAACCTGAGCACCTTGGTACATGCGCGACCTTCGAGGAGAGGCAGATTGGAGGCGAGAGATACAACTTGTTCCGGGGATGCACAGCGGCAAGGACTTGCACGCTGGTGCTTCGTGGAGGAGCCGATCAGTTCATTGCTGAAGTGGAGAGGAGTCTGCACGATGCCATCATGATTGTGAGGAGAGCGATCAAGAACAAGGCTATCGTTGCTGGAGGTGGTGCTACCGAGGTGCGTTGAGTTCGTGTTGCTCAGATATCCGGATGGGTCGCTGACGGAGTCGATCTATCGTGTATTCAGATGGAGCTTTCCAAGTACCTGCGCGAGTACTCCCGCACCATCGAAGGAAAGCAGCAAATGGTGATTGCCGCCTTTGCCAAGGCTCTGGAGGTCATCCCTCGTCAGTTGGCCGACAATGCGGGTTTCGACGCCACGGACATCCTCAACAAGCTTCGTCAGAAGCACGCTCAGGGTATGTTGGGAAGTTTTCCTCGTTTATGCAACGGCATTGTCATCTCATACTTCCTTGTCACAGGTGGCACATGGTTCGGGGTCGACATGGAGACGGAAGACATCGCCGACAACTTTGAAGGGTTCGTGTGGGAGCCCGCATTGGTCAAGACCAACATGCTCTCCGCCGCGACCGAGGCGGCGTGCCTCATCCTCTCCGTTGACGAGACGGTCAAGAACCCGCAGAGCGAGCAGCCTGGACAGCAACCTGTCCGCGGCGGAGGTCGTGGTGGGCGGGGCAGGGGTATGCCTAGGCGCTAGTAGATGATTGCAATTCTCGACAAAGGACTGTAAGGGTGGTCAAAACTGGGGACCAGGTCGTATGCGCTGGGTTACTGGCAGGTTTGAGCAGGAACGGCTTTGAGTTGGTTATCTGTTTTCTTTGTATCATTATTAGCCAAAAGCCTTTGGTCTTTTGTGATGATGTGGTGTGTTTTGTGATGGGGGATGTAAAAATGTATAAATGTTAACGATAATGTACCGATGCATTTTGAGCGACGTTGAATGGCGATCCTTCCAGTCCGAGCTAACGTCCGATATGGGGAATACCCATCTGATGTGCCTTTCGGTATTAGATCCCGTTACAGCTTGCGAATCCACCAGCCCAAGTCGCCTGATTGTTGCATACAGGGGCAGCTAATGGAGGGGAATCAAAGCTACGGTTTTGACAGGATTGACAGGAGATCCATGGACTCGTCTTTCGGACTCGGAAACCCTCGCTTCAGGCAAGAAGGACTCCTTTTCCGACGAAGGCATCTCAGCAGCCGGCAGCATTCAGAAAGCACGGTACGGCGACAGAGATCCCCAGCCAGCGGCACTAGCTAGACAGGATGATACGACCGCAAGCTGCTGTAAATTACACTCGCAGCGCATGTAGTCCCTGTCGTCACTCTGTCCTACGATCGCTGCTGTCTCGCCCATGCCCGACTTTCCCACGACGCCGCACGCTATCCACGCCATCCAGCTCGACCACAAACTATTCTTTCGAACGAGTGGAAAAGAAATGGAGGGACACGCAGGTCTTTGGCGGGCCAAAGACCACACCTTCGCAATCATCCCTCAGAAACGGGCCGAAATTCTACCCGCTGGTCATGTTTCCTTATCCTTCCGGGGCACTGCATATGGGCCACGTCCGCGTATACACCATCGCCGATGTGATTGCGCGGTTCAAGCAGCTTCAGGGTTTTCGCGTGGGTGTCTCCACTCCACTGCATTACATAGTGAAGGAAACGGACATATAACGAACTTTTTTTTGGTGTCCCAATAGGTCCTCCATCCAATGGGTTGGGATGCGTTCGGTCTTCCAGCAGAGAACGCAGCGATACAGCACGGAGTGCATCCAGAGGACTGGACGAAGCAGAATATCGTCAAGATGAAGGAGCAGCTCAAAGCGATGGGAACTGCGTTTGATTGGGGTCGGGTGGGTATGTTGAATATGTCGGGATGTTCTGCCGCTGATGCGATTACCGTTACCCACGAGAGCTCGTTGATGATGGATTCACCGTCAGAATCGAGTCCGAAGCATTTGCTAATCCAGTCGTTCCCTTTGAATGACACTAGGAACTGTCAACATGCGATCCTGCGTACTATAGATGGACGCAACAGCTTTTCCTCAAGTTGCATAAAAAGGGGCTCGTGTATCAAAAGGAAGCACTTGTCAACTGGGACCCAGTAGATCAGACTGTATTGGCCAATGAACAGGTGCGGTCTTCTTCCCATTGCCTATCGCGTAGAGGTCTGTCTGAAGGGTAGACTGCAAACGTAGGTGGATGCAAACGGAAGAGCCGAGAGATCGGGCGCCCTTGTGGAAAAGAGGTATATGAAGCAATGGTTTATCAAGATCACGGCTTATGCTGAGGTATGGAAGTGTAAAGCGAACTTCTTCCTCAACGAATGGCTCTGATGGAGGGTCGAACGTATTCCTATTCAGCAATTGCTACAAGATCTGGAACATCTCGATTGGCCAGACCGTGTCAAGAAGCTCCAGACGAATTGGATAGGAAAGACTGAAGGTCATGAGGTTGAGCTTGACTTTGACGACCAGGTATGTCAACGTTTGCACGGGTCTTCGGTGTCTGTCGAGGATCGAACTAAGTACACGGATGTTGATAGCGAGAAATGTCTCTGGTAGCCTTCGTTCCAGACGGTCGGCACCTGGAGGATATGGCCTATATCGCCGTTAGCCCAACCGCTCCCCCATTCAGCAGTTCACATAAACGCGCCATCGAAAAAGTCATGCAATCTATGAAGACCGGAGCGGACGGTTTTTCGGAACAGGCCACTGGCGCATGGACTGGTTTGATGGTGGTAAACCCCGTCACGGAGCGTAGGATACCTGTCTATGTGGTTTCCAATGTGGAAGTGTTGGACAGACATATCGCTGTGGGAGGGTACCCGACCGCCGTCGAGGCGGATGCCGAGTTTGCACGGCGGTACAAAATACCCTTCGATGAGGGCGTAGCGCTCGCGCAAGACAGGGGGACGAAGTGGCAGTCACTGATTCAAGATTATCAGGCGAGGCGGACGGTGCATTATAGGTTGCGCGACTGGTTGGTTTCGCGACAGCGATACTGGGGAACTCCCATCCCTTTTGTTCATTGCGACACCTGTGGCCCAATCCCGGTCCCAGAATCAGACCTGCCCGTGACACTCCCACCGGACGCCATCCTCCGCGGCAAAGACGGAGAGCCATCCCCAGACTCCTCGACGACAACCACCTGCCCTGTATGCAGCAACCAAACCGCCCACCGCGACCCCGACACAATGGACACCTTCGTCGACTCCTCCTGGTACTGGCTCCGCTACTGCTCCCCCACATCCACCACCCACTTCGCCGACCCCGAAACATCCACCCCACTCCTCCCCGTCGACATCTACGTCGGCGGCGCGGAACACTCCATCCTCCACCTCCTCTACGCCCGATTCATCGCTAAATTCCTCACCGATATCGGTGTCGTCCACCTCCCGCGCGGTGAACCCTTCCAACGACTGCTCACGCAGGGGATGGTGCAAGGGCTGACGTACCGGGACGCCGTTACACAGCGGTACCTCAAACCCACCGAATTGGACCTCACATCCCCCACGCACCCCACCATAAAAGCCACCGGCGCCACCCCCCTGCAATCCTACGAAAAAATGAGCAAATCCAAACACAACGGCGTAGAACCCGCCGAGATCTTGGAGCGGTATGGGGTTGATGCGACGAGGCTGTATGTGCTGTATAAGGCGGCGCCGGGGGACGATTTGATGTGGGAGGAGAGAGCGGTGGTGGGGATGGGGAGGTGGGTTGGGAGGGTTTGGAGGGTTGTTGAGGGGGTTGTTGTGGGGATGGGTAGGGGTGCGGATGCGGTTGGGGTTGGGGGTGAGAGGAGGGATGAGAGGAGGGAGGCGGAGTTGAATGTTGCGTTGCATACGTGTATCAAGGAGGTAAATGATTTTGCGGCATCCATCATCAACACACTCACGTGCGTGCCGTCTGTAAAGGAAATCCGCATTGTCTAACATTGAATCTCTACATCACAGGTAACAACAGCCCTAACTGAAACCTACCACTTCCACGTCGCCGTCGCATCCCTCATCAAGCTCACCCACTCCATGGAGGCATTTACCAATCCACAACCACAGCCATCCTCGCCGTCCTCACTCAGTGACCCATGGACATCCCCAACCCTCCACGCAGCAGCCCGCGACCTGATCGTGATGATGGCGCCGTTTGCACCGTGTGTTGCGCAGGAGCTTTGGGAGATGCTGGGGACTGGTGGTAAGGAGGGCGAGGCGAAGGGGTTGTTTGCGCAAGACCGGGGCGATATCTGGCCGAAATGGGACGAATCGATCCTCAACGAGAACCAAGTCATTTGCGCCATCATGGTAAGATACCCCCTCCACTACCCTCAACCCTCCACCTCGCAGTCATCTCTCTAACCCACACCCACCCAACTCCTTCACAGATAAACGGTAAAACCCGCGGAACATTCCCCACCCACCCCTCCCACCTGCACAACACCGCACTGCTAGAACAACTCGCGCGCGATTCACCCACGGGCCGGAAATACCTCGTTGACCCCGTGACGGGCGAGGAGCGGAGGGTGAGGAAGGTAGTTGTGGGTGGGGTCGGGAAGGGACGGAGGGAGGGGGTTGGGAGGGTTGTTAGTTTTGTCTTGTGAGGGGAGTCTTTTTGGGAGTGGGTGGGTGGGTGGTGGTGCCTTTTAGATTGGAAATTGTGTGTATGGGTTCGGTGGTAGTTTACGGTGCCACGATTTGATTTTTTTTTCAGTTTGACATAAATTATGGATTGTGTAAACACACGGGAACAACGCGGTGTGAGCACCGGCGGCCGACATGTGAGCGCCCCTTTACGCTACGTATATATATATGTATGGCGGGAGACGGAAAGCAGGCCCGTATCGGTCTCGCGACGCCGTGGCGATTATTCCATCAGCAAAAGGCACGCAGGCGCGGAACAGTTCCGGTAGCGAGGCGGTTTCCCTGTGCACATACATGTCCATATCCCGCACAGCCCTGCGCGTGATGTGAGACGGGGGGCTCCCAACCCCCGGTCGTGGATGTGTCAGCTACGTGGAATGTTTTCGTGTCACCATTTCGCGGGATCCCTGGTCCATATATGTATATATGAGCCGGGTTTCGCTGCGGTTTCCGAGGCACTTCATTTCCAGAACCTCGGTGCTGGACGGCTATCCAGGATGATGGTGGAAGCATCGCGGCCAATCCCGCACATTCGTATCACTCGCCTCCCACCTCTCTCCTCCCCCACCGCTCACGTACTCCCCAGCGCAGCCTCCAACGCCGCCAGCACGTTCCGCATCTCCTCCTTCGGGATAACCATGACCCTCCGCAAGGGATCGATTCCAAACTCGTGGAACGCGCGGCGGGAGTCGGTGGACTGTTGCGCGGGCTTCGCGAAGGGGTAGTCGAACGTGAATGTTGCGTGCTGATTAATTTTGCGAAAGGGGGGGCGTGAGTGGAACGCTTCCCATACAACAAGCATAGCCCGAGTGTATTTTATTTATACCTCCTGGATGATCTCATCCTCCATCTGAAAAAAGAAGACGGGGGCATCCTCACTCGCGGATTTCTCCTTTCTCCGTTTCTTCTTCTTTCCCCTCCCAGTGCCGTCGTCGTCGCCCCCAGCAGCCTCCTCCTCCGTCATCCCCTCCACCTCCCTGTAGATCTTGCTCACGTACACAAAGTGCGCGAAATCAGGTGAGGTTCCCTCTTCGACGGCCGATTCGATTTCTTCGAGGAGCATTTTGAGCATGGGGGGCACGATTTGCGGGGGCATGTTTAGGAGGCGTTCGTTCAGGAGCCAGGCTGCTGCTGGTTGTGTTGTCGTGGTGGGGTTGATGACGGTAGAGAGACGGGTGAACGCGTCAGGGGTGGAGGAGGGTGTTGTGGTGGTGGCTTTGCGGGCGCGGGAGAGGAGGTAGTCTGTGACGGCTTTTACGGCGGAGGGGAAGGATGCGGAGTCTTCGGCTGGTTGTTTTCCTTTGGTTTTGCCATTGGGGTTTGCAGATGTCCCGTCCTTCTCTCCATCTTCCTTTACAACGGCCGCCGCACCGGCCGCCAACCCGAGGTCCACAACGGTCATGAGAGCATAAGGGTCCTGGGTATCCTCGACCTTGACAGTTGTCCCTACGGCGGATCGAGAGATGATGAGATCAGCGAGCTGGGAGGCTGGGATGAGATCGGTGTCTGAGTGGAATGTTTGACGGAGGAGGGATTTGAGGCCGTGGAAATCGATGGGTTTTGGGTCGAAGAACTCGAAATCCACGTCCACTGTTTCCTATACGGGAGGAGGTACAGTGAGGATGGGCAGTGAGAAGGGGTGAATAAATTGCATTCGCACGCTTACCTGGTCGAGATCTTCATTATCGTCGTCCTCGTCGTCGTCCTCGTCTGAACCATTCTGAGGCTTTTTCGGGTGTGGCTTTTCACCATCGTGGTCACTTTCACTGCGAGTGTCGGCGCTGTTGTTTTCGACCTCGGCGTCGCCGACAGTTGCGGCGGTAGTAGCGACCGCAGCGGCCTTTCGTTTCTTGCTCATGGTTATATATGGAGTAGTTTGAAGACTGCCATTCCCAACCCCCCGTTAACAAGCAGGTTAACAAGCTTGGGTTGGTTACTTTGGTTATGCTGGACCTGCGATCACATGATATCCACATGATTTATCTGCTGTTTTGTTTAATGTGTGCGAGTGCTTGCAATGATTGGCTGGTTGAATCCGAGGCTTCCCATCTGTCCGAGAGTGATGGATGATCCTCGCTGCTGTTCGACATTCGGACGTTCTGCCCCACGTGGGGTGGAGTGGAGTGAGGGAGCCCCTTAGCATGGTGGCAGGGTCATATCGGAACGCGCGCGCCTGTCGCTTTCTTCCCTCGCGGATGAGAATCCGGAAGCGCCTTCGTCACTCTTGCCTCCCGTTATGGCCTCCCGCTTTTCCCACCGTCCTTTTTCTCCGTAATGCCCACCCTGCAAATGTCCATACAAAGTTCACCGCCGTTGCAAGTCACTCCGCTGCCTTTCCTGTATACACTGGACCCTCTGTAGCTGCAAACCCCCTCGACGCACGGTGTGCATAGTCTAGTCCGCTGTAGGAATAGTCTTGTCGATTCCCAGTTGCAGTCACCTTTTTATTATTCAGGGCTTTTCTGGCGACACAACGACTCGCAGTGTCGTTTGGTTTTCCCGGACCTGTTCTTCTTGTTCCCGACTTTGCCAGTCTCTGTTTTGCGGGCGGACGTTATCTATATCCCAAATACCCAAGTGGAAGCTTGCATTCCACTCCGCCTCCCATATACGCACCGACACAATGTCACAACCACCTCCACCGGCAACGACACACAGGGAGCCCTTCCGCATACACTCAATACATCAATCTATCCTGTTTTCATTACTACTACCAGCGACACTGATGGTGACGGCTTGGTCGCTTTGGAGGAATGCCTGTGGGAGTATGGTCTGTCCAGAAAAAAGTGGACTCACCAGGGAGGCTAGGATGAGGTATGTTCAACATCCACTATTCTAACATTACGCAAACCTAACCTCCTCCCTGTTTTCTTTCAGCATCGGAGGATTCTACGCCTGGCTGATCCTGGTCTCCCTCTTCCTCGTCCTTGCGCAATTCACCCCCTACGGCCACGGCCACCGCTGGAAGCACAACTTCCTCCCCCTCACAAAACACTGGAAACCCACCTACGCCGTCATCCTCGTCTGGGCCATCGTTACCCTTCACCAAGCCGCGCAATTTGTGTACTGGTTCACAGCATACAGGGACCGCTCGGCGAGGAGGCATACGGAGGCGACGGTGGCGGTGCTGCAGGCGGCGTATAAGGCGGTGGCGTATAATGCGGCCATTCAGTTGTCGTTGACGTTGTTGCCGACGAGCAGGGGTGGGTTTTTGAGTGGGTTGTTTGGGATTGGGTATGACGCTTCGCTGGGTATGTATCCGTACGTCACTTCTTCCCGTGTGCGTGGACGGCTGAGCTAACTCTGCCAACTCCCGTCATGTGATACGTAGGCTTCCACCGGGTATCAGGCCTCGTAACAACCCTACTCGCCTTCCTTCACTTCCTCCTCTTCGCCGCCTACAGCGTCCTCAAATCCGGCTGGCCCTCCTTCCTCCGCATCACCTTCCTCCTCCACGCCCCACCCTCCCGCTACACCACCTACCACGGCTGGCTCGGCCCAATCGGCCTGCTCTCGCTGCTCTGCTTCATCTGGGTGACCCTCAGCTCCCTCGAACGCGTCCGTCGGCGCCACTACAACTGGTTCTGGCTCAACCACACCGCAGTCCTCCTCGCCATCCTCCTATCTTTCGTCCACGCGTCGCCCATGGTGTGGTTTTCCCTCCCAACGCTGGTGCTGTATGCCGCGGATTCGTGCGTGAGGGTGTATAATCGCCGACGAGCATATACGATCACCGGGCTGAGACCGGAGGCGTGCGGGTACCTGAGGGTGGATATTGCAGATTGTCATGTCGCAGCGCAGCCGGGGCAGTGGGTGAGCGTGAACATACCCGCGATATCGAGGACGGAGTGGCATCCGTTTACGGTTGCTAGTAGTACCTCTCGGAGCCGTATTGCCACCACAACCCTGAACGACGACCCGGAACGACAACACCTCCTCTACCCCGGCCAATCCTCAACCTCCCACCCACCGACATATACATCCACCCCGGGCCTAAGCCTAATAGTTAAGCCCATCCCCTCCGATTCCTCATGGACACACGCCCTCCTCTCCCACTGGTCCACCTATCATCCCTGCCCATCTTCGTTTCCACTCACAATCCACATAGACGGCCCGCACGGCCGCCTCCCCCCGCGTTTCCTGCACTCGGACACCATCCTCCTTCTAGCCGGCGGCAGCGGAATCCCTGGCGCGCTCTCTATTGCGCGCGCCGTGCTCGACTCATCAACATGCACGGCACGGAAAGTGTACCTGATATGGACCTGTCGCGACCCGAACGCGGGGGAAATGACCCTCTGGAGGGAGCTCGCCGGGCATCCCCGCGCACCAGCCGTCCTAGACATGAGAGTACACGTGACGAGGGATAACGGAAAGCGGGTGCGGGAGCGGTTGGATCTGGCGGGGTTGTTGGAGGAGGTTCGGAGCACGCCTGAGGCCTGTTCTCAGCATGCGAGCGTGGAGGGGGATGGGGGATATGAGGCGATATCGGGACAGAGGAGACGGTCACGACCGATCCGGAGCCTCTCGGTGTACGCGTGCGGTCCCGGCTCGCTTATGCGGAGCGTGCAGGAGCATGTTGCGAGGTTTGGGAATGTTGTTGGGGACGGGTTTGAAGCTCCTCGTCAGCCATCATCACCGGCATCAGATACCGCTTCGGATATATCCACGTCCGATGTGGAGGATGTCGGGAGTAGTAGGGCGAGCGATGATGGGGATGAACCGTGGGGGATGCCGAGGGAGGGGGATTTGGAACGCGGGTTACTGGGTGGGAGTGATGGGGAAGGGGCCGGGGAAGGGAGGAGGAGGAGGACGAGGAGGGTGAAGGTTTTGTTGCATGTTGAGGGGTATGGACGGTGAGTTGGGGATTGTTTTTTGGTGGGGGATGGTTTGTATGAGCAGTGAATGTATGTATGTATATGGATTTCTTGGAAATATACCCCGTGGTTGAGTATGCATTGACAACGTGTTCTGCATATGGACGAGTGTGCTATACTTCGTCGGCCACCGCTCCATATTATGAACCGTAGTATCCATACCGGCGTATATTACTGCCCGACATTCGCCATACGGGATGTGGGCAACATCACCAACTGTCGAAAGCAACGGTACAGTATCGAAATATCGCTCCCCCACAGCACAAGCGGGCGAGGGTTGGACGAATCGCGTGATGGCTGTCCGCCCATTGCGTGCTCTCCCTCGCGTGAGTCATCACCCCATTATATTGCCCTTATTGCCCCTCCCAATCCGCATTTATATTCCCACAACACCCATCTTGACCCCGCCTCATTCCCATTCGTATTTTCCCACGCCCCACTCACCACCCACTCAAATCATGGCAGCAGACGACATGGACATCCCCGCCCCCCAGGACTCGGCCCTCACAGCCCTCTACGCCCCCAAACCGGTCCGTCCGGGACATCCGGTGCCGCACATCACGAGTTTGGAGGAGTACAGCGAGCGGTGGAAGAGGAGTTTGGCGGAGCCCAATGCGTTCTTTGGGGATGTATGTATGGAGAGGGGTTGCGGGGAGAGGGAGTGGGCAAGGGTGCTGATGATGGTTTTGTGCTGCAGTTGGCGAAGAAGTTGTTGAGTTGGAGCAGGCCTTTCGACGTCGTTTCGTTTGGGTAGGTCATCCTGTCCCCCTCTCTGCCTTACAAGCCAATTTCCTCCGGTCATATCCCTCTTGCCCACTCACTAACATTTCTCCCCCGTCCTTAGCGACTTCACAGCCGGCAACGTCTCGTGGTTCCTCAACGGCCAACTCAACGCCTGCTACAACTGCGTCGACCGGCACGCCCTCACCACGCCTGAAAAGATCGCTATCATCTGGGACTCGGACGAGATCGGTGTCCATCGATCGATCACGTTTGGGGAGGTTCTGGCGGAGGTGTCCAGACTGGCGAATGTGTTGAAGGCCTATGGGGTGGGGAAAGGGGATGCGGTTGCTGTTTATATGCCGATGGTAGGTTGAGGGTGGATGGGAAGGGGTCGGGGATGGGTGACTGATGATGGGGGGGTTTCAGGTTCCGGAGGCGGCGTATGCTATGCTTGCTTGTGCGAGGATTGGGGCTATTCATAGGTATGAACGCGGACGTCATTATTCGACTCGATTAATATGATATTAATGGGCCCCGGGTGTGTGCTCTACAGCGTGGTGTTTGCAGGCTTCAGCGCCGACGCACTCCGCGACCGGATCCTCGACGCCAAATGCAAAGTCCTCCTCACGGCCGACCAAGGCAAACGCGGCGGCAAAACCATCCACCTCAAGAAAATCGCCGACGAAGCCCTCGCCGAAGCACCCTGCGTCGAAAAGGTCATCGTGTTCCGTCGGACAAACGACCCGTCCGTGCCGTTCACATCCCCTCGGGATGTCTACTGGGACGAGGAGGTCAGCAAACAGCGCCCGTATTGCCCGTGTGAGCCCATGGTTTCGGAGGATCCGTTGTTTATGCTGTATACGTCGGGAAGCACGGGGAAGCCGAAGGGCGTGCTGCATACGACGGCGGGGTACCTTTTGGGAGTCACGGCGACGACGAAATATGTGTTCGACTTGCATGAGGGGGATGTCCATGGGTGTATGGCTGATGTCGGGTGAGTTGAGTCTGCATTTTCAACGTTTGATCGTTCGGCTACTGAACGTAACTCAACATGCTCCCTTGGATATAGATGGATTACGGGACACTCGTACATCCTGTACGGCCCTCTCTCCAACGGCGTGACGACCGTCATGTTCGAAAGCATTCCGACGTACCCCAACGCTGGCCGTTACTGGGACCTCGTCGACACCCACAAAATCACCTCCTTTTACACCGCCCCCACCGCCATCCGCGCCCTCCGCCGTCTCGGCGACGAGCACGTAGCCCGCTACGACCTCAGCACACTGCGCACTCTCGGCTCCGTCGGCGAACCCATCAACCCCGAAGCCTGGCTCTGGTACCACGACATCGTCGGCCGCGGCCGCTGCAACATCGTCGACACCTACTGGCAAACCGAAACCGGCTCCATCATCGTGACGCCCATGCCCGGCGCCACACCCACCAAACCGGGCTCAGCCACCCTCCCCTTCTTCGGCATCGACATCGCCGTCCTGGACCCAACAACCGGCCAAGAGCTGGCAGGTAACAACGTCACCGGCGTCCTCGCCATCCGCAACAGCTTCCCCAGCGTCGCCCGCAGCATCTACAACGACCACGCCCGTTTCCTCGACACCTACCTCAACCCTTACAAAGGCTACTACTTCTCCGGCGACGGCGTTACGCGCGACGAGGACGGGTACTACTGGATCCGCGGGCGCGTCGACGACGTGATCAACGTCGCGGGGCATCGGCTCTCCACCGCGGAAATCGAGTCGGCGCTCATCCTCCACCCGGCGTGCGCGGAAGCGGCGGTGATTGGCGTCCCGGATGAAGTCACGGGGCAGGCGATCGTGTGCTTCTGTACCCTGAAAGCGGGCGATGAGGGCGATATTGCGGCAGCGTTGAAGGCGCAGGTGCGGACGCACATTGGGCCGTTTGCGACGCCTAAACGGGTTGTTATCACGCCTGAGTTGCCCAAGACACGGTCGGGCAAGATTATGCGACGGATTTTGAGGAAGGTGGCCGGGTTGGAGGTTACTGAGAAAGATTTGGAGACGGAGGATGGGTTGAGGGAGAAGTTGGGCGATTTGACGACTTTGGCTGAGCCGGGGATTGTGGCGGTGCTTGTTAAGATCTTTGCCGGGCGTACGTGAGGATGTGACATCCTTTCGAACTTTTTTATCTGTCACTCGGACTAAGGGTACAGACACGGCGTTATTGTGTGGCTATGTGTTTCTTTCCCATCCTGTGGTGGTTGCCTTTTTTCTGTTTCGGTAATCTAGCATTCATCATACGAGCCCACCTTTGAGTTTGCGGGTGGCATCCTTCTCTTGTGCATAAACTTGTGCATCTGGACCCTATTGCAGCATAACTAACGTTGTTTTTCATATGTGGTGGGGTTAGTCTTCGGGTGGCATGTGCGGTATACAGTAAGTGGCATTTTGTCCAGACGCCTCGGACGTTCGAGCGCGTCTGTTCCCCTTTTCTCTCTCCCAGTCCCACCCCGAGTCCCACCCACCTTCCGCGACAGGTTTCTCAGACCAGGAGAAGGGGCAACTCTTCCTACGACGCTCACTACAGCCCACCGCTGAACGGGCACTCTGTACGGACTCGGTCAGCGTTGCAGGTATGTTCCTTACGTGCTGGATGAGACCCGGGGATCCCCGATGCTCGGGTCGCATTGGGGTGTGTGGGGGCGATTAGACGCACTTCGTCGAGGAATGGTGTATGGGCGAGCGGGTGGTACGAGTGGAACGGTGGGTGGAAGTGGAGGTCGAAGCAACCTGCACACCTCTGAATCTAACGAACTGACGTGGTGATCGAGACGAGATGGGGCCCGGGGAGAAAAGATATACGGCCATACGAGCATCCTAGCGCAACTCTGATGTTTTCTTTTAATTCGTTTTTCTGACAGCAGGACGGGGCTTTCCAGCGCGGTAGCTGGCTGGATATAGCGCAATCCGAGTGGGATCGGACATACAGAAGGCTCTAAACATACGCGTCCCGGCAGTTCCCTTTCCCGTAAACCCCGGCGACAATGTCGTCGCGGGCAAAGACCGATAAGGAGAATGCGGCTCCTCCGGTGGATGTTGTCGATGAAGGTGAGGGGATGATTGGGGGGTCTCAGTGTGGGACTGCTTCTCAATCCGCTTTCTTTGTGCGTGTGCAGAAACTGAGAAGAAAGTGAGACGAAGCAAGAGAGGCAAGAAACCTGCAGCGAGGAAGAAGGATGTGGTCGAGAAAGAGAGCGCGGACGTCGGCGTGGTTGTACAAGCCAGCAGCAGCAGCACAGCACAGGGTGATAGTGCACACCATGCCGTGATGGCCGTAGACGAACCCACTGTGATGCTCCAAAAAGTAACTGAAGAGATGGTGGTAGTGACCGAAACACAAGTGATCGAAACACCCACCGACGAAGAGAGAGAAACCCTCCACCTCAAACTCGCCGAAGCCCTCCGCACCAACCACGCTCTCCAATCCCGCATCACCGATCTCACCGCCTCGCACGCGACGCTCGCCCAACGCACGCTGGACCTCGAGCACGACAAGCACGCGCTGGAAACGCGGCTGGAAGCCGAGGCCGGCGAGCACGAGGCGAAATTCAATATGGTGGTGATGCGCAGCATTCGGGATCTGCAGGAGACGGAGGTAGAGGCCGATGCCCTGAGGAAGGAGAATAGGGAGTTGAGGGATAGAGGTGTGGAAACGGCGGAAGAATTGAGGGTGCTTCGGGATGCCAACCAACAACTCGCCGAGACGAACGAGGCGTTGCGGAAAGATGTGGAGACGTTCAAGGCTGCTGGCCACGAGGCTATGGAGGAGTCTCGTATCCTTCGTGAGGCGAATCAGCGGCTTACCGAGACCAATGAGGCTGCTCATAAAGAGATCGAAATGTTGAAAGCGGCCGGGCAGGAGGTTACGGAGGAGGCCCGTGCCCTGCGTGAGGCGAATCAGCAGCTCACCGAGACGAACGAAGCGCTGAAAGCTGCGGGGCAGGAGGCTACAGACGAGACTCGTGTACTCCGCGAGGCCAATCAACAACTCACCGAAACGATTGAATCTTTGAAGGCTGCTGAGCAAAAAGCCCAAGAAGAGTCTACGGTTCTTCGTGCGGCGAATCAACAGCTCACCGAGACAATTGAGGCCGCCGACAAGGAGATAGCGACTCTGAAAGCAGCCCGACGTGACTCCGAAACGAGCCAATCCCGCCTGCAGCAACTGATCAGCGACCTCCAACGCGAGAACGAGGTGCTGACAGTCCACAGGGAAGAAGCGGGCGACGCCGTGACCCGGATGGAGAGTGAGATGGACGAACTGCGGAATGGGTGTAAAGCTGCCGAGAACCGGAATGCGGAGTTTATTGCGCGGTTGGATGAACGCGAGAAAGAATTCCTTGGTTTGAAGGGTGTGAACGAGAGCGAGCGTGCGGCGTTGATAGCTGAACACACCGCAGCGATCGGGTCCCTCACCTCAACCCACACCGCGAAAGAAGCAGCACTCACTGAGCAGATCACGACACTGCAGTCCCAAGCGCAGGAAGCGGACGACATGCGGGCGTACCTGGTAGAAGTGAGCACGGCCAACGAGCAGCTTGTCAGGCAGATCACAGAGCTAGACGAGAGGGTTGTAACGCTCAAGACCGTCGCGCGCGATGCCGAGAAGGCCGGGGAAGCGAAAACGGCGGAGCTGGCCTCGACGGCGGCTGAGCTGGCGAAGATGAAAACGGAGACGGAGCGGTTGAACCAGGAAGTCAGCGAACGTGATCAGTATATTGAGGAAATGATGGAAGCAACGAGGCAAAGGGACGAGGCGATTGAGGCGCTTACGAAGAAGAAAGGGGATTTGCAGAGGGCGATGGAGGAGCTGCGGGCCGAGGTGCAGAGCCGGGTTGCGGCGGGTGAAGCGGCGGAGGCACGGCTTGCTGATGTGGCGGTGGAGAAGGAGCGGGTGGAGGATGCGTTGAGGAAGGTTACCGCTCAGTATGACGCGCTGGATGCTGATCATCGCGAGGCCGTTGCCCAGGGTGAGGAGTTGAGAGCAAAATTGGCGGCGATGGAGGGTGATATGCAGGCGGCGCGGGCTGCGGCGTCGGCGAGCGTCGAGGGGTTGGAAATCAGAATGGCGCAATTGAAGCGGTTGAAGGAGGCGTCTGACGTTGAGATGGATGCGCTGCGGACACAATGCGCTGAGCTCGCTGAGACCAAGGAACAATCGCTCGTAACCATTGAGCAACAGAAATCGCAGATTGCTGAGCTCACTCGGCAGTTGGAAGAAAGGAGCCAGAACATCACGGATGTCGAGACGCGGTTGAAGGAAGCTGTGGAGGCCAAGGATACGCTGGAAGCGGAGTGTGCCCAATTACGTACCACACAAACGCGGATGCAGAGCGAAGCCGAGGCTGGACTTGAGGAGGTGTCTGGGCGACTGGCTGCAGTTACGAACGAGCTTGAGGAAACCAAGGCCCTCGCAGCCCAAGCGACAGCGGCAGCGGCGCAGGACTCCGAAGCAAGAGAACGTTTGCAGACCGAGATCAATACACTGCAGGCGGCCCACTCCGAACTCCAGGCGAGCTGTGCGGAAGCACGTGGCTCTGCCGAAGAGCTGACGCAGCGTTTAGCCTGTCTCAATGCGGGGAAGGAAGCGCTCGAACAGTCTTTGTCGGATGCACAGAGTGAGCACGCAACGACTCTCGCACGCTCCCAGACGATTCTGAGTGAAGTCAAGCGTCTCCGAGCCACTCATGCAATGGTGGCATATGATCGCGATGAACGTCCAGCCGACGACCAGATCCAAGGCGAAGAAACGCACGCGATGCTGCAGGACGCCACGCTTCGACATTTGCAGCGATGTGGGGAGAAACTGGATGCGGCGCAGAGGGAAATGGATGAGTTGACGCATGCCCTCGACGAGCGCGACGCGCAGCTTGTCGATGCGCAGTGTACAGTGGCTGAACTGATGCGCACGGTCGAGGAGCGGGACGCGCAGTGTAGCCGTGCGCAAGCGGATTTGGAGGCGGTGCGTGGGGAAGTGGAAATGTTGAAGCGGGCGGTGGAAGCGAAGGATGAGGAGGTTACGGCGGGAGTGGAGAGCTTGCTTGCGGCGCAGAAGGAGGTGGAAGAGCTTTCGCTTGCGTTGAATGCCCGGGAGGCTCAAATCGCCGATGCGCAGGCGGATGTTCAGGTGCTTCGCGCGGAAGTGAGCGAGGTGAAAATGAAGTTGGATGAGCGCGTTGCGGAAGTGGAACACATGAAAGAGGTTTCGCAGAGACAGAATAGCGAGATGGCGGTCGAGGCGGAGGAACAGATGCGGAAGCTGCGGTCGACCATGGAGGTTGAGGCCGAGGACCTGAAGCTTTTGCTGGACACGCGCGATGCTGAACTGCGCGCTGCTGCTGAGAAATTGCAGGTTGCCTTTGCCGAGAGTGAACACCTGAACAGTGCGTTGGCTGTGCGCGTCGCAGAAGTATCTGCCGCTGAAGAAAAACTCCAAGCGACGCAAGTGGAATTGGATGAGCTGACCCATGCACTGGATGCCCGCGATGCCGCCTTACAAGCCTTGCAAGCCGACCATGCGCAAACAAAGGAGACCCTCACTACAGAACAAGCACGTGCAGACGCGGCGGACGCACGGTATCGAGAGTTCTCTGCCCTCGTCGACGACCTCCAAATTCAACTGCTGCGATCCCGGCGGAAGGTAGGGACTCTGCTCGCCGAGGCCGACATCCTGCGTTTCGAGAAAGATGAAGTAGATGCTGTGCTGGAATGCGAGCGGGAGGATACGGCGGAGCTCAAAGAATCGCTCGCTAAACTGCAGGGCGAGACCGTCGCCGCCACGCGGGAGATGCTTGCGCAGAAGGAGGCGGATGTTGCAGCGGTGCGAGCGGAGATGGAGGCCGTGCAATCGGGATTGAATGCGGAGATGGACCGGCTGCGACTTGAGATTGCCCAGCTGAGCGAGGCCAAGACGGTAGCGGAGGCCGCGTTGATTGAGAAGGAGACTCAGATACGGCAGGAAAGCGAGCTGGGCGAGCGTATGCAGACCGCGTTGGAGAATGCGTTGGAGGCGAAGCAGCGGCTGGACAAGCGCGTTGCTGAACTTAAGGCCGGGCATGTCGTGGTGCAGGATCTGCAACACCGCTTGGACGCTTCGCTGGCCGAGAAGGAGGTTCTGGAAAAGAGCGTCATTGAACTCAATTCTGACCATCAACGCCAACGTGACCGCATCGATCACTTGATCACTCGAATTGATGAAACCGAGGCCGCCAAAGAGCTGCTGGAGCAGAGCTTGAGCGAGCAGACCTCGACCGGCACGTCAGCGAAGGCCGAGCTGGAACTCCAGGTCGCAAAATTGACTCACAGTCTCGAGGCGTCGCAATCAGAGGTTGACGAGATCCGCGCTCAGCTGCAGACGTATGCATCCGAAGCGGCTGCTCGAGCTGAAACTGTTTTCGAGAGCGTGGAAATGCAGACGGATGTTGATGGCCCTGCTCTTGGGTTGTATGAGCAGCAGCTGAAGCATGCACAGGATGCGTTGCAAGCGCGGACGGCGGAGGTGGAGGTGTTGCAGCAGACTGTAGCGGAAGTGGAAGAGGATCTGCGGACGACTC